TTATTTTTTAACCTTCAAAATCATAGTAAGAAATACCAATATTGTTATAATGCAATAATGATGCATTTAGTGTGTATCGATGTAAGTTGGTAAAAAAATGAAATAGTATTTAAGTCCATTTTACCACGATATTGCTGCGACAAATGTTAAACGTTAATAAAAACAATAAAAATAGAGGAAATGCTCTAAAATAACTCAGAATGATAAAATAATGTGAAATGGATATTTTATTGAGGGAAAATTGTGAAAATAACCTCTTTTATGATTTTTATAAACACCAGTGTTACCCTTCTAACTACTGTTATTTATAGACTAATAGCAGACTAATGACAAACTGACGGCAGACTGAATGCAAACTACTGAGATACTGATTGATCAAATAATTAAATGTAGACTACTGGCAGACTAATGGTAGACTAACTGCAAATTACTGACAGACTAATAGCAAATTGAAAGCAAACTAGTAGACCCCTCTAATGGAAGGGTCATGTTTCATAATAAAATTGTCAAATAGGTTATTTCAAAAATTATCCCAATAAAAGAAATGCTCCAAAATAACCTAGAATAATAAAATAATATGAAATAGGTATCATACTGAGGGAAATTAGTGAAAATGACATTTTTTACGATTTTATAAATATCAGCGCTACCTTTGTAACTATTGTTACTTGTAGACTAATGGCAAACTGAATGCAGACTTCTGACAAATTGAACGCAGACTACTAGCAGACTGATTGGTCAAATAATTGAATGTAGACTATTAGCAGATTAATGGTAGACTAATTAAAAATTACCGGTAGACTAACAGCAGGCTGAAAGCAAATAACTGGCAGTTATTTGTAGACTAATAGCAGACTAACGACAAACTGAATGCAGACTACTGGCAGATTGAAGGCAAATTATTAGCAGACTGATTGGTCAAATAATTGAATGTAGACTACTAGCAGATTAATAATATACTAATTATAAATTACTGACAGACTAACATCAGATTGAAAGCAAACTAATTGACCTCTCTTATAAGTTATTTTAAAAAAAAATCATATTTCATAATAAAATTGTTAAGTAGATTATTTCAAAAATTAACTCTATAAATAATAAAAGATAAAATTTATTGCTGGGACTACTTTTGCAGGTGCTATCGGTATTGTTGATATCGCTGAAAAACAGCCACAATTGGAGTGGCGTAGTGATTATTTTTAGAGTGTTTTCAGTGTTACTCTCCACATATGTACTTTGGTAAGAAATACTAATAACTTATGATTTTGGTCTATGATTGCTGATGCAATTGTTTTGAAACATTTATTAAGTTTAGAATTTCGGTTTATGTAATAAACTAAAATAATTATCACTTTATACTTGAATATTATTACTTGTATAAACCATATTTCGACTCATGTTTTTTAGTTTATGATGTTCAGTTTGTAAATACTAGTATCTAATGTGAGACTTAATCTAATATGGATGGTTTAGAATGAGTTTGGTATCGAGTTTTAATCAAATATATATATTCTTCATTATAAAATTAGTATAGATTTAAGATCAAATATAAAATGATAAAAGCAAAAAATAGTGAATCTGTTTGCGATTGTAGTATGCACCATTTTCAAAATATAAAATGATAAAAGCAAATATAAATGGCAAAGTGATTGATTGGTTTAAGAAGAAACAAGCGAGGTATGGACTCACGTTTTTCATCACAATCCAAAATCACACTTCTCACGTTTTCTTACTCTCTAATCACGTGAACACCCAGACACGTCGTCTTGAGTAAACCATTGTCTCAAACAGATTCTTTAAACTATTGAATTCTTTTTTTTTTTAAGTATTGATTTATTTACTATGATATGCTTTCATCGTCATTCACCAACATGTCCCGTATGTACCATTGATAATGGTTGTTTTTCATGAAAACTATGATGTGACTTCGTATAGGGATGAACATCAAATACTCTAATTATTCGTTTTCAAATTCCCTCAAGAGTTTTAGATTTTAATAGATTTTGAGACGTTTAATTTGGTTTCTTGAAGATTAAATGAATGTTTTATTTCTTAAGAATGGTGACTTCCATATTTATTAAACTACTAATAGTTTTGAGACAAAGATAAATAAAGCACATCTTGAACAAAGATGTTCTTAAACCATGCTACAATTACATCAGTTAATCATCTTTCTGATATTTTCTTCTCATCATTGCATCACTTAGCCTTGCCGCATCTACATTATCTCTAACATTATGAACCCTAATAATATTAGCACCTCCTAATATCCCTGCAGTAACACAAGCAACAGTTGCTGGATCTCTTTCACTTGCCTCAGAACGGCCACAAATATCTCCCAAGAACCTCTTCCTTGAAGGCCCAATAAGCATAGGTGCATGAGACAACGCTATGCTCTTCTTAGCCATTTCTTTCCTGATTTTCGGCAAGCCCATGATAACTTCCAAATTGTGATCTCTTCTCTTCGAAAACCCTATCCCTGGATCAATCATAATCCTCCAAGCAGGAATGCCAGAGACTTCTGCATCTCTTACTCTCAAATAAATCTCTAAACCAACATCCTTGCACACATCATTATACTGCAAATTCTCTTTGTTTTGCATAGTGCATGGATCTCCTCTCATGTGCATAACCATATAAGGAACATCAGAATCCGCAACAACCTTACGCATATTCGGGTCTAAACTTCCTCCTGATACATCATTCACAATGTCAGCCCCGTTTCTTATTGCCTCTAAAGCAACCTCAGGGTCAAAAGTATCCACAGATATAAGCTTTCCCTTCATTTCTTGCATCCCACGCACAGCTTTTAAAACTGGAACTAGTCTATCTAACTCTTCTTGCCTAGAAATTCTAGAGGCCATTGGTCTTGTGGATTGTGCACCGATATCGATTATATCTACACCTTCAAAGATCATAGAACGGACTCGAGAAACCGCTGAATCTATAGATTGAAACTTACCTCCATCACTAAAGCTATCCGGAGTAAGATTAAGTATACCCATCACATAGGTTTTCTTAGAAAGATCCCATAATTTTTCACCTATTGGTAAAACTCTTTGTATACCGTTTTTTCCAATCAATGATTCACCACCAAGTTTCTCCCAAGCTTCGAAGATTCCACCTTGAAGCATTGAGAGTGAATGCCAATGTGAAACTGTATGATCATCATCAACATCTGATCCAAGCAAATCTACTAAAGGTGCTAATACAAATGGTCTTTCCCAAATTCTCTCATGAGGAATGATTAGTTTTTCAGAAGTGATTTTAAGCTTCCCATAGAACAATATGTCCAAGTCAAGTGGTCTTGGTCCATACCTTATACCGTTTTCTTCACGACCCATCTCTCTCTCAATTTTCTTGAGAACGGTCAAGAGCTCATGAGGGTCTAGCTTCGTTACGCCTCTTACAGCAGCATTGAGAAACTTTGGTTGATCAGTCACATGAACAGGTTCTGTTTCGTATAAAGAACTGTGCCTTGTTATACGAATCCCATAGTCTTTCATTAGTCGTAAAGCTTCTTTGAAATTACTCATTCTGTTTCCAACGTTGCTTCCCAAAGCAATCGCGACTTCTTGCTCTGTATCGACTATTGTAGTTGTTACCAAAGATGCGGAATCTGAGTTACATACCAAAAAGTTCATTTGCATTAGAGAAGCTACAACGAAAAGCCATGTTTTGAAGGTAAAATATGATTCAAAGACTTATTATTATACTTACACATAATTAGTAAACATAAATAGTGAATTGAATATCAAAACGAAGAACACGGTTTGCTATTAGTTAACGAAAATGCAACGGATGAAGAGGATACAAGCCCATTTTGCAATATTTTATTTGGTAACCGGCTAAAATGTCAGTACTCAGTATTATCAGCTTCGATCTGACCTGAAATTACATAAGATAACTTATAAGTGTAGAAAAACAAAACAAATATACATATAAAAGCTAAGATTATATTTCAAAAGTGTTATTAAAACTCTCCACGTACACCTCTCAATCAAATGCATTTAGAGACGACAATAAAGTAATTAGTATCAACAAATACTTATGGACTCCGAATTATACATATAATTTGAAGCAAAACATTTCAACAAAAGTAAGCAGAGGTTTTGTAGAGGCTCACGAGAGATGGTAGCTAATTGTCGTATACTTGTGTTTTATGAACTTATTGTGATTCTCTCATACTCGGATGGATTTATATACAAGTTCACCTCTATAACAAATAATGATGATCAATTTAAATCCAACTGTGAACATTGATTGACCATCTTGATTATTCCAAAATTATTGACCATTTTTTTTAGAAAAGAGTAATTTTTTTCCGACAAGTGCAATCTTTCTATTTGACATGTGTAGTTTAAAATATCAGAAACTATGCTGTTTATCTCTTTGATATGATTTATTTCTATTTAATTGGCTTTTTTATATCATCTAGATTATTATTTTCAAATTTTCTATATTTTTTAACCAATTTTGTATTTTTGTCATTCAAATAATCTTTTGTTATCTTCACTAATTTTCAATCTAAAGAGATATTAATTAGTAGCAAAGAGAAATGTAAAAACAAGTTAGTGGGGCCAGTTGAAACGATGATTACATGTGGATGACTATTTTGGAGGAAAACATTTGATGAAATTATTAAGAGTAAACCATTAAACCGAGTAGTCTGTAATCAGAGATTTTAAACAATAATTAGATTGCGCCACATAATCCATTTTTTCTTAACATTCCGACACTAGTAAGGGAGGTGATGACGTTTTAGCATTTTCAGCAAAGAACGCTTGCCGTTTTGACAAAGCGCTAAACCCCGCCTCATCCTCTTGCAGCTAACATCCCGCTAGGCCTCTTGCAGGTTGGTGAGCTTAAACCCCCCAACATCTCCGTCAAAATTAGTCTCTTGATTTGATTTCTGCGTTTTACGGCTTCTTTCTGCTTTATGGGTTACGGAGTTTAGTTTCATCACAAGCTCGTTTTTTTGGGAAAGAGCTCTGAAGTTAATGGCGTCTCTCTCCTTCACCCAATTCCTATCATTCCCCAGGTTCATTTGCTTCTCTTTCTCTCTCCTGTTTTGTAATCTCTGGGAATTTTCCGTCCATGGGTTTCTATGGATTTGGTGTAGAACAACTTGTGTCTGTTTTTGGTGCCCAGAAATGTGCGAAATTTAATAGCTTGTGTTCATCTTATCTTTCTTCTACAAGAGAATGAGTAATAATGATTTGAATTGAGGGAAAAAAATCCCTTCTTTGTCGGCACTTTCTTGTTCAATTTAGCTTAGTGCGTTTCTCTGTCATGGTTTTCTCATACCCGTGCTTAATTTTGGCAGATGCAATGCAGATGTGCCTTATCTCCAGTCACTGGGTTTTGTGAAGTTTCGAGGTGAAAGATGGAATGCGAAACAGAGCCTTTTCATAGCTGCTGGTAGAAAAAAGTTATCAATATCAGCACCTCTTGGAGAAGAAGAAGAAAATGGTGGAAATGGAGCTGTTGGGGGAAAGAAATCACCCAAAACCCCTAAGAAAAGCGGTGCTCGAACAACAACGAAGAAGAAGAAGAAGGTGGTAGCAAAGGATGAACCTTTAGAAGAAAGCTCTGAACTTTTGGTAGATAATGATGTTTTAGACAAGGAAGACGACACAAAGACAGCAAGTGAGCCACGGAAAACTAGAAAGAAAGGTAATGACTTTTACCATTTTCTCAAAGACCTTAGATTCAATTAGTGCATAATTTGCAATCCTACACTCTTTTTCACAGCTGTAGCAGCTTCTTCTGATGTGGATGAAGAAGGAAAAACCGAGAAGAAAGTGAGACGAAAGAGGACTACTAAACAGGATAAAGAAATAGAGGATGCTTCAGGTATAAATAATACATATGATGAGGTTAGTGATGTAGAGGAAGCCTTGGCTGTTGAAAGCGCTGATGTTGAGAGTGAAGGAGAAGAGATTGATCTGAATAAACGTGAAAGTGAAGATATTAGCCACACATATGGATGGCCTCCTCTTGTGTGCTGCTTTGGATCTGCGCAACATGCTTTCGTGCCATCGGGAAGACCAGCAAACAGGCTTTTAGACTATGAGCTACAAGAACGGATGAAAGACGCGGTGTGGTCACCGGAGAAGTATATCAGGGCTCCCGGAGGATGTGCAGGAGGTGTTGCTATTGCTCTTGCAAGCTTAGGTGGTAAGGTTGCTTTCATGGGCAAACTTGGGGATGATGACTTTGGTCAAGCCATGTTGTATTACCTCAATGTGTGCAATGTCCAAACGAGATCAGTGAGGATCGATGGGAAAAGGGTCACGGCGTGTTCTACTATGAAGATGAGCAAGAGAGGTCGCTTGAAATCGACTTGTGTCAAACCCTGTGCAGAGGATTCACTTTCTAAATCTGAAATCAACGTTGATGTGCTCAAAGAGGTAAATGTTGTCCCGGAGATGTGGAAGATTATTATAAACTTCTTTTCTTGTTCACTAATCTCTTCCTCTTTAACGTTGTTGCAGGCGAGAATGTTCTACTTCAGCACGCATTCTCTGCTGGATAAGAAGATGATGTCAACTACACTACAAGCCATCAAGATAGCAAAGAAACTAGGGAATGTCATTTTCTATGACTTGAACCTGCCCTTCCCGCTATGGCAGTCCAGTGAAGAAACCAAGAGTTTCATACAAGAAGTGTGGGATCTTGTAGATGTAATTGAAGTCACGAAACAGGAACTTGAGTTCTTATGTGGAATAGAAGCGACTGAAGAGTTCGATACAAGGAACAACGACAGCAGTAAGTTTGTTCATTACGGGCCAGAAACTGTGGAACCGCTCTGGCATGAAAATCTCAAGGTCTTGTTTGTAACCAATGGCACTTCTAAGATCCATTATTATACCAAAGAGCACGATGGTGCTGTTCTTGGAATGGAGGATGTTCCCATTACTCCTTTTACAAGGGATATGTCAGCATCTGGAGATGGTATTGTTGCAGGTACATTTTTCACCTCTTTTCGTTTTTCATATGAACTGAAAAAGCTATGGGGGCGATTAACTAATCCACACTCTGTTTCAGGTCTAATAAGAATGCTTACGATTCAGCCAGATCTTATAAACGACAAAGGGTATTTGGAACGCACAGCAAGATATGCGATTGAGTGTGGGGTTGTTGATCAATGGTTGCTGGCACAAACCCGAGGATATCCTCCAAAGGATGACATGGAAGAAGAAGATGATGATGATGATGATGAAGATGAAGTGGAGTCAAATCCAGACGGTATAAGATCGATTACAGAGAGGGAGTACCGAACCTCGAAGCCTTATGATGAACCAGATGGTCCATACGTTATGAAACCAGTAGAGGAAAGGGAATACCGGAGGTTAGAGCTTGTTGGCTCAATAGGTGAAGATGATGATAGTTCTTGAAGTTAGTAAGATTAAGATTTGAGATCTTTTTTGTTAGTCAGCTTTTTCCTGTTCAAATCTTACAACAACTCAGTAGTGTGAAATTTTTTCATATGTTTCAACATCTCACTCGATATCTCAACACTAATACCATAATGATAAACGCAGAGGTTGTGAGATTAGAGTAGATATGTCTGGTTGGATAGAGAAGTTGTCACAACTCACAAGAGCAAGTCCACTTCTACTTCTTAACTAGTCTAGGTAGAGAATTATCTTCCTGTGATCTGTGAAAGGCAGTTTGATTCTCAGGTCCTTTTGTTTCCGGTTTAACGGTCTGCCTTTGCTCTCGGGATCTCTGTTCTCCCTCACATCTGCTAATTTCCAGACACAGATCTCTGACTCTGCATCTACAGAATCCAAGAGGAACACTGCACTCTTTACTGCTTTCCTCGAGTTAGTTTCCTCTTCATAGATTACTGTCATGGGCATCTCCTTGAATCGCTGCAAATCCTCTGGAACTCTCAGCAGCCTCTCTGCTCCTGGAGATGATACCTTCACAGTAACATCAAATTTTAGAACAAAAATTACCCGAGAATACATGGGGAAAAGACTCTTTTTTTTACCTCAAGAGCTAGATCCTCTGGGACCATTTTTGCAGTCCCTGCATCATCTAATCTTTGCTTAAATTCTCGACTAAATTTCTCAAGCTCATCCATGGTAGGACATCCATATCTTTGGACAAGACAAGAAACCAAAAAAAAATAAGAGCTTTCTTTAGTTTCTGATACGTACTGCTTTTGCAATGGTTTTAATATAGAAGAGTGAAGAATCTTTACTCATTCGAGAGTTTGTCTAGTCTGACGTATATATATCCACGAGGAGAAGTTCTGAAAGCAAACAGTTGCAAATCTTCTTCCTCAGACTGATTCACAACTTCAGAAGCAATAGAGAGAGCTTTTTCACCCCATGGCACACCCCCGAGAACAACTCCACCACCATCTCCTCCATCGCCAAGCTGTAAATAGAACGGAAAGTTTAGGTTAAAGGAAACTAAGAAAAAGAGAGGCGAAGTGATGAGAAGAATCTTGCAGAAAAATACCTTTGGTTCAACTTCTTCTTCTTCTTCCCAGTCATCTATGACCTCCACATCATCCGTGGTTTTATCTGTCAAAGAATGTATTTAGAGCAACGGTATCTTATGAATCAGCTTGTGTGGACAAGAGAAGGCACAGAGAGAATCAATGACCACATTAACATATCAAAAAACAGTAAATGAGTTTCTGACTTTGTATATGAGATCAAACATTTCTGACACTGTGAGGAGTATTATGTATCAAGATGAAAGCTCAAGGGAAGTCTTGGGGAGAATAAATCAACTGCGAAAGCATTGAAACTAAAATGATATCACAAGATCAAAAGGTGAAGCAATTGTTTGGCTCCCAAAAACACACACACTTCTGCAGGAGACATTTTAACAAACACCTTAAAGACACGAGAAAGGCAAAACGTATGAGCTTCACTCCACGATGTAAGAAGAAGAAGAACAAAAAGGGAGCTCCTTTACGAGCCAGATCACAACATAATTACAGAACAACAAACCCAAAAACCCAGAAAACAAAGTCGCGATCAGAGACGAAAAGGTCTTCTACTTACACTCAAAAGAGTCTTTTTCGTCGCCATTACTAACGGCGGTTTTCGGCGGTCGAACGGAAGGAGAAGAAGAAGAAGAAGAAGAGAACTTAGGAATGGAGGAAGAGAAAGGAGAAGAGCGAGGAAGAGTGACGAGGGTTGTTGTCTTTGGAAGTAAGGAGGAAGAAGAAAAGCTCCTAACGGAGACGGCCGGTGAAGTCAAACGGCGAGAAGCTCGCAACAAAGAAGCTACAATCAGACTTTGGTATCTCGCCATGCTTCCTCTTCTTTTTCAATACATTTGCCACACACCCGCTTCCACTTGTAAATAAGTATCGGCGTTTTTTGGGTTTTAAGGTTTTCTATTTACACAAAAGTATGTATTCCATTTCCATCGAATTCTCTAGCAGTTTTGCTAAGAGACTACAAAATTGGTTTGTTTTACAAAGGTAAAAAGGAAAGGTAAAAGTTAAAAAGGTTTCCTGAATTTGAAACTACTTACTGAGACAAACCTAATAATATTACAAACTGTAGTAACAAGATATGAACGAACACAAAGAGCTTAAAGGCGGAGAATTGTGCGAAGAGTATCGCACAGATTCTGAATGGTTTGCTGCTCCTGCGTTGCTTGCATTTCCTGAAGCGGCATCTCCTCGTAACACCTGCGCATGATCCAAAACTCACACAATGGGTTTCTAGATACTTTATAGTCATAAATAAAACGAAAACCATAAGACCCGGTTTGGTTATATAAACGTACGCTCTGTGATAGGCTAAAACTTGAGCAAGGTTCATCAGAGGAGCGCTTGACGTAAGTCTCTGGTATACACTTGGAGGAAGAGGCATCTGCATCCATTTCATAGTCCCCACATATAAACATTATAAAATTTATACGCTACATAGAGTTTCAAAAGAGGGGAGATTTATAAGTTGGACCTCGTTTTGTCCACGTCGGCCCTTTTTGGATTGAGGATCAGAAGTGAAGAGCTCCTGAAGTGCTTCGACGGCTACGGTTCCATTCCCGTCCTGTTGCATGCCTCCGATCATGTTCTCTGACAATAATGCAATTGGAGATATATCTGTTGCTCTCAAGAATGGTATCGGTACTGTGTTTCCAGCTGCGTAGATTGACCATAACTGCCGTGTGCCAATTACCCAAGTCGTCATGACCATATTTCTTAACCGTACGAAGCCATTGTATAGACTGTAGGCAAAAAAAACTAACTGACCTTATCTTGCAAAGCAAAAGCTTTCTTGCCAACGGTTTCACTCTTCAAGGTACCTCCACTTGCATCACTGCCACCTTCGGTTTGTGTTCCCGATATGTTATTCAGCTTCGTTTTATTCTCCAGAGATATCGAGACTGATGGTGAAGTTCCCCGCACGCTTTGTGAAGTTGAATCTTCGGCTGCAACGTCGGTGGCAGGAGGTTTCTTTTTGTCAAGGATCCTAGAAACCATTATCAGGTTAAAGTAAGCTCAGGAAGCAAAGTACATCATCACCCAAGGAAATATAATTGCATCGTTGTTATTAAGTGGACATGCTCCCGATAAAACAAAACAAAAGGGCTTCACAGTTGAAATACCAGGAGCCAGCTGTTTCTTCTCCTGAGAATCCGACAGAAGCGCCATCAACCTGAGAAGATGAAGATTCTTTCTCTTTGCCAAGTTGAGAACCCGAGTAACTTTCGTCTGTCTCATCCTCACCATGAACGATCATAGTTCCAAAATCACCGCCTGTGTACATGAACACAATGCAAACATAAAGTAGATGCGTTTTTAAATACCACGATGGAGGAAATTCACGACATCATATCCAAGCTGTGTGCAAACAAGGACTGCTGACGAAATCATCAAAACATCACCCCTCATCGCCAAGAAAATATAGTCAGCAATTTTCATGATGGTAAGGATATGCAAATTGCCAACTTGTAAATTACTACGTAATAGGCTAAGGTTCACAGAACATTATAGAGAAGCGTAATCATTAGTCAACAACAACACACCATTCGGTTGTATTCTTTATGATAAAGTTTGCAATATGGACTTAGATAGTCATGAATGTAATACTTGCCTGATATATGCTGCCGATTCAGGGTGCTTGTTGAAGGTGCTTCGATGGTATTTTGATATCCATTATTAGGAGGTTTAGATGGAACTGTAATTCCAATCTCGTCACTTGATTTTGGACCCAGTGTTGACTGTTACAAGATTATACTATACTTTAGACGACTATAACTTGCACAAATATTAGGAAAGAGGAGGGGAGTAACTAAGAGAGAGGAGACCGTTTGAGAAAAACTCAATACATACAGTGTCTTCTGAAGAAGGCTCGGGAACATTTTGCGCTTGCAGAACCATTGTAGCTCTGATTTGTCTAGACTTCTCAATCTTTGGCGACATTGCAGAAGCACCAGTTTTACATCTTTGGACAAATTTGTGCTGAATTTAAAACCAAAGAGTGAACGGCATCAGAAGAACACGGAGATCTTAAACACTAAAATGCATGTTAACTATGAAAGTGATAATAATTCCGACATCTAAAATTGAAGATATACTAATATTGACAAGAAAAAGTCACAGTTAGCTGAAAAGAAAGAAAAAAAAAAGAAAGAGAAGGATCACTGAGATACACATACTAACAATCTCTGACGTGCAGGCACTAGACTATCATAATTTACCTTAAGCATCTCATCTGCAGTTGGGCGAAGACGTGGTTCCTTTGTGAGGCACTTTGCAACAAAATCATGAAAGACCAGTGACCTGCAGAGGGCAGCAACCAACAGTTGAGCGCGCCATAAGATATTGCAAAGATCTTTTTTTAAAAAATTGCATTACTAAGCTTCAGAGCGCTTATAAGTCAATGTTTATATAAAAATGTGCACTGCCAACCACATTTATAAGATTCCATTGCCAATGCTAGGGAAAAAAATCTTACGCCCAAAAACTAATTGGTTCTCATCCAATCGGTAAAGCACTGTAACATACTATGGATAGGCAAATACTATAGCACCTGTGGACATAACTTTGAGAAGTGACTACAAGTAACTATCCTTCACAATATAAGGTATTGATTGCGTTTGAATGGTTTAGAAAGTTTTCTACTGCCCTAGCGACAACCAACGTAACAATTCTCAAGAGGTTTAAGACATACCATTTTTCTTTATCTTCAAGCATTGGAGCTGGCTCGATGGATATCATGAATAAAACCTAACAAAAACGGATGTCTGAAATGAGATATTAAATAACGACAACAGGACGTATAAAAGGGTTCACAGAAGAACATCTTAATGAGCCACCAAGCAAGCAAACAAGCGATTATTTCCCTCTTTTGCCTAGATTTTCACCACTAACCAACCAAGTGAAGATCTTTAGTAGCATTTCAAGACCTCCATTTTCTAGCAACTCTCATGTTTATGAACAAGGTCATACAAGGTCTATACAGATTTCATTCTATTTCAATTTATAGGACAAACTTCACAACACCAAGCTACTTGGCATGGGTATCAAAACAGACCAAACCAAATCGCTTAAAACTAAAGTAAATAAACGGTCTAAGCCAGCCACATTTACAGAAACTTTGAAACGAAGTCAAACACGAATCAATGTGCAAGGAATTGTTTTGGGTTTCGCCTCAAGTCCAGATTCACTTCATTATAATTTTCCAAACAGAGAAAGAACCAAAACCAGAAGAACATAAAAAATCAGGACTGTTATATCAGTTTGCCCATCCTAAAATCAGTATATCCGATCAAGATGGCTAAGTATAACAACCCTCATCGGATGAACTGCTGATCTTGGAGGAAGCCCCTGTAAACATCACAACTAAATGTCAGAAGGCAACCACCGGATGATTAAGAGTGAAATATGGAAGAACCGAGTTAAGTTACGAGGGGTCAAGAGTATTAATCAAAATGTACATGAATTTTCTTCTTTTTTTACATAACATGCCAGGTGTGAGACTAAGTACAGCTAAACTGCCAACTACAATATGATTGTAGTCCTAAGAGAAGTAATTTCAAATTACCTCTGCCATCTCAATTGCTGAAACACCAAGAGCCCATACATCCACCTGTAGTAAAGAGTCCAAATGTCATCAAGAAGCAAACTATACCCTTGATTCTATTCTCTAGAATACTTGTGCAGCTCTAGTTTCTAACTAAACTGGCTATACATCAGACGCTAATTTCCTCTAAATATAAGATCCGGAGGAACTAGTTTGCACAACGATTTTAAGCAGAACGTTAATTACTTTCTTCAAGAGAATATAATATTAGATTTAGCAGACGTGAAGCCTAAAATTAAGAATTTAACATTCCGATATGGAAGGTCCAATTTCATCAGTCCATATAATCTGAAGCTTTGTAAATTGATTGAAAAACTTTGAGGAGTTCACCAGACCAAATTATTGCCAAACAGGACACCTACCTTCCCGTCATAACGATTTTCCTGAATAACCTCCGGAGCCATCCAATGCGGAGTCCCAATGAACTTCAAACAAGACAACATTAAAGAATCCCACCATCAGGCACAAAACGTCTCTTAGGTTAATTGCCCAATTGATCTAAGACAGCTTGATGAATTAACCATGCAAACTTTATTCTTTAGATCTTTACCGTGTTTCGCTTGGACATAGTCCGCGTAAGTTGAGCTGCAACCCCAAAGTCCCCTGTAAAGATTAAGGAAGCAAACTTTGGCATCAGCATGCAGCTGTAAAGAAATAAATAGTATAACAACCGATAAGACAGAGCAAGATTTTGAAAGCATAAAAGCCAACATGTGTACTAAAAACAACATATGTAAACACCATTCTTCTAGCAGGTCCCCAAGCTAACTTACCCAACTTGACCTCTCCTTGTTCGGTCAACAAGATATTTCCACCCTTAATATCTCTATGGACTTTGAATATTGAGTGCAAGTATGCAAGTCCCTACATATAAGACGTAGATACAAACAAAAGTATTAGGCTTACATAAAGTTGAAACAAATGTACCCAAGCAAGGAAGACGCCAGCATCAAATGCACGAAAGGAGAAATCAGCTTTCTTCTTCATGCTTTTAGCCATTCTATAACGTGAAAAAGAAAAAGACAAAAAGTCACTAAAATCGTGTGAATACCTTCAACGCCTCTCGGCAGATATATGCTATCTGATACTCCTCCAACGCCTCCTCAGTAACATTCATCAAATCAGCAACGCTTCCACCTCCACAATACTCCATCACTATCTGCCAGAAAACAGAAATAAGTAACTAGAGAATCTATATTCTCAAAACGAATACATAAACTATAGCATATATAGAAAAAAAAAAACTGTTTGCAAACCCCAAAGAGCTGCTATTTCTATCAAGAAAACCAAGATTCTATGGCCCCGATGCTCACCCAAAGATAATCTTCTCCTTGGTAACTCCCAAGGTAGCGGACAACATTTGGATGATTACACTGCTGCAACATCTCAATTTCCCCACGAATCTCTTCATAGCCCTCCTCCTGTTAAAAAGGTGGAGCTCGAATCACATTGAGTGCTTTTAGCAACTGTGGCAGTTTAATTTAGGTTGAGAACAAGCATTATTATACCCCTTCGGTAAGTGATATGACTTTAACAGCAACAATCTCCGATGTTTTCAAATCTCTTGCCTTGTATACAGATCCATAGGATCCTTTCCCTGCGAAAACCAGATGCCAGATTTGATATACAGCTGCTGAATGGCTGATCATGATCATAGATTCATAGCATAATGCAGCAAATCCGAAAGAGACGAACAACAAATTAAATATATACGGAAAGCTATGAGAAAAGTGTTTTACCAAGTTCATTGAGGAATTCGTATTTGGTGGTTGGATCTTCCCTGGTAATGCTCTCCGGAAGGGAAGTGGTCGACATCTTACTGTTCTGCTGCCGCATTTTCCGGTTTTCCGAAGGAGAGGAAGGGCTAGATTTCCGGTTCTTACCACCAAAACTTGATTTCTGCATACTCGCCACCGCCCTTCCCATAGTTGACAAATCCACCTCCTTCTCCTTCTCTTTTCCCTTTTTACTCGAAGATTTCACAACAAAGGTACCGTACTCTCCGTCGTCGTCGTCTTCTTCGTCTTCCTCATCTGAAGATTCCTCGTCGGCTCTCCTCCTAGGACTGACTGCCATTCGCGGCTTGGACGAGTACGGGCTGCTTTTGCTATGACTACTCCGATCCGTCTTCACAATCATCGTGCCGAAATCTCCTGCTCCATCACCGTCGTCCTCGTCGTAGTCGAGCGACGCGCCGCCCCCGAAATCCTTGGGGAGGCGCTTGAGAAGAGGAGGAAGCAAGGAATCGTCGTCATCATCTTCCTCTCCTCCTCCGTCACTGTCGCCCTTGTAGACCATTGTAGCATATAAATCGACATTTTCGTCCTCCTCAGGTTTGGCCTTGCGTTTGTCTCGATCTCGGCCTTGATCGGAATCTGAGTCCGAGTGAACTACAAAAGTGGCGTATATGTCGGGTTTGGGCTCCAGTTTACGGCTCCGGCGAGATCTCGGCGAGTTATGATCCATCTATTGGCTCTCTACCGATGTCGCCGGAGAAAGAGAGAGTCAGGCAAAAGAGTGCGGCTCTTTTAATGAAAATTGATGAGAAAAAAAAAACACAATTTAAGTAAATAATATTAAAAAGGTAAAGAATGTGCCAACTAAAATAAATTGTGAGCTGGAAATATAAATTCTCTGTTTTGTTGTTCCATTTACAGAGAGCTCTTTAAGCTGTTCTTTTTCGTGTTACCATCTAATTATATTTCTAACACAGTTTTTAGTCAAAAATCATTTATTTTCAATACGTGGAAACTTGCTGAATGCTTTGAAATGGTAGAATATAATGGAATCGTCACAATCCGATTGGTAACACATTTTTTATGTCGTGGAATTGCGGAATGGCGGAAAAAATGAATTGCAGAATAATTTATTGCGGAATTGCGGAACTTTTTTTTTACACGATTGGATAAATTATAAATAATGGCAGAATTGTAGAATTGCAGAATATGTTTATTTGAAAATATTCTATTTTTTACTATATATTATAAAAAATAAAATATTAATAATTCAATCAATTATTATAAAATGATATAATTCTAATTATAACTTTTTAATAATTTATTTTTCAAAATAAAAATAAAAATAAAAAATATTACAAACCTTAAATAATAGATATAACTTTATCATTAAATAATTTTTTGTAGTACTAAATTATTTATTTGTATTTATTTAAATAATAAAATATAATTAGTTATATAATTGAATAATATAAACATTAATTCTACAATAATCTACTCTAAATACGTTTTTCCGCTTAATGAAGATTTCTTTGTATTTTCTGTAAGCAAAAATGCAATTCTGTAGATTTTGCGTTTTTGCGTAGGTTTTTTTTATTGATAAAATTCTTACGTTTTTATGTTTTTCTACCATTGCACTATTCCACAAGTGTTACCAATCAGAACCATGACCATGAGTATTGGTATATATTTTGTTTGAAATACGAACATACAACATATGAAGCACCACCATATACTATTAAGACATCATAGAGACAACATTTTATTTTTGGCCACAAGAATTACAGAAGGTAATTTTGGGATGTAACAAGATAGAGAGTGACAAAGTTGGCTTCAGTTGCTAGTTGCTACCACCACCAAAGAGATAATTCAGAGACGAGCCACCTCCTGGAGCTGAGTGAACCTTGGTCGATGGCCGGTCCTGCACAACACAACCAAAAACATGCTTCAGCAACTATACAATATGTTTTTAGACGAAGAACATAACAAATAATGTAAGAAACGAGGAGATAAAAGATGTTTTCGCTCAGTGTTCAGTCACACCATTCGTAGACACATACCGTGATGAAGTTGCCTGTGTTCTGTCCATCTGCGCGCATGTAGTTGTTTGCAGAGTTGCTATTGAGACCAGCTGGACCTTGGTTTATGGTATCAGCAGGTTTTGGAGCGGCGGCTTTAGGTTGTGCCGGAGAAGAAGAAGGAGCAGGCTGAGTTTCGGCTTGAGCAGTGTTAACGGCTGGTTTTGGAGCCTCTCCGCTTCCGAAAAGATAACCTAAAGAGCTCTGCCCTCCACCTGCACTAACTCCACGACCCATTCTCTCTCTCTCTTCTGCTATGGTTTCACCACATATGAGAAAAATCTGGAATCAGCATCATATCCTTTACAAAAAACATTTCTGGTAATACACAGTGTTACTCAAACCCTAGGTAAGTATACAGAACATGTGAGATATTCCCCAAGATTCAATCTTATGAAAACAACTTGATTGGTGAAAGCTTCTGTGACAAAGTTCATATCTACAAGGCAACATAAGCCAGAGCAAGCACGAAAAGTAGAGAAACGGTCTCCATTAATGGGATTATGAATGGAGCAGCAAGAGCTCGAATCAAAACTTGAATTTTGACCCTTGAGAGGCATTAATATAACTTATCATCACTTATATAACATCATTGAGAACACTTGTCAAATCAATTTTTGCAGTACAGACGCATTCATGCAAATCTGACCTATAAAAAGCCAAAATCTTCATCTAAGGCTTACAAAAGCAATTTCTTAATAACAGCATAATCATTCCCCCATATATCAATCGTATTTGAACCTATCCGTGACACTAATACGATTGCCGAAAAACACCTCTTGCGACTCGAAAGTGCAGCACAATGAAATGTAAGGGCTATTCTGAAATTTTGAAAATAGATGACCTATAAAAAAGCCAAAATAAACCATTCGATCTTCATCTAAGCTTTACAAAAGCAAATTTCTCAATAACCTAGAGCATAATCATTCCCTCATACACATCAATCGAATTCTGCGAATTCGAACGTATCCGTGACACCAATACGATTGCTGAAAACCCTTTTCAAATGGACCTCCTGCGACTCGAAAGAGCAGCACAAATGAAATGTAAGAACATTTACCTGCGGCGACTCCGATAACAGATCCAGTGATCGCCTGAATCGGGAAAAGTTGATCGGAGAAAGAAGCGAGGAAGAAGAAAGCACTGAGAGAGAGCAGGATGCCTGTGATTTCTGATTTATAGGCACACAAAATCGAGATCTCTTTATATTTTTTTAAACGAGAACGAATTTAACAAAAATAACAAATAATACAAAAACTTAAAAAAGGAAAACGAGAACGGAAAATAGCTGGCAGGTCAATTCAACAGAAACAATCACTGTTGAAACCGATGTCGTTTTGTTCTTTAAATATCACAACTTACCTTCTTTTTCTAGTAAGCACCTTAGTGCTGGTGTAATCCACTAATTAATTTCACTTTTTTAATATTTTAGGATTAATTAAGCAAAATTTTATAAAGCATACTGTTTGATAAGAGTTAACAAATAAATGAAAACGGACCCATTTGCAAATGGGTTTTTTGTTCACATCTCTACGGCAAATTCCAAAATACGGGGATCCTATGTCTGGTTCGGTTTTGGTTATATCTGGTTTACATAACCGGCAACAATGATCATGAACTTTTCTTGGCAGGTATTTGAGAAATCTCGACGAGTATTCGGTTCAGTGACTGAGGACGAGAGAAGAAAGGTGCGTGATCAGAGCCTTTGAGCTGGAAAACTTGTTCTGGAGGGTTTGATTTGATCATCGCTTCTTGGAGAGAAACCGGTACAGCGTAATCATCTTCCATGGTTTTGATGTAGAACCGTCGGATTGAACCGTAGTTCTTCTCCGACACGTGAAGCTTTTCGACAACCGGCGCGAACGGGATTGGTCTCATGGATACCGACGCCAATGCAACGTCCTGTACCAAAACAGATCAGGTTTAGTCAAACCTAATTGTACCGGGTTTGTCTTTGGTTCAGCTATGTTAGAATAGTAGTAGTACCTTTGGAGGGCTCTGATTAAAGAAAAAGTCCCTAAGCAAAGATCTGTCGAAATCAACGGCTGTTGGAGGGTTCTTTTTGCCGTTTGCGTACAGGAATATATGGACTTGTTCCATCAGATCATAATTTGAGTCAGCCTGCAAATTTTATACTCAAATCATATCAAATGGTTGCAATTAGGAAACCAGAAAACAAACTTCCACCATATTTATCAAGAAAATTCACCCTCAAAACAAGGAATTAAATTAGAATTTATATCCAAATATAAAAACCTGTTGGTTAAAGAGATCAAGAGTGCTTTGAGCATTGGCCAACATAGCAGCAGAGATGAAAACAGCCTTAGAGATCTTAGAAGGGAACATCTCCATAGCATAAGACATACAAGCCCCTCCAAAATCATGTCCCACTAATATCACCTGCACCCATCAATTAAAATGTTCATTAATAAACATTGTGATTAATTTCACAAAAGACATTATAATATAAAGAATGATAATGAAGCGAGCTAAGAAACCTTCTCGTTGGGTTTAAGTGTGTCGAAGAAGTGGAGGAGTGGTTTGACGTACTGAGCGAGGCTGGTGATGTTGTTGGTGTCGAAGGAGCTAACACCAGAACCGGTCAAGTCCACGGCGTCGACTTGGAAGCCATGTTTCTCTAAGAGCGTTATGGTTTTGTACCAACACCATGCCCCAAAGCCTCCTCCATGAACCAGCACGAACCGCTTCGTCTCCGCACCTTCTACCTTCAGCTCCTGTTTCCAACCATTTATCATATAATATGATCACTATATATATTATATGAGAATTAATCTGAAATATTAACAATGTCATATTTTAGTATTTCTCCTCAACGTTTTAGTTATTTACTTCAGTAGCTCATATCTATATGAGATAGCCGGTTTAATTAAGACCGGTTGGATGAATCTAGGGTGTATCTTGATCGAATTTGAAGTATCACGCAATAGAGTTAAATAAATGAACAATGTTAGGGGGAAGTAGGCAATTAAAAGTGCTTGCCTTGTCAAGAAGCTGATTGGGTTTGAGAACAGGATCAGTGCTTGATCTCTGCCTATTGCTAGAGCTTCTAACGAATCCACAAGTAGACTTCTTAGGAGTCAGGACGCCGGAAACTGAACCTGTGACAGCGGCGACGGCGGAAGCGGGAGGCGGCTGAGTAGAGGGATAGACGACGGAGGTGGAGCGTCGGAAAGGAGGAGCAGAGTTGCTGTTACGAGGCGTCTGGCTAAAGAGGATGTTAGTGGCGGCGACAGTTTGTTCTTGGATAAGAGAGTCTTTCTCGCGATCATGGTGATGTTCTTGGTGATGTCTTTCTCTGATCTTCTTCTTCGTCTTGATCCCTCCTTTCTTCGACGTGGAAGATGAAGACGTGGAGGATCCGGAGCAAGATAGAGACGGCAGTAAAGTCCGGCGCCGGAAAGATGGTATCAGCGACAACCTCCGCACGTGTTTCTCGGAATTACTACTCTCTCCTCCTCCGTTGACGACGGAGGGTTTCTTCTGGTTCGGATCTTGCTCTTGCGATATGCATCTCAAAGAGTTTCCCATTTTTGTTTCTTGGTTTGTGTTTGAGAGAGGAGAATGTGTATTCACGTTTGTATGTGTTTATGTATATATATGGAGCATGTTCGTGCTTGCATGTGTATTGTTTTGATTTGTAATGAATGAAAATGTTTAGTTGAGACCTTCACGATGTGAAGCTGCAACTAAAGTTAGTCTCTCGCCTTTTGATAAAATTATTGCTTGATCGTCATAGTTTCGACACTAGCTATATATGTTTTCTTGAGTCTCGTGAAAATTTGGTTTAAAACTTAGATTATAGTTTTGAATATTCTATCATAAACTAGTGAAATTTGATTGCCTAAACACAGTTGGGAGAGAAGAAAGAGGAAGGAACATGGGAGGGCACTTTCTTTGAGCATTTCTCTGCTCCTTTGACTTTCTAGTGCAGGCCAATTAATTTTACAGCAATAAAATCAGATTCCTCGTATCTTTATTTTTTGGTCTCCTGCTCTAGGAAAAAAAAAAAAGAGCTGCATAACGGTTGAGATTTACTTGTTTAAGCAAAGGGATTAAGAACATAAAATCATATGGGTGCCTTAATTAACCAAAAAATAACCTATAGGTGACGATACATCGTAAATTCGTAACAATCATAATTTCATCATGTGCGAAATTTTACCAACTTACATGCTCCTACTGTTTGAATCGATCCCATGCTAGTGAAAGATCGTTAATTTTTAGGTTATTTAAGTCAATTAAAACCGGAGTCATGACTCTTGTATTGTATCTATGCAAATGGAGGACTTCACATTGTATATCATCTTGGTCCAAGATATCAATAAGATGACATTTGATGTGCTGTGTGTGGATTCTCATCATTCCTTGGAAGGTGGGATACTATCATGATTATTGGTTTCTTGACTAGGAAAAAAATGACAACATGAATAGAATTTTTTTTCCAAAAGTTTTATCTGTCATGCCAAAGCACACATTAACACACTATCTTTGTTGTCCAAGCAGTCTCTTCCTCAGTAACATCTTTCGTTATGTTGATTAATTCCACGACAATAGCTTTTCCAATTGGTCAAGTTTTACAAAATCTAGAATACATCTTCATATCCTCATATTCAGAAAAAGATAATTTTTCCTGAAAAAATAGTAGTCTGTGAAAAAAATGTTGTTATTGTCGATGACAGTAATATGAAAAAGATGCAGATGCAGATGAAAACATTCAATATATCAAACTTACATTAGCTTAAGCACTTTTCATGGTTAATGGGAAATAAACGATGTATCCCTTCTGACTTGGTGACTGAAACAAATTTTCCTCAAACAACACTGAGGGGTTTTGGTTTTAAAAAAAAATCCTTTTTTTTTAGTATGTTATTTTTAAAATATTTTAAATGTGTAAAATCGAATGAGCCAGCTTATGTATAAGAAAGAAAAAAACATTGTTATAACATACAGTTGCTTCCCACTTTTATAGGCAAAATAGTTTTTATAATGATATTTATGATACTTATTCCCTATGTTTTAAAATGACTAATTTTATAGAGTTTTCATACAAATTAAAAACAACAAAATGTTTTGTTATAACTGCACAACCTTTGTAATACTGATATAAATAAAAACGTTTACTTGACAAAAAAATCAATTTTAATAGAACAACAAAAACATAGATATCTAAATCTAATCACATGTCTCTACAAAAATTCATTTTGTCATCAAATTTAGATTTTTCTTCTTAATTTATATTTTCTACAGAAAATTAATTCCTGAGTAAAAGATCTTCATTCATTGTGGTTTTCATGATTTGAGTATCGTACAAACCAATCACACCTACCTCTGATCTGAAGGAACATCATAGGAGATTAATCGCTATTAAATATAGAGAGCATTAATTGAAAAATTAGTTCAATAATAAAAACATAGAAAGCATCATAAACTAGAGAATTCAAGTTTTTTTTTTTAGTGTGATTGAACATATAGGTTTTTTTTTTTGTGTACTGGAATTTTTGTATCTATGGTTTGTTCACTTTTTTGTCTTCTCCTCTTGGATAAAAAGATCCATTGTGTTTTGAATTTTTTTGACAAATTTTGAATTGTGCTTTGAAAGAATAAAAAGAAGTTTTTTTTCATAAGTTAGTTTCCTTTTTTTAGTTGTTTTGAATCTAAACCTCACTCTAGAGTCTAAACTATCGAACATGGGCTTCTTTTTTTATGTGTTTGTTCTCACCTTTAGTGTCATCATTCGTCGTAGCTTGAAAATAGAAAAATCATATTACCATTTTGTAAATAGCAAAAGCTACATACAAAAAAACCCACAACAATATTTCAAATAAATAATATTACAGGATTTGTTTAAACTGATTGGTTTGTATTTAGATATGCTGAATTGAATAACACTAAATATTTATCATCTTTAAATTAATTATATAGTTCAAGAAATTAATCACCATTTTTGTTTGGTTCGAACGGTCGAAGAGTTTCGCCCAAAGCAAGTACGACCCACACGAACCACTTGACTCGATCAGTGAGTACAACAAAGTTTAAGATTCTCTTTCTTTTCCTTTTTTAACTTTTTAACCGTGTGATGGTTAAAGTCAACAAGACTCATAGGGTAGGGTCAACGAGAAAAAGGTTATAAAAGTAAAAACATAAAAGCGAAAAAAAACCAAAACACATTAGTAGTTGAGTTCGAGTTTCCTACCTTCTATAGAAACAGGAATAAATATTCTTCTTCCTTTTTATTTTATTTTTCCCCTTCGATCAAAGCAGAATCTGGGAACCTCTCTAAAACCCTATTAAAGCTCGTCTCTCTCTCTCTCTCTCTCTCGCCCTCCTCATCTCGAGTTCCCAAACCTAATCATACATATCTCGAAAAGCTTCCTCCTTTTCTAGCCGAATTCTCCATACCCCCTCGGTTCACTTTCTCTGCAGGTTCTTAATTTCGTTTTCACGATTTCAGATTTAGGATTAATTTTTTTTTTTTTTTTGTTATAATTGATCTGGGTTTTCGATCTGAATCCTAAATTTGTTCTTCTCTCAATCTGTTTGATCTAAATTGTTGTATATTATTTTAATTCTCAGGACGTTTGCAGATATGGCTACCGAGGAAATTGTTCATGCGGCTGAAGTCTCTAAGGCCTTTCTTGATCAGTACTATCATATTATCGGAATAATGCCTGAGGAAGCTCGTAAGTTTTATGTCGATGCTAGCGTTGTCACCAGACCAGGACCTCATGGTACTATGATGTCTTGTACTTCCGTTGAGGTAAATTTAATTTCTCAATTAAAAGAAGAAAAGTCTTCTTCTTTTACCAGCTTCCATGCTCCTTATTAGTTTCAATCGATCCCTTGCTACTAAAAGATAGGTTACTAGGTTGCTGTTTTTACTTTCTTTGGCACATATAATGTTGTTGTTAGCTTTTATGTTGCTCTTGTTTATTGCATTGCTAATTCAGTCCTATGAGCAAATTGCTTATTGCTAGATCACAGCTCTTTTAGATCAGTATTGTGATAATATGTATTTGTATGCTTTTTGTTGACTTTTTCTTGATTTTGAAACCGGAGTTTAAAAGAGTCTTCTCCTCTTGTCTAGTTTTTGGACATCACATTGTTTATATAATCCTTGTTTCAGGCTATCAACGAGCACTTCGTTTCGTCTAACTATGAGGGTACGACCTTTGAGGTTCTGAGTGTGGATTCTCAGAACTCAGTGGAAGATGGAGTGTTCATAATGGTGATTGGTCTCTCAACCGTAAAAGACAACAAGAAGAGGAAGTTTTTCCAAATGTTCTACCTGGCACGTCAAACCACGGCCTACGTTGTCCTCAATGACATCCTCCGTTACGTCGACGAGCAGGCTTCCACTCCAATAACTCCACCAGTTGTTGAACCTGGTATGTCTTGTATGATCTGAATTTTGTCTTTTTTTTTACGAAACATGAATCTGAGTTGAGAACTTTTTTTTATTTTGTGTGGACTATCGTTGTAGTGCCAGAAGTTGAGATTGCGAAGCCAGTTGAGGAGATAAGCAACAAAAGTGATGCTTCTGCTGAGAACTCTGTTGTTGCTTCTGAAGTAAAGAAGGTTGCTGAGAACGTTGTTGTTGATGCTGCTTCTCCATTGGACAATGGAAAGACCAAGCAGTCTGATGAGAAAGATGTTGCTGCTCAGAAACCGAGAGAGCCCGTTGCTGAAACAGCTGCTGCTCCTCAGCTTGATGGAGGCAAGAAATCTTATGCTGCGATGGTGAGTTTTCTTTCTTCTTCAACATTTTTGTTTGGGCTTCACATATGGGCCCAACTATGCGTACTTATTAATTAAATGTGATACAGGTTGAATCACTGGCAAGAAACGCTGCTCCATTTCAAGTTAAAGCAGCTGTTCAGAAACCTAGACTCATGGGACAACCACGTGCAGCTGCAGCACCTCGAGCACCTGCATCTACTGCTGCTGCTGCACCTCGAGCACCTGCTGCTTCCGTTGGTAAATTTGAAAAGAAGAATGATCAGAGGATGATTGAAGAGCCAGGTTAGAACAAGAGTCAATCCATTTTCGTTGGTTTTTAAACAAACTCTTGTCTATTATTGGGATATCAAGATTGGTATTGTTTGGTTTGGTGTCAGGAACTTCGATATTCGTGTCGAATCTTCCAATGGATGCTGTGCCGCCTCAACTCCATGAACTGTTCAAGGATTTTGGTCCTATCAAAGAACATGGGATTCAAGTCAGAAGCAACAGGGTATGATATGATCTTCGTGCTCATCACCTCTTCAATACTAGTTTCCCTTTCATGAAAGCGCAAGACAACAAGCAATTCTAAACTTCTGTGTTCTGTCATGATGTGTCCAGGGTTCAGGAGTTTGCTTCGGTTTTATTGCCTTTGAATCTGCAACCTCTGTCCAGAGCGTGCTTCAGGTAAAATTACAAACACCAAGTTTCTTGTTTCCCTTTCAAAGAAAATCTACGAATCTCTCTGATGATTCCAACACTCTTTCAAAATTCCAGGCTGCCAAGAACAATCCCTTCAAGCTTGCAGATCGTACTCTTCGTGTGAAGGAGAAGCAAGGCAAGCTTCTCTTTCTTTTTTAACCATTTCAAAGGGAATGTTCACAGTTTCTCTCGTTCAAGCCTCTGAAACTTCCTCTGTTTTTTTGTTCTGTTGCAGTTGACTATGATGGACGCAAACCTTCCGGTGGAAGAAGCGGAGGTGGAAGCAAGACTCAGAACGGCTCTGCAGACGGCGGAGATGAGCTGAGGCGTAACAGAAACCGTAGGAACGGTGGCAGAAACGAGAGAAGAGGAGACCGCAACGCAAATGGAGACAGTAACCAGAAAAACAGTGAAGGAGGAGCAGCTCCTGAGGTTCAAGCTTGATGCTCTCCTCTGAAAACAACACCACAAACACAAGAACAGTTATAATTTGCAGCCTTCTTAGAAAATTTATTATTTTAAGAGATAAAGGAAGTGCTTGCAAGTTGAGATTATTTTTCTACATTACAGATTCATATCACTTTACCTTTTTTAGGTTCTTTTTTTTTGTTTTTTTTTACTCCTTATGGGACTCAACATACAAATTCTTCTGTTTTTCTTTTTCTTTTTCACCAGACAATTGTTCTTCTGTCTTTTGGTTTCCTTCTATATTCCAAATTTTTTATTCGAATATTCTTCTTTCTTATTATAGCTATCGGTCAATTGTGTAATAATCAAGTTTCCCCTGCGAATACGTGAAAGTTATAATCCTGTCCGTCGAAACTTTTAAGAAAAAATAAAAATAATGAACGATGTGAGCTTTCTCTGATGTAAAAATAATGAACTTTTAAGTAGCATCATTCAAGTATTGTAAAGAACAAAAGAAAACATTAATTAGTGCTCTTTCTATATCATATAACAAGAATTTGCTATCTCTGTGATCTCTCTTTACTTCGTTAGGTTCTTTTAACTTACTATTTTCATATGTTTTTTTATACATTTCAAAAAAATTATTCGAATATTAGAGAATAGCTATCCTGGAATTTGCAATAACTTTTTGAAAAAGAAAATTATATTTGCAGTTTTGGGTATACTCAAGTTTCCCATTGTGAATACGTGAAGGTATATCCAATGGTTTGTTCCGTTGCGAATCAATCACTTTTAAGTTTTAAGTAAATAACAAATAATTTAAGATGGTTTTATCTGGTCTAACGTCGCATCATTCAACTATGTGTGATCTGTAAAGAAACAAAGAATGATTTACATCTGTAATGTTTAAAAAAAAAAAAAAAGAAGCAATTAGCGGTTACAAAAAGAAGTAATAAAAAGATAGAAAGCATCAAGCATTGCTTGATATAGAGAAAACAACAAATATGCGACCCAAGTTTGGATTACAAAACCCTTACACGTCAACGATTTGGCTAGATTTGATTCCATTCCCTTTTCCATCTTATTCCCTTTACCTTTATCTTTATTTTTTCCTTAGACAATGCAACATAGATTAGTTTTAAGAATTATTCATTTTTAAAACTAGTTTCCTAATTTATTAGCACTAGGCACAAAACTGTAAAAGGAAATGACAATAATAATTTATAATTCAAGAGGATAAAAAAGGTAGAATATCATCTTACGATGTTAAGAATCTTTTTTGAAAACTAGTCAATGTATTCATGGTTGTTACTTTTGATTTATCATTAAGGTTTAGTAATCGGAGTCTAAGTAAAATAATTCATAAAACAAAGTTAAAACGTTGTGAACAAAACGAAATTAGAATCCTTTTTCCACGACCTATATTTTAAATATAAATTTGTTTCTTGAAACATTTAAAATCCAACACAAAAAATAATTGTGCATAATATTAGTAGTTGCACTTTTATTTATTCCAAAACTTTTAATATATGAAATTCAAAGGTAGAGATATTGGATGAAGTGAAAAATCATTCTAACAGCATAATTTACCTTCAGTCTTCACAGCCATTTTCTAGTCATATATGAATATGATTGATTCCACTAAGTAAATAAAATTAGAAAGTTAGTGGTATTTGAAGTGACTACCAAAAATGAGGTGGTATTTGATATTTCTAAGTAGGGGAAAACGCGAAATGGGACATTCTGAAGTTTATGATATTCGTAATTCGTTCTACTCTGTCCGGTTAATTAATTTTCGATTCATACTCATTCTGTAACTAAACGCGATTATAAGCTCTTATTGTTACAATGACTTATAAACCCATCATAATACTTGTAGCCTTATGTGTGGTGGAGTAGTTGTTGTGACAGGTGAGTGGCCTATATATGCTTTTTAGAATCCTATAGTTGCGTCTGATCCATGGTATAGACAAAATGAAGTCATGACAAGGATTTAGATCTTTAAGACAAAATTATCCAGTAGCAAAATTTATAATTTTGATGAGATTCTTAGTCGAAGATTAACCATATCAATCGAGTCTCCGCTATTATATTTTTTAAAGGTTAACCATTATAGTCATAGAGATCTTAATCTTATAAACGAAAACCAAATTTTTGGCTTTCTGCTATCTCTACTTATAAGTACCAAAATCAACACTATTGTAAGTAATTGATTAATTTGGAATTAGTACAAGAAGTCGATCGGATGTTAGACACGCAAGGAACCCCACACCCAATTGGACACGTGTTACTTGTCCGATCTCTGACATGCTTCACGTTCCCGCGACAGTTGCTTGAGGGCAGTTTCGTAACTACAACGAGATGTGCTTCGGCTGTCACACTGTCACTGGTCTCCTAGATTTCTGAGCTGGCACGTGTGGGGACCACGTACCTTACCCCCAAGCCAATGGAGTGTACGTATATATATTGGTTTATACATACTTTATATACGATGAAGATCACGTTCGATTAGGGTTGCAGAGGAAAATAGATATCTAAGATGTAACTATTTGGATTTAGCTCCTGAATAGATATCAGATGTCCAAACTCAGAATTTATTTTGAGTTAAAATCTGCATAAAATAACAAAATTTTAAACTAGAATAAACTTTTTACCAAACTTATCACACTTGTACTTATATGCAATCGTAGTTCATAAAGTATTGGTATTGTATTACATCATGTTATATAAAAGTGGAATGTTGTATACTAATTGTAGGACCTGGGGTACGAGAACCTTAGCCGTTCCTCTGACTCTGACTAAAAAGCGAGACAGAGATACACGTGTTCCCTACTCTTTATGACGACACGTGTCCGCCTCCCCATCTTTTACGGTGATGACGACACGTAAGTAGCCAGCGAATAATAAACTATTTAAAATATGGAATTGTTTTTGTGCTAGAAAACAGAGCGTAGAGCGATAATAATAATAGGGCAAAAAAGGGAGGGGACAAAGAGATAAATAAATAATTATGTAATTTAAATAACAAAAAAAATTATGAAGCCGTACGTAAACGTGTCGACTCGAGGGATCATCTGATTGCCACTTGGCTCTTTTCTCACTGCTCTTCTGTACTTTTCACACATTGGCTATTCTCGTCGCTTTCTTTCCTTCTACGTGCCCATCAAAAACATTTATATATTCTATTAACTAGTGTAATAAGTATATGTATGAAAAAATTGTTATTTTTGATATTTTCTTTTTAGTAACATAATTTTTAAAAAGTACTCCTGTAAATATAAGAATATAATTACGGGGATTTTGATGGTACTTGCTAATGACGAACTAAATAGGTGTTGTGAAGTGAAAATGGAACTGGATATTCTGTGTTTTCTTCTCTGTCTCATCCCTTAATTTTTTATTTTATTTTATTTTTTGTCTCCCAATTTATGAGATTTAAAATTGAATAGGGAAGAAAACATGTTTCTATAATTCTTTTAGGGAAAGGAATTAAAGAGAACTTTTTTTCTCCAAGATATATGAGTGGGATCAAAATCTGATTTCTTTATCCTCCGATCACTGTTACATAAGCTGCAGTATTCTTTTTTTTTTGTTCTGTTTTGTTTTTGATGGCTGAAGCTAACGAGAGAAGTAGAGAAATGGCGAGAAGCAATAGTTGTGTGTTCCCAAGAGATCTGCTTCAGAGATTTATCTCTAATTCAGGGGAAGGTGTTGAAGATGATGATGAAGAAGAAGAAGAAGATGAGGAGATCGAGTTGAATCTGGGTTTATCTCTTGGCGGGAGATTCGGAGTTGACAAAAGCAACAAGCTCGTGAGATCCTCCTCCGTTGTGGTTACGATGCCTCTTTTCCGGGAGAATCATCAGCCGGAGACGAAGCCTTCGTTGACGACGGGGACATCGGCTGTGGCGGAGGCGGCGACGACGACCACACGGCATACGGGTTTGATGAGAACGACGTCGTTGCCGGCGGAGTCGGAGGAAGAGTGGCGGAAGAGGAAAGAGATGCAGACTCTTCGGAGAATGGCGGCGAAGAGAAGGAGAAGCGAGAAGCTTCGTAGCGGCGGCAGCGGCGGAAGCAGCATCAAATCAGCCGAAGCTAATAGTAATAATCCGGGAGAAGCCTCCACCACTTCGAGACGGCGAGGTAGACCGTCATCAGGGCTGCCACGGTGGTCGGCGACGGCTAAAAACGCTGGACTTTTGCGACAACAGAGTGCTGGTTTAGATTCACTGCAAGGCTCCATTGACTCCCAAGGCGGAGGAGGAGGAAGCGGCGGAGGCGGCGCCGGAAGTTCTTCGAGTGTCTCCGAGTTAGAAACCAAATCTCACCAAGGTATACTAATCTGATCATCATCATCACTAACACAAGCTATAATTTTGTTGAACTTAAAGATTAAGCAAATGGATGCATTAGCACAAGTTTTAATTTTGTTTAATGCATCATTCTGAAATCAATCATACAAATTTAGCTGCTAGAAAAGCCTAAATCTTTGATGCTAATATTTCACCTGTTCAGAACTTGAAAGGTCATTTGCCTAGTTATGAGATTTAAACTTACATATGTTTATTTATTTTTAAATATAATTTAACTTAACCAAAGTTACTAAGAAACAGAGTATGTTTTGATGAATCCAGCGTCAAGCGAAGAAGCAAGAAGCTTACCCTCAACGACACAACAACAACAACAACAACAACATGAAACAGCAAAGCCGATGAATCGGCTGAGAAGATTGAGTTCAGTGGACATGAAGATAGAGCCACAAGGGAAAGGGAAAAGCGAGATGCCATGTGTGTTCACCAAAGGAGATGGTCCTAACGGGAAGAGAGTCGATGGGATTCTGTACAGATACGGTAATGGAGAAGAAGTGAGGATCATGTGTGTCTGCCATGGCAATTTCTTGTCTCCTGCTGATTTCGTTAAACATGCTGGTGGTCCTCATGTAGACCATCCTCTTAGACACATTGTTGTCAACACTTCTTCTCCTTCTAATCTCTTATAGACCCAGAAACAACCAAAAAAACCTAACCCTCTCTTCATTTGATCCCTTCAATTAAAGACCAGAGTTTAGAGAAGAAGATGTTTAAGTGTTTTAGATCAGACACACACATGTCTGTATCTGGTAATTTCCCAATATTTAAGAGTTTATATATGTATTTTACTACTTTATATAGAGAAGGAAAAACAACAGTTTTTTAATCTGTTTTAAGCTTCAAGAGAATAACATTAATGATAGCATATGGTGATTAGTAGTACAGATGGAAAAACATCCTAAACAGACTTGAAACACGAAAAGCTAAAAGCTTCTAATATGACTCTAACCACATTTTTGCTGCTGTACAAATCCTCTAAAAACACACTCGTTCTTCTTCTTCTTCTAGCTTCTTCTTGTCACAATCTAGAAGGTTGGATTCGCTTCAGCAGTTTCACAGCTTGTTTCATCGTTGGTCTTATAGAGAGGCTATCCACAGTGCATTTGAGTGCTAAATGCAGAACCTCGACCAGGTCGTCTTGAGGACCAGTCTCCCATAGTCCCTTGGTGAAAACTTCTTTAGCTTTGCCTTGGCTCAACATCATATGCGCCCAAGAGACAATGTTAAACCCGTTCTCGTGGGACGAGAAAGACGGATCAAGAGCTCGTTTATCCGATATCAGCTCCAAGATGACAATACCGTAACTGTACACATCCGCTTTCTCCGAGACACGGCAAGTCATTGCGTATTCGGGAGCGACATAACCGAACGTTCCAGCCACGCCTGTCGTGACATGAGACTGAGAAGTCCCCAAGAGCTTCGATAACCCGAAATCGGATAGATACGCGTTGTAGTTGTTGTCCAAGAGTATGTTGCTCGGCTTGATGTCTCTGTGCAAGACCTTAGGCGAACACTGCTCGTGGAGATACGCGAGAGCACGCGCTACATCGAGAGCGATCTTGTGGAGGATCTTCCACTCGAGAGCTGGTTTTGACCTCTCCTTGATGAAATCCTCGAGGTTCCCGCCGGATAAGTAGTTGTAGATGAGGAACATCTCGGTCTCGCTCGCGTGGTAGCCGATGAGGACGACGAGATTCGGGTGCCTAACCATTTCGAGAGCAGAGATCTCTGCATGGAACTGTTGATCTCCTTGAAACCTCCCAACAGAGAGTCGTTTCACGGCCAGGACGTTGTTCGGAGACACCTCGGCTTTATAGGTGGAGCCAAAACCGCCGTGGCCGATGCAGTTGGAGTTGCTGAAGTAACCGGTGGCTCTAACGACGGTCTCGTAGGTCAGAGGGATAACATTGTCCACAAACACTTTGATCTCCTTTGCTTCGACCACTTGAACCTGAGAGTTTCGTTTCCATTTCTTCGTGTAGAGGAAAAGGACGACGAGGACGAGGAGCACGAAGACGATGACGGAAGCTGAGACAATCGAAGCGATCTCAATCGGGTATAACCCGGTTTTACCGGAAGAATCGTCCGAGTTCGGACTCGCTCCGTCTTCTTCGTCGTTGAGACTCGTGAGCTTCCTTCCATGAACAGCATTTCCTGAGAACAGAGAGACACCGACGATTTCGGAAACCTTCAAAGGATCCACCTTTAGTGACTTTCCGAAATTGGCAAGGGATCTTCGAATCCAAAGCCCAGGCTTTTCATCAGCTAGATTCAGATCCTCTGAGATGCGATTCGAAACCCTAACTCCATGGATTCCCCCGATAAAGCTGTTCCCTTGAAGATCGAGCAGTTCTAATCTCTCCAATCCCCAGATCTCCTTCGGAATTTGACCTCCCAGATCGTTGAAAGCAAGCGACAAAACCCTAATTTCAGAGAGATCTCCTACCGCCGGAGAGATTTCACCACCGAGTCTACCCGAACAGGAAGATGAATCTGGGAAATGAAGGTTACTACCTTCACGGTCGTCGCAGCCTCTGAGAATTAGAGAGACGACTCTCAAATCGGAGTTGCAGGACACACCGTACCAAGAACAGTGGTTTGAGCTGTTCGGATCCCAGCTAGAGAGAACACCATTTGGATCGGAGAAGCTACTCTTCAACTCCAGAAGAACAGCTTCGTCGTGAAAACCACTCTCGGAAAAAAGTTTCCGAGAAAATGAAAATGCAAACAAATTAAGCAGCAAGAACAAAGCAAGGAGCAATTTTTTCATTTTCTTTTTCACAAGAGAGAGAGAGACGAAGGCAAAACGAAGAGAGATAATCAAAACCCTAAATTTTTGTTTTGCCCCTTTTAATTCACAAACCCAACATCAAAAAAAATTCAAAGTCTTTTCCAGATTTTGATCTCCCTCTCTCTCTCTCTCGAAATTCAAGTCGCAAAAGAAGAAAGTTTCTTTCCCCAAAAAGAAAACGACATTAAAGAGAAACAAAAATTTATTGGCTCAATAACCAATACAAAAAAAAGTTCTTAACGTATTGGAAACAGTCAAACGAGTATGAATTTCGAGGAAAAGAGAAATAAAGGAACAGAGAAAAATCTAAAAATACTTTCAGCTTTTTTGCCCTTTCTCCGTCATAAAATATTTAATTCATTTTGAGGAAATTTTTTTCAAAACACAATTTGTCTGTATTCATCAGTGTCAGTTACTTATACTTTTTTTTGTAACAAAAACGTAGTAATAAAAGAAAGGGGAATTGACTCATGTAACCATATCAATATCTATAATTCAGAAAATAACTATACCAATATAGAAATTATTATATTCTTTGTATATTCTACAATATATACAAAACTGTCCTTGTTTATTTTTTTTCTCCTTCGATCTTCTCTTCTTCTTTCATCATTTTCCTCTCACTTCCCCTATGTTCATCTCTAGTCATCCTATCTCTCCTCCTTCCTTTTCCCCTCTCTTCGCCTCTTCCCCTTTTCTCTCGCTGTCTTCTCTTTTTCATCTCTTTAATATAGTATAGTAAATATAATTAAAATCTCAAGTGCTATACTATATTAATTTTGTCGTGTAAGACCATATATTATAGTATAGTCCGAAAAAAAATCATTTGCTATAGTCAAAACTATTTTCTATATATATTTTTGGTTTAAAACACAAGAAGTTTTTTGTCTTTTTAATGTAGAATATGATTATTTTTTATATTTTTTGAATAATATTACTATATTCTTATATTTTTTCATAAATATGGTTAGATTGCAAATTAACTTTAAAAGAATAAAAGAAAATGTAAATTTTTTTCATTTTATGTGAGATAGATAGATAGATAGTGTTTCACTTTCAGCCGCGTCTCTCTCGTTTCTGTCGTAAATTTTTTTGTTGTCGTTGTCTTTACAGACTTTAGAGAGTGATGGGACCCACGCCAAGTCAATGTCTGATATAGAGAGGTCTCCACATGGCTGCTTCTTGTTTGACCAGACGGGCTAACTATGGGACCTACTCTTTTATTGGTACATGATTAGATTCCGAAATCGTTTCATTTTTTCGAAGTTAACGATCATGTCACGGTTTTTTCAAGTAGACGTGTGTGTATTCCTCGGTGTCTCTGCGTCATGATGACGTTATTTTTTGCGTTAGAAATATGGCCCAACCGTTTTTTTAGTGTGATTTTTTTTTTTTAATTTGCGCTTCTTCTAGTCCGTATATTCGGATTTTGAGATTCAGAGTTATCATCACAACGTTACTTATCAATACAAATTCTTGAATGACAAAGCGACTTCTGAAAGTACCGGAAGAGGAAAGTAATCGGAGTTTGATTTGACTTCACTAATAGTTTAGAGTATCTTTTAGCTCGCCCAACTTATGGAGAAAAGAAACTTTGTAATGTGATATCAGTGTCAAGCTTGACTGAATGGATGAAAACCAACAAGTTAAGCAAAATAATAACGGTTGAATTTGTATTTTTTTTTTTAAGACAAAGACATGAATGTATAATAGTAAAGAGAGAGAGTTCATCTGTTATTTTAGTAAATAGTTACAACCTATTAATATCTTCTCATCAATCTTGAAATAATTTATGTCGAAAGTGAATTTAAAATTTTAAACTAATTATATTTACCAAGTTAATATATACATCAATAATGATGTTTAAATATATGTACTTTTAGTATAAATAAATTTATTGACTTAGCTAATATAAATTAGTAATATTGTCAAAGATGTTAAAGTAAATAGTTTTCTTTAATACCATGATATTTTTTTATTACATGTTATGTTAATCTCTGATAACATACATACTTGAGATAATTTATATTTTTGTACTCCTTTTATTTTTTATATAAGATATTTAGCACTTTGCACATAAATTAAAAATTCAGTATACTACATATATTCCAACCTTTTTTATTGTTAGTTAAGTTTTAATTTATTAATTAATGTGAGAATAAAATAAATCATTTATCATCAAATTTTGCATAGAAATCCAAAAACATCATATAATTAAGAACAAAAACAAACTCTTAAAATATCATATAAATAAAAACAGAAAGAGCATATATTATTAATATATAAATGTGTATAAATAATAATTTTTTAAAAATGTTATATATTTATTATAAGTTATGTTACTATATGATAATATATACATGTGAGATGATACATAAACTTGTATAAATAACTATGTTAACTAAGTTAATTCAAATAAGTAACATTGTCTATAAAGTTGTTAAGTAAATAGTCTTTTCATACTGTTATAGCTTCATTAAATGTTGTGGTACTCTCCGACAACATATGCACGTGAGATTATTTGTAATTTTATCTAAGTAACTTTGTTGATCGTGTCTAATAATAGATTAAATAAATCTTTTTAGAAGACTATTATATCTTTATTACATGTGTTACTCTCCGAAAATATTTGCACACGAGATGATTTGTAATCTTGGAGTTAATATAAGTCTGTCAATAATAGTATCTAAAAACGTGTTAAGTAAATAATGTTCTAAGACCGTTATACTTTTATTACATGTGTTGCAATCCGACAACATATGCACATGAGATGATTTGTAATCTTGTATAAACAAATATGTTAGATTCAGTTAATATACATCAATAATAATGTGTATTAAGTAAATATTTTAGAAGTTTGTTATACATTTATTATATGTGTTACTCTCTCATAACATATACATTTGAGATAATTTATAATTGTTAGACTATTATACCTTTATTACATGTGTTACTTTCTGAAAATATTTGCACACGAGATGATTTGCAATCTTGGAATTAATATAAATCTATCAAATAATGCTATTTAAAAAGTGTTAAGTAAACAGTCTTCTAAAATCGTTATGCTTTTATTACTTGTGTTACTATCCAAAAATATATGCACGTGAGATGATTTGTAATCTTGTATAAATAAATCTGTTAAATTCAGTTAATATACATCAATAATGATGTGTATTAAGTAAATATTTTTAGAAGCCCGTTAATTATACCTTCAATACATGTGTTACTCTCTCACAACATATACATGTGAGATAATCTATAATTGTGAGACTGTTATACCTTTATTACATGTGTCACTCTCCGAAAATATTTGCACACGAGATGATTTGCAATCTCGGAGTTAATATAAGTCTTCCAATAATAGTATCTAAGAAAGTGTTAAGTAAATAATGTTCAAAGACCGTTATTCTTTTATTACATGTGTTGCAATCCGACAACATATGCACATGAGATGATTTGTAATCTTGTATAAATAAATATGTTAGATTCAGTTAATATACATCAATAATAATGTGTATTAAGTAAATATTTTTAGAAGTCCGTTATACATTTATTATATGTGTTACTCTCTCACAACATATACATGTGAGATAATCTATAATTGTGAGACTATTATATCTTTATTACATGTGTTACTTTCTGAAAATATTTGCACACGAGATGATTTGTAATTTTGGAGTTAATATAAATCTGTCAAATAATGCTATCTAAAAAAGTATTAAGTAAACAGTCTTCTAAAACCGTTATACTTTTATTACTTGTGTTACTATCCGAAAATATATGCACGTGAGATGATTTGTAATCTTGTATAAATAAATCTGTTAAATTCAGTTAATATACATCAATAATGATGTGTATTAAGTAAATATTTTTAGAAGCCCGTTAATTATACATTTATTACATGTGTTACTCTCTCACAACATATACATATGAGATAATCTATAATTGTGAGACTGTTATACCTTTATTACATGTGTTACTCTCCAAAAATATTTGCACACGAGATGATTTGCAATCTCGGAGTTAATATAAGTCTTCCAATAATAATATCTAAAAAAATGTTAAGTAAATAATGTTCTAAGACCGTTATACTTTTATTACATGTGTTGCAATCCGACAACATATGCACATGAGATGATTTGTAATCTTGTATAAATAAATATGTTAGATTCAGTTAATATACATCAATAATAATGTGTTTTAAGTAAATATTTTTAGAAGTCCGTTATACATTTATTATATGTGTTACTCTCTCACAACATATACATGGATATAATTTATAATTGTGAGACTATTATACCTTTATTACATGTGTTACTTTCTGAAAATATTTGCACACGAGATGATTTGTATCTTAGAGTTAATATAAATCTGTCAAATAATGCTATCTAAAAAAGTGTTAAGTAAACAGTCTTCTAAAACCATTATACTTTTATTACATGTGTTACTATCCGAAAATATATGCACGTGAGATGATTTGTAATCTTATATAAATAAATCTGTTAGATTCAGTTGATATACATCAATAATGATGTGTATTAAGTAAATATTTTTAGAAGCCCGTTAGTTATACATTTATTACATGTGTTACTCTCTCACAACATATACATGTGAGATGATCTATAATTATAAGACTGTTATACGTTTATTACATATGTTACTCTCCAAAAATATTTGCACACGAGATGATTTGCAATCTCGGAGTTAATATAAGTCTTCCAATAATGCTATCTAAAAAGTGTTAAGTAAATAGTCTTCTAAAACCGTTATACTTTTATTACATGTGTTAATATTCGACAACATATGCACGTGAGATGATTTGTAATCATGTATAAATAAATCTGTTAGATTCAATTAATATACATTACTAATGATGTGTATTAAGTAAATATTTTTAAAAGCCCGTTATACCTTTATTATATGTGTTACTCTCTCACAACATATATATGTGAGCTGATCTATAATCTTGTATATATACATGAAAAATTACTAAATAAAGTATTTTACAAAACTTAAACTACACAATAAGACACTTGCTGCAACCAAGACACTTTTACTAAGAGTAAAGACAAAATTACTCTTCTACTGACAATTAACCTTTTTCTCTCATTTTTTTTATAAAAAATCTAAAAAATCTTATAAATAAATATTGGGAAACCAATATTTTGAGAGAAGCGAATTCATTAAAAATGGTGTTTGTTGTTAAGATTTATGGTTTTGTGGACTTGGTATCGTGGACATTATACCATGGATGCACTCAATTAAAGATATCGTATGTAAAATATTTATAGAGAAAATAACATGTACAATATCAAGGATATAATCAATTAATATGATGAAAATTAAAATTTTGCATAGATTAATCATGTACATGTGGATATATTTTAACTTCATAAAATGCTTACAAAATATGTGGTTTTATACATTTGTCCACTTAACATGCTTGATAAGTGATCTAGCTAAGTAAGACAATATTAAGCTTAGTGTATCATGTACACAACAAAACTGTAATCGACCTTTTGTAAAATATTTTCTCTTTATCCATGGAGATCTATCTTTTTACCTTGTTAACGATACATTCATTTCCATGTATAATTCACAAATACTTCACACACAATACTATATCCATGATATGATTTTCACATTAACTTATTCATAGTAATGTTATAACTTGTTTATATTACTGTTTATAACAAGTTAAAAAATTGTTTATAATATTTTTTCATTCAAAGTTTTTGATACTATTCATTACAAACTACCATCTATTGGAGCCATTCCACAATCTCAGTTCCACAATACCTTCTTATTCAATGTGTTCAACATAATGTTCGCCACATACATTGGACCTTGTTTATGATCCTACGTCTATGATATTTTATCCATTTGAGCAAAATGTTCATAACTTGTCCATCATGTGATACATTTTCACCATAATGTATTTACAAATTTCACAACTTTATATACCATAGTATATCCACAATTTCACACTAATATTAAAAAGGCTAAAAATATTAGTGAACAAGAGAGTCAAATAAAAATAATTATATATATATATATATTTAGATTATTTAATCAATGTTAAAAGAAAAATAGAAATTTAAAAGAGATGAAAACGATATAATAGTCTTCTTTAAACAAAAATGAGTAAAGTAAAGCAAAAGTATCATAGTTGTAAAAATTGCCTTTTTGTGTAACCAAACTCAAAAAGTGTATTTTTCGGTAAATCATTCTATATACATCAATAATGCTGTCTAAAAATGTGTTAAGTAAATATTATACATTTATGATATGTTGTTGTGTTACTCTCTAACAACATATGCATATGAGATGATCAGTAACGTAGTTAATATACATTAGTCATGACGTTCAAAAAATGTTAAATTAATAACCTTTTAAAACTATTATACATGTATTAAATACAATGCCTGTCCAACCACATTGGTGGCTCAAAACGAAAAATATAATTATAATTTTTTAAAATTTAATATAAAAACATGAAATAATATGAGTTTAAAAAAAATAAGTAACTATATATATATATTACTATATTGAGTCTAAATTATTTTGTATTTAACTTTTTTGTCTGTGTGGCTTTATAAATAAACTATTTGAAATAAAAATGTGGCCCAATAATTTATAAAAAAATCTGGTTACTCTAAGCTATGACTTAGCCAGCTTGTATTCTGGATCGGACCTGATTAAATGTTAAGTTACTTTCTGCTAACATATTCACGACTTCATGTGATGATATGTGTACCAAATTAATACATATCAATAATAATGTATAAAAAAGTATTATATAAATAGTCTTTAAAAACCATTATACTTTTATATTATGTTGTATGCAAATGTTTTAAAACTGTTATATCGAGTTAATAATACATATTAGTAATGTTATATGGAAAGATGAAAATGTTTATAAAAAAGTTATGATATGTGATCTATTTATAACAAACAGTTATATACATATAAACAACAAAATGAAGAAAAATACCCCCCTCTCCCCTAAAAAAAGAATTCACTTGAAAAACAGTTATTCTTCAAGAGGTTGAGATTGAGATGTCAAAAAAATACAGTAGAAATTTTATAATTTAATACTCGATAAATTAATAATTATTATAAATTAATAAAGTTTGTTGGTCTTAAGTTTCAGACCATTGTAAAAATTAGTAAATTTTGACAAGATAATATTTTTTGGAAGTTCTATGTAAAATTATAGTCTCAATAATTAGATAAATTAGGTATATATATATATAATAAAATATAATTGTGTTATTATTTCAAGTTTTTAAATGTTGTTTGACTTCTCTTTCAAATTTATTGATATATTATTTTTTCAGTAAATTTTATGTTGTCAAAATTTTTTTTTTTCTTCTGATAAATATTTTATTAATTTATTAATTAGCTAATAATTATATAAATTAATATTTTATTAATTTATTAATATAAATTAATAAAAATTTGAAATCCCAACATTATTAATTTATATAGGTTTTAATGTAATAGAGTTGCAACTCTCTAATATTTCTTCTTCTTTTTTGACCAAAACTCTCTAATATTTCTTTGGTTGCGTATCTAGATAAATTAGGTTGATTCCTTTTTTTCTTCTTTTACTGTAACAAACCAATTTGATTACTTATTGCTAAATTGATTTTACTTGAGAAGTTATAATAACACTTATTATAGCTGAAATGTCGACGCCCAATGAAAGATACATCAACATCAATGGACAATGGATAATCTATGTTGATTTTGTCAGATACTTACCACAAGATCTGTGAGTATGTGGTGACCTCATACCTAATCTTAATATTGCGTAATATTCTCTTCCTACTTCATCCTGACTTCTTGATAACAGAAAACCAAATTGTTGTTCACCTTCTTCTTTTTTGGTAACTATTCCCAAAAGGCAAGAAACCTTTTATAATTGTAAAATCTAATTGTATTTATCCCTTCAGCTAAAGAAACAAAAAAGACAGAGAGTTGGGTAAGAATCATCTAATCTAAAAGTTAACAAGAAGGAAAACAACAAAACCATTTATGAGATGTTTTAGACTCTGCCTTTTGCAGTTTCTGCTCTTCACTCCTTCTAGTCATCTCATCATCTAGTACTTTCTTCGAAGAACTGTAGCAAACACAAAGGAAACTCTGTTGCTAAGCTCAATGACAGATTAAAGAAGACCAATGTGTGCGAATCTAGAAGTAGCAATGTACCTAGAACAACAGCTCCAACAGCTCCAATTGCAGCAGAAGAGCCAGCCACAAGAAGAGCAGCAGCATTTGGGCCATCTGCAGCAGCACGAGCAACATTTTAGTCGTTTGCAGCAAGAGAAGTCGTAGTCACAACTCGGCCATTTGCAGCAGGAGAGGCACGGTCCAGTGTTCTTGCAACACAACCAAGAACATCTCTTCTTCTGCTTCTGCTGTTGCTGCTGCTGCTGCTGCTTCGTCTTCTTCTTTTTCGCCTTCTTTTTCTTCTTCTTCTTTTTTGTTCTGTACCAAAACAACAAGTAATCAAAAACGAAAGCTCTTGTTTACCGCAATCAAAGACTAACTACAATGAGATGAGTCTCACATTGGATATGAAACTGAATGTGGGCTGCTTGGTGCTTCGTCTGAGTTATTGCAGTCCCCAATGTTCCTCCACGATACATCCGAGTTTGAAGACTTATCCTCACTACTGTCACTTCGCAGTATCCCACTCTCTTTCTCCTCCATATCAAAGCTCTTTCCCATATCAAAAGAATCAACCGGAACATGAACAGAAGGGCAGAACGATAACAGCTCACCTGATTTCAAAAACTCTCCAGCCTTGAAATCACGGTAACTAAACAACTCATCTCTCCCAATCGCGTTATCGCCTATGCTGAGACTAAACAGAGAATCATTCGAAAGCGTGCTCAGATTCCTCTCCAAGGTCGCTAACGAGTTCCTCTGAGGCCTGTCAGATCCTTCTCTATCCATCATTTGAACAGAAGGCGACAAAAGCGCAAGCTCCACTGAAGCCTGAGTCACACCAGAGACTTGTGAACCTGGTGTGTCCGATGAGCCTTGTAACTCGCCTAGCTTTAAAGAAAGGCTTAAGAGCTTCTTCTTACGTCGGCTACTATCTTTCGCATTGACCTCGAGCGTATTCCCTGAAGAGGATGGAGATAATGAAGACGAGGAAAGAGATGCAGATCTGCTTGTGGTGATCTCTGGATCATCTTCCTTGAGACGAACATCACTGACCACGTAACTAGCAATGCTCCCCAATTGGAACAGAACCGGTTTCTCACCGTTCCCTTCTCTGTTTGTTGGTCTTGGATCAAAACTCCTACTATCATCCGCTTTTTTATGCTTCTTTAGATGAAAAGCCTTTTTTTTGTGTCCCTTCTTGTTCTTGTGATTCGTTTCCATGGCTGAACAAATAAAAAGAAAACTTTGTCACCTTCTTTGAAACTTGCTTCCACAATATGCAATATGAAAACAGATATCTTTGAGCAAAAGATTCGAAAAACAAACAACAGAAATAAAGTTTTGACCTCAATAAAGGCACCAACCTGTAATACATAAAACTGCAAAATTTAATCTGGAGCCTGGAACGATGACAAATCAATAAAACAACAAAACACACCAACAAAGGATAATCCTTTTGGAAAAAAAATTGTGAGTAAAAAGGAGAAAGATTGAACAAAATGAAAAAATTAATTCATTTGGTCTCTTTTTTTCTTTCCTGCAGATTTCTTTAAACCAAAGGTATTCCTACAAATTAGGGATTAGCTCGTCTTAATCAAACCTTGGCTTCTTTTGGCGCCATCTTTTTTTAACTAAAATTTCTTCTCCTAATCCAATGCTCCCCATATTAGCAATGCCACGTGTCACAACACCATCTAGAGACAGTATCAGTTTTTTTTTCATGTGCTGAGACCAGCCCAGTTCTTGAAGGCAACGAGAGACTCCATTTTCTTGTAGTTCCTCTTCCTCAACTTGGGCAATCTTAGCTTCTTGTGAGTCTCCATGAACGCTTGCTTATACCTCCACTTATCCACAAAAATCTTCATCTCCTTAGATTTCTCCACCACTTGCATCGCCGCATCAAAGAACCCTCCCTTGACCAAAGCATACAAGAACGCATCGACTAGAGCATGGTCTAGTTTCGACCTCTTCTCTGCCTCCACCGAAGATATCTTACCTTTGATCTCGTTCCACAACAGCAGTACGTTGAAGTACTTTTCGCCGCTCACATATCCATTAATCAGTGATAAGTACGTTTGGTTATTCGGCTCATACCGGAGGAAAACCATCCTCCTGAACGTCCTCCTCGCGTCTTCTAAGCGTCCGGACTTACAAAAGGCGTGAATAATCGAGTTCCAATCATGAGAATTCACTTCTACGCGAGGGTCTTCGACAACTTCGTCTAGAAACGCTGCCATTAACTCTGGTCTCTGATTCTCAAGGAGACCTGTCATGATCGTCAAGTAGCTCCCTTTCAAATCCGCCACTCTTGTCTCTCTCATGTCCCTGAACAGTGTAAACGCAGATATGAAATCCTGGTTCGTCATGGAAGCTTCGATCAGAGCGTTGTAGATCTCTACGTCTAGTTGAAGACCAGAGTTGCTGATCTCTGTAACCAGCTGAGTAGCTTCAGCTGTTTTGTACTCTTTGCTGTATGCTTTCAAGATTGGTAAATACACACCAAGCCCTACAGATCCTTCTCCCTGAGCAATCATCTCGTCGAGAATGCTATGTGCTTTATCCGAGAATCCAAGATTGACACAAGCACTTATGATTCCAAACCCAACTGATCTATCAATGCCAATGGACAGAGACTCCAATTTCTGAGCTTTGTTTATCAGTGTTGCTAAACTCTTTATGCTTTTGCTCTCGATAAACCCTTTCACCAATTCACAGTACGTTTCCACACCGAAACTCGAGTCTTCTCCATCTACTTCAAGACTATGCAGTATAACTTCAGAGACACTATCTAAATCACCCATCTTAACATATCCACTGATCATATTAGAGTAAAGGATTCTTCTACTTGTAAACCCAAAGCCATCCATCAAATTCTCAAGCTCGCTTATCTTGTCTTTAAGCCCTTTCCTTGCATACAAATAAGCAAGAAACCCAAAGCTAGACTCGTCAGGCTTCACACCCAAAACAGCCATAGATTCAATCACGTTTTCAGCATCAGCTAGAGATTCCAGCTGCAGGCAACACGCTTCAAGAGCCGCGTTACTTGCAAGCAAATCAGGTTTCATGAAATCAAGCTTCTCGTCGATTGCGATTCTACAGCTTTCTCTAAACACCTTAAGAAACGCGACCAAGCTGCCATTTTCGCGGCAGATATCGACAATCAAATGCCCCCAGAGATCAAACGGAGCAAAGTACCTGTTCCCGAACATACACTTGACCAACGCCAACGCGGGCGCTGCTGCTTTCGCCAGTTTCATGGATTCCATAAGCTCACGAACGGTCTCAAAATCCAGCAAAATCGGATCTTTCTCGATTACGTAAGCAGCGGAGGCGAACGCTCGCTTGAGCCTGTGCGAGCTGTTTTCGCCGCTTTCGCCGGAAACGGACAAATGGGTGATGAGGAAATTGACGAGACGCTTCTCGGGGAGAGAAGAAGCGGCGGTGAGAGATCGAAAGGCCTTCCATGCTTCATCTGTGTTTTGGGAAGTTAAGGAATCGTGGAGGGTCGATTCGATGGAGGATTTTTGGTCTTGGGTTAGGGTTTTGGTGGTTTGAGGCGGCGAAAGCGACGGCGTGAGAGTGATCGGCTTGTGGGAGAAGAGAGAAGGCTTGAGGAAAGAGTAGAGGGATGGAGTTTCAGGAGAAGACGAAGAGAAGTGTCTTCGTTGGATTGAAGATAGAGTCTTTCTGAACATTTCTATGAAAGCAGCAGGAGATCATCTGGTTTGAGAGAGATCAAATTCCGCCATATTCAATTTGCTTCCGAGTTTTCTAAAATATCAATATAAATATATTATCAACACTGTAGCATTCATCAAAGCTGGAATAGCTCAGTTGGTTAGAGCGTGTGGCTGTTAACCACAAGGTCGGAGGTTCGACCCCTCCTTCTAGCGTATTTTTGTTGTTTTGATGAAATATGAGAAGGAAGGCCCATTAAGTCACCAAAAAGAGCCCAGCCTCTTCCACATTCCCACTCTAACTTGTAAAAAAAGTAAATGGAAGATATTTTTTTGCCAAATTTTCTAAAGTCTTTTTGATGAAGACATAAACACCCTTGTTCATACTAGATTCTGTTTTTCCTAGTTAACATGTTTTTCTTTTATACCACCATTCATTTTGAATGATTGAATCGAATCATATTAACATAAACTCGGATACCATGTCAAATCAGTAATACTATTTTGATTTTTAACATGAACTATATATAACAACCCAAAATAAATTTTCATCATCGAATAGATATATATACTCATATTGAACCCCAAACAGGCAACAAAAAAATAAAGATATGTTTTGTAATTTGAGAAACCACCTAACAACCACTTAGACATCAATTAGCCTAGTTGGTAAAAAGCTTATAGATGAGAAAATAAACAAAAAGAGATGCAAAATATTATGTTGCTTAATAATGAAAGGAACTTTAAGAATCAGGTTGAAAAAACGGAGGGACGAGAGAAAGTTGGTTTGGAAAGAGATGGGGCATCAGATTCTTGACCACTACTAAGCCGCACCCGATTCCAAAACTCGTCGTCCCCATAAAACCAATTCCAAAGATTCTAAAGTGTTCTTCAACTCCTCCAATTTTATATATTGGATTAGGAGCAATCTTTGTGAGACCAAAAGTTTATTAAACATAGCCGTCATTTTCTGTATCCTTGTAAATTAGTCGCAATCATATTGTGTTATAAATTATTATAAGACCATAACATCTCGAAATCCCACGTTGTTAACATAGTGGAGAACAACAAAAACAAAACCCACAACGAAAAAGACAGTCTTTTTCTTTTGATCGTATAAAGCGGTTCCTCAATTGTTCTGTAATTGTTTGATACATAAATCTCAAAGTGAAAATGACCAACAATAAGATAAATATAAGCCATTCTGTAATTGTTTGATGCATTCTTTCTTATTAATTAGCTTTTAAATTTAAACCATATGGTTCACATATAGTAAGTTGCACTAGTTTTGTTTATCATTGTAACCCTAGTTTAATGAATGCTGTGTGATAGAGACATGGTGGTACGTATAGTAAAAGATGAAAGATCCAGATCCAAAGAGGTAAAAGATAAAAAGAATAGAAACGAAAAAGAGCATCTCATCCTCCGGATTTACAATAACAAAGAAAAAAGCTCTTGATTTTAAGTTGTACATCCCAAAATACTACTAGCTACTAACAACCAGCATGTCTCTCTCTCTTGGCCAAACCTAATTAGGGGATAACAATATCAAACCCTACAAAAGACAAAAGACTGAAGAAAAAGAAAGAAGGAAAGAAAGAAGAAAGATATAGCAGAGCTCTATCAGATTTGCACAAACCCATAAGCCGTTGGCAATATCTCAGTGCATCCGTTACAACCGACCGTGTGTTTGTTGTCCGAGATGATGTAATCTAAACCACAAGCATAGCTACACCGGTTAGTACAAAGAACAAGACAGTGTTAGTTCGGACCGACAATGTCTCTCCGGCGTTAGGATCGTTGAATCCGCCGCTACCGGTCGGTCCAAGAGTAGTGCCAGGGAACACCGAAGATGAAGACGAAGTTGGCATTCCGTTTGCAGGCGTCCCGGAATTCGGCATCCCAGTGGAAGGTGTCCCGGTGTTAGGCATTCCGGTACTCGGAGTCCCGGTGGTCGGAGTTCCGGTGGATGGTGTTCCGGTGGATGGAGTACCGGTGGATGGGAAGCCACTAGTTGGAGTTCCGGTGGTCGGAGTGCCTGTGCTCGGCGTTCCTGTGCTTGGGGTCCCAGTGGAGGGGGTCCCACTAGAGCTGCAAAGTAGTCAAAAACATTAGTGATCATTTTGTTAGATTATATATAAATCGACGACTTATTCAAAAGATGAATCGATTGATGCACATCTGGATCATGTGAATGATTATCTGGTTTTGATGTCTTTTTAGTTAAAGGTGAAATGAACAGAGATTATACACATTTTTTTCAGATCACGATTCCTTGTCTACTCGTTTGGTCTTAAATCACTATCATTGTGTCTCCTAAATACTAAAAAAAAATTAAAAATGGTTTAGTCGGTAGTTAAAAAACAAAAGCAAATCTACCCAGAGAGCCCCAAAAAATTAAAATGTTTTTAGTTTCTACTGATCTAAACAAAAACACTGAAAAAATAAAGAACAAATGAATAATGACAAAATAAACATACCTGGAACCAGTTAAACAGCTTGAAGCCGCTGCAAGATTGAGAGGAAACAACAAAAGAAAGAACAGAGCAAAATCAGTACTATAAAACAGAGATTTGATCCCCAAAAAAATTAAAAAAAGTGGGGTTTGATGAAGATGCGTACTTGACGGAGGGGAGCTAGAGATAGTGGCGGCGCCACTAAAGTCACAGGTGGCGCCGGAGGAAGCTTTCTTCTGGTAGTAGCTGTTAACGGCGACGTCGCAGTGATTTTTGACGGTGTTAGGCTGGAAACAAGCTCCGTTCTGCTGGATCTGAGTACAGTCAGCTCCGTTTCCACAAGCGTAATCTATGGCTTTCTGAAGCGCTTGCTCGTTCCCGTCTTTGCACACACAATACGCAGCATCTTTTCGAGAGTTTTCCCCCAAAAACAAAAAAAAAAAACAAATCAGATCATTAGTACTAAACTAAACCCAGATTAACATTCAGATTTTCAGGTTTCATCTCTCTTGGCTTAGATTAATTTTACTTTTCCAAGACAAGATGTATATAAGAGATCTCTATACTAAATTTCTGAAATATTCTTTATAAGAGATTTAGACAATTTTCAGTACTGACACAAGGAGAATATAAGGAACAGTATGGTGGAAAAATGTGAAATTTTAATGAAAGTCTAAACATTTTGCAACTAAAAGACAAGGAACAAAGAGAAACTGGAGAAGAATAAAAACAGAGGAATTAAAAGGGCTTACTTGAATAGGTTATCATGGAGAGAACCAGACACAGAGGAAGTAGAACCGACATGACTGTGTCTCTGTGTGATTCAAAGATCTCTTGTGGGAGAGAAAGAGAATCTAAGCCTCAGATCGAAATTCAGAGATTTGAAGAAAGTGGTGTTTTGAGAGCGAGAGAGAGAGAGAGAGAGAGAGAGAGAGAGAGAGAGTTCTAGACAATAGCGGCAAGTGTGACAATGTTAGATATAAGTATAGACGACCATTGTCCCAGCACTCTCTTTTGAGGCCTTTTTTAAGAATTAATATTTATTTTCTTAAACCCGATTACTGTAATTAACACATCATAATAATCAGCTTAATTCGCAGTGACAAAAGATCCAAATAAATTTCTTTCTTTTAACGCAGTAGATGGTAAAAAGTAAAAGCAAAATTACAAGAAGTCAAGAACCAATGTGGTTTGTGCAGAGAATTAGGATTAGATTTAAAAGCATTTTTGTTTTGTAGCTGAAAAACTATTCGGCGCACCGAAAGATTTTAGTTAAAGGGGACCAAATTTCTTCTTTATTTACCAATTCTGCCACCTCGATTTACGTGACCCAAATGAGTTTCTTTTGAAACACCTGTCCTTGTAATAAAACTCATTTATTTAGCAACGGTCAAATATTACGCCCATAAAGATGGATTAGTGAGAAGCAAAACAACATATATGTCAACTGAAACCGACTAAGCAAATTATAATATCGTTTTTCTACTAACTTGATTTATACTTTTTCCTCTAAGAAAGTACACGTACAAATTCAATTCATTCACTCATCCCAAAAGTTTAGACTGGATTCTTCATTTTAAAGAGAAAGCTAATTTTAATGAGGACAAGACCTAACGGTAACAAAAAAAGAAAGAAAAAACCCTCAGAGAATGGTTATGTTATTGAGGACTGAGCCATGTGCTCAAGACAACCTTTGCCGTCATGCTACGACACGTGTGATGTGCGACACACAACACACATTTACACACGAAAGTAGTACAGTTTTTTTTATATATTTTTTTTTAGTTTTAAAGTAAATTTTCTAGTATATATTTGTGTGGACATTCTTGAAAGCAGAGCTGGTGTAAGTCGGTGCCTCAGCTTTCACCGAAACATATTTATCAAAAGAAAATTCAATTTTAAAAATTTCCGAACGTCTGGTTGCTGTTACTCTAAAGCCCATGGAAACTTTGTTGGGCCGTAACTTGTGTAATGTGGTTTTAATGCGGCCTACATGTTCCCAAAGGAGTGTAAGATGGACTCGCATACTGTGTTATCATGATGTTTGCCCATTTGGTCTGGTCTACAGGGTGATGGTTTCACTATTTTATTTAGAGCTATGGCTTTTCTTATAATCATTTCACAACCCATACCATAAGGTAATCAATAACACAACTCAAGACATGTGTATTTGTAGAGTTGTTTCCATATATGTGAAAAATCTTGGCCTATTGGATTTGTTTCGTTCTTTTTGGCGTAGGGATAACTTAAGTTCATCCTACGGCATTGTGTTGTCGATCGCAACGCAAATATACATGAGACTGTTGTTGATTATGGGTTTCTTGGTTCAAAACCGAAACTATTCAGAGGAGCAAAGTCACGTGTTTGTAAAGTTCTAAAGTGAAGTTTTTGCTGATTAGAATATCGACAATAAGGGAGTGACATATTGACTATTGAGTTGATATAATATTTCAATTCAATTTCATTGACTTCGATGGGTCTCGGGAAGCAGGATTTTGAGTAGTTTGGTAGCTTCAAAGATTGTTCGGATAAAAGAAAGAAAAAAGAATTTTAAATTATGATTCAAGACTTTCTGAATAGTGTGATTGGACCAATTGTCTTCTGATTCAATGACTTGTTATCCTTAGCATATATTTTTTATTTACAATGTTCATTCGTTTCCAGGAAGAAAAAACGAAAAATAAATCGTTGGAAATCATAAGTAATGCTTTGTCTGCATTAAATGGGTGAAATTTGTTGCATTTGATGAAGGCCCCTTCTCAAAAAGAAAAAAAAAAGGATTTGTTGCATTCTTTAACACCAAACGTGATTTAATTAGTAATATTAATTATCACGACATTCGAAATGACGTATAACTCAATATTATACTATTCGGAACATCATAAGGTATTTCTCCAAACTAAAGCATTAAAATTTCAAAAAGAAAATTCGATCATCGTCTTTCTATATATACACATTTGCGAATTGTGTTCTCCAATTTGAATTGGGGATCCAATCTTTTTTCTGACATAGATATAGTGATATACTAGCTGCATTCTATATACAGTTCATAAGGCAAAACTATTTATTACCTAAAGTTATAAAGACAAACGTAAAACTGAAAAGAAAAGAATAAGAACAAAAATAACGACTTTATGGAAATTCTCCACGTTTTTTTTCCTCTTCTTAATTAATTTCACATACATGCATCTACTTGCGGGATGGATCCACATAAGTCAGTAGATTAAAGTCGATCAGTTAGATCAAAATTATACTACAAACATAAATACATATATACGTATATAAAGCTTCAGAAATACATTGCAATCCTACAGGAGGTGAGACGCCATATTGATCTAACACTGAAGTTGACATTAACTGATCTCTGCTTACAAACCGTTTGCATCCATATCTTCTATAATGAGTTAGCACCTCCTTAGCTATTTGTTACCAAGTTTATGATGATTTGCTGATGCTACCTGTGAGATTATATATCAAACGAGTAAGACATTGTCAATTTTCATCTTTGAAAAAAAACCCTTAAAGCACAAATCCCCTATTGATACTATTAGGTAATAGATTCATTTATTGTTAATGTGAATGGTGTATAACTGATGCTTCAAAATCAACCTATATATACATATACAAATGTACATAATAAAGGGTTTTACTCGTGGAGCTAAGATGCTCATATACCTCTTCTTATTCATTTTCTCCCCTTTTTTCTTTCTTGGCTGTCTTTAGCTAAAACAGAAAGCATTTATTCCTTTGACCTAACACATTACATTCACAACTTATCCCACATGCCTCTTGCATGTACCCATGTACATAGAATACAATACAGGTTGATTTCACTAGAACATATGCATACATGCGATTGTGTTCATGTGAGCATTGTAACACACACACACACAAAAGTTCCTATATGTAAATGAAAAAAAAGGAGATTCATCAGCTTATATAGTGATTCTGAGTGGAGTGGTTGAGCTTGGTTATTAATATTTGTTGACATATCTATAATCCTGCCGACCCATTTCGGGATCATCTCTACCTTACATAAGTAAGCCTATATATGCCTCATAAGAGGAGTGAGACAAAAGGCACTATACATCAGTGCTTGATCCTGATACAATCACTAGTAGTATATATATATACACATATATAAATATATATAGAGGGAGAGAGTAGCAATCATCCAGTTATTATATATATGGATAGTCCAACTTTTATATGTGTAATGCACAAATGAATACTAAAAAGAAGCATTAATTGGCCGACATATCTATCAAGTGATCTAAATTGTTCCACAAGAGAGATGATAGGTTGCATCAATGATTAGACTAACACGATATTGATTCTCTCATATATATTCATTAGTACATCCACATCAGATAGACTTGTTTCTGTCAAAGCATGAGAATTTTCTCCCACTTACGATATCTCTTGATTTGGTTTTGGAGTTTCAAAAAGTTACCCTTTATGCCTTTGTGGTCCATTTAAAGTTATAAAACCCTTGCAAACCAATAGATATATATTTATATTTTTATCTCATTAAAGAATTTACTCCTCCGACTATAGACTATATATATACATACATACATTAACTAACAAATACAATTATAAAAAGGATCTCGATGGCTTTAATATGTAAGAAGTTACCTCAAGGATTGCGCATTGTTTGAGGTACAATATCACCAAGTAAGCCTTCTTCTGATGGATTAATAGACGATACCGCAGGTGCATCTTGAGTAGTAGATTGGGGTAGTCGCGGCAAAGAAGTGTTGTCTCTGTGAAGTTGATGAAGGAGTTCTTGGTAATAATAAGGATTTGGCAATGGATGAGGGAGATGATGATGAGACGTGAAGCTGTGAGGGTCGTGAGCTGTGAGGATTCCACCTCGAGGGAATCCAATGGTTTGATGGCAATGTTGTCCTTCGTATGTTGTGATCACTATCGCTGGATCTTCCGATGATCGTTCCACTCTCTTCTTCACGGTGCATCTGCTGTTCGTGCATCTATAGTAGCTCCTATTACAAACAACAAACCAAATAAAAGTTGTTACATCACTAGGGAATTGATTTAATGTAGAATTGTAGATATGTAGTAATTGATTAGCTAATTCATTTGGCTAGTTTAGAGAGCATGAATATAAAAGAAGTTGTTAATAGGAGACCTTGGAAATGGGCTATTCTTGACAGCTTTCTGTCCATATTTACGCCATCGATATCCATCTTCAAGATTATCCACATCACTCTTGGTCATGAATGCGAATCTCGGTTGCCTAATTCGCTTTTGAGCCGCCTTCTTCTCCTTCTTTCTACAAAAAAAAAGAAAAAAAGATCAGAAGATTAGTAGTATCTCACCATGCATCATAGAATCATCATAATCACAGAGTAACCAAATAATCAAGCCGCCAAAAGATCTTACAAAACGATTCTAATGTTAACAAAAAGAGCTTTAGTTAAACAATATGCCATTAGCTTAAACATCTAACCAAACACTAATGTTACTTGAGTTAAAAATGCATATATACTCGTATTCTTGATCGTATCATCATCATTAAACAAATCGTCCATTTCTACATTGCTATATGTAAAAATCATAATTAGAACTCATCTTCATTGGTAGTTGAGTCAAAACCCTACATGATTTCAAGGTTTTTTCTTTTTGTGACATAACACTTGCTAATAATACTACTAAAGAGATCATCATTAAAAACGTGACACACTTTTGACCTAACAATAGTTTAATACTCCAAAAGAAGAGAGACGAGGAAGAGAGAAAGAAAAGGAGATGTGTAGAGTGCACGCTAATATCACAGCCGCAATAACGGCGCTGTGTTCATCATTATTTTTCTGCCACCGACGAATTCATCATAAAATTACTATATTCTCCCTCACACCGACGAGACACGACTTTATACTCTGCAAAATCATTTGTACGGACGGATCGATTCTCCATTTTTTTTCTTGCGATGCGAAAATGAGAGAAAAAAATAATAAATGAAAATGGGGTTTTTATTCGTTTATAGCTTTGGCCCCAAGTTTTTTAAAACCCTCCCCACCACCACCACCACCATCACCAGTACCACCAAGATGATGAGTAAATTACGATCGGACCCCTGCAAACTAAAAAGGTACACACGTGTTTCTCGTCTCAAAACAAAACTCACGGTGTCTCCGGTGTTTTCGCGGCGGAGGCGGTTGAGTTCTCCGCCGGATCCTCGCTTGAGCTCGAGGTAGCCGACGGATTGTTGGAAGTCGAAACCTCTGTAACAGCTACGGCGGATGAGGAACAAGAAGAGGCTAGATTGGACTCAGGCGTCGCAGTTGCAACGGGAGGTCGACCTCCGGGGGTTTGTGGTAAATCGGAATCGAATCGGAGCTCGTGGGGATGATCGGAGGAGGCGTGGAGGTTCCATCCAAAGTCAGAGAGGATATTGGAAGTGTCTCTGTCGAAGAAGTCAGAATCTGGAGCTGTGAGTTGTCTCCAAGTACTAGAGTCGTTGCTCAGATCGGGATTTTGAGGATCGTTCATGATAAATCGGAAGGAGATGGAGATAAGAGGTAGAGAGAAGGAAAAGAAAAAAAAGAGGAAGAAAGAGAAAGCTAGGGTTTGTTTGCGATTGGAAAAGAAAGAAGTAAAACTTTGAAGAAGGCCCGTTAAAGTGTAGTGTCTCGTCAAGGACCGATCAGACTCTCTCTCTCTTCAGAGAGATTTTTTAATGTATTTTTGCGGAAACTAAATAATAATAATTCATGAGAGAGAGAGGGAGAGAAGATGAAAAGAAATATAAAAAGAGAACGTTGAAAAAAATGGAACGTCAACGTCAAGGTCAAGTGAAATGAACGGAACGGGAGGATCGACGCCTATTTTAGGAGTCGGATTTGCATTTACTCTTTACTTACCACTTTCAAAGTTTTCTTTATATTTCAATTTCAAAAGATAGAAACTTTTTTGTATTCTTTTTTTGGCTTTGTATATACATGCATGACGTTGTTTACTGTTCGATTTGCAGTAAATATCAATTATATGAGCCCATGGGATTCATTTTTGTAAACTAATTGAAGGAACCTTTTGGTGAAGCCAGTAAGTTAAAAAAGTAAAGCATAATTTGATTTTTTTCTTCAAGGGAAAAAAAGAAGCATGTTTAAAAGTATAGTATTTAAATTTTGATTGAATTTTAGTTAGAAAGTAATTAATTAATTCTTGGTTCCTGCGTGTTGTCCGTGTTGGATATGACAAGAATCTAGCGAATGTAATCCACGAATCATTAACCGGCCACGTGGAACTTCTTGATCCTCATGATTATCTTATAAACATTTGTGGTCGCAGTCAAGCAAAACATATCTTCGAGAATCATGTAAACTGGGAAAATTTAATTAACATCAAAATTTTAAAATAGTAAGTCTAGAAGATCAGCAGAATAATCGAAATAAATGGTTTAGAACCAGACACATATGTTAGAGATGTATAACCATTAATTATTAGAATATTGTTGAAACACATGTAATTACATATGTACCACACGCAAGTACGCTAACAACAAATAGAATTATATATACACGTTCCTCTGTGTGTGTGTGCTTGGTTTTATGATTAGATATACAATTAACCTAGTCCATAAACTCCATATATTACATTTCTCTAGTGAAAAATATAAGTGCTAATATACAACATGTACACATTCAAATAGCAATATTTTTTCTTTACCATTTATGGGTTTGGTCTCGTTGCTATTAGAACGCTAGGATCTACGTCGAGAATCATTTGTGCGTACACGCAAGAGTGACACCTACCTGTATTCCCTTAATTCATCTATCATCTCGTAGGCCCTTTTATTTAGATATATTCGATATACAATATCCTCGGTAATTTATCAAATAATAGATTGTGATTTGTGAATAAAAGAAAGTATTCAGATAAAATAAAATAAAAAAATAGAATAGAAGAAAGTATCAGTAATGGATGCGCGCGAACTGCGAATTATGTCTGAAACAAAATCAACAGTAGACTTTGTAATCATTTGTATTGATACAAACGCAAAACACTATATGCAGTATTTCCACTTTTCTCGTATTATTATTTTTCACAACTTTAATATTGAAAACAGTATATTATATAGTTTATGTACAATTCGGGTTAAATAATGGATTTTCTATAGATGTAAATTTAGCTACAATCACTATTCATTTACCGAGTAAACTTTATTGTCTATGTTTTCTAGTGTGATTGTAAAGTTTTGATTAATTTATATGAAAATATTCAAACAAAAGTAAAGATGAAAAGGAACAAAAATATTAGTATATACTCGAAAAGAGAATAAATGTAAGAAATTAATAAAGTTATGTAATAGAGACGTGATCTCGTTCTATTTACAATTTATATTTAAAACATCATAGCCATGCGGTTTTATATGGTTAGATTGTGAATTGTAAAACAATTGTTATTTGTGTCAACTTTTCAGAAAATAATTGTTTCAAGCGCTTGCGTGTACATTATATTATACTTTTTTCGCATTTTAACATATCAAAAACTGCTAACGATTAACGATCGGTGCTTGCACAGGCAAGCATTTTTTTGTTTCTTAAAGCGTAATATGCTGCTTACACTTTTAGTTATTTTAGTTTCTAACTAAATTCATTTGATACAAAATGTAAAAAAAAGGTAATTAAGGTTATAGAAAAGTAGATAGTAAACATAGAAACAAACAGAAACAAATGTTAAAAGCACTCTTTTTTTTGACATAGTTAAAAGAACTCTTAACTGCTTATAATTATACAATCAAATTACTATTTAGATGACTATATATGCGATACTATATATATATATATAATTAATCAGATCAGCCTGCGTCGACAAAGGTAGGGGCCATGGTGCGAGATCGAGTCATAAAGTGACATAAGTCAAGTGGCATCAGCATTCAGAAGCGATGCACCTTGAATTTCGAATTCGATCACGCAATTTTCACGGAATATATACGCAGTATCACATTTTTCTTAATTATCATATGATCATCATTACTTTTCACATTATATAAAAATCAAAATCATAGTTTAAAAAAATCATTATTACAAATATAAAAAGAGAGAGAGAGAAAGATTGTGAATCCATGATTCTAATACGACCACGTTTACTCTTCTCGAAAATGACACTCACGATCCAACAACAACAACCCTTTATGACAGAAAAACAATTACCCGAAATCGAACTACATCGTCATTCCTATTTCGGTTTGGTTTACTATAATATTAAAACACCTTAACTCGTTATATTTGGGCCGAATCTATAAATATCGCAATGGGCCTAACTAATAAATTAAGAAATTCAATAAAATGCAGCTTATCTGATTTAGTAACGATGATGATCCACAAGATCCAGAAGCCATCTCAATTAGTATTATTTGGCGGCAAACTTCAGGGTCTGCCATTTTCTCCTAGTTTTAAATTTCTGCTATTTCGTTTCATGTACTTCTATTTCGTCGCCACTGAATGATTTCAGGATCCAGAGTTAAAATGTAGTTTACTGGTTTAATCTGATCAATATTTTGGTCATCTATACACAAACACAATCAAAAGTAGTAGAAGACCCATTTTGGGAATTACTGTTTATCTTATGTTTAAAAGCTAGATGTTGGATTTGTGAATTGTGATTAACAGTAGTTAGAGAGTAGATGATTAGTAGTGTTATATATCAGTGTTGAAGTAAATGTAACAAACAATGTGCTGGTAAAACAGAGCTCTTAAATGAAGGAAGAAGAGATTTTACACAACATTTAGGATAACTTGAGACCCACGAAACCACCCTGTATAAGCTACCATATCTAACGTCTTTTTATCTTTCTTGGCTTTTCAGAAATCATTCTTGTATCCGTACACATGTAGTTATAAAATAGTTTACTCATTCACATTTTTTTTCCTGAACAAATATCAAAATACAGAAAAGGTGAAATTTATGGTTCGGAATGTACAAGGTCACGGATTGACATTTATGGACTAGAAAGCGTAAAATTTTCGATATAAAGACCCATCATTTTGATATTTCCCGAATTTACCCTCTCATTTTACCTCAAAATTTTATCATAATCATACATATCCTCTGATGCAGCATTAAACTCTCAGTTCTTAACTCACCAATATCTTCCCCACTCTCTCTCTCAACTTTCTTTCTCCAAGAATCTCTTTCTCTCTTCCTCTACTGGAGAACACAAGGCAATCTCAGAGATCTCTCTCTCTATCTCTTTTCACCGGCAACAATGGCGACTAACCGGAATCGTCAGACGAATCTCATTCGTTTCCTCACCGTCTTCTTCCTTCTTACGACCGCAACAGCAGGAGGAAAGTGGAGTAATCAAACCCGCCGAGCCAATCCGAGGGTTCAACACGCGTACTACTCTTACCCTCACCGTTCATGCGAATCTTTCTCTCGTCCTTACGCACGCTCTATGTGCATTGAGCTCGAAAGAATCCACAGAAGCAGTCGGCAACCGCTTTTCTCTCCTCCGCCTCCTCCGCCGGAGATTGACCAAAGGTACGGCGTCGACAAAAGACTCGTCCCCTCCGGTCCAAACCCACTTCACAACTGAAACCACTTTCTTGCTACGCCCGATTCTATCTTCGATACAGAAGAAAACGGCATTTCTTGGTTGAAGAAAAAGAGCGAGCTATCGAAAATTTCTTCTCAGTTTTTTCTTGTAAATCTTTCTTTCTTTCTTGATGTTTGTTTTGTGTTGCGCACTACTACTACGTTATGAAGTACTATTTGCTATTTCCATGCTTGTTTTTGGGCTTTATCGATTAAACAAGCTTGGAGATAGTTTATCTGCCAAGGATCTTGCTCTTTTACTTTCTGTTTTTTTTTTTTCTTCTACTGCATCCATACGTTGTTGTGATTGAGACAGGAGGTTGATGATCAAGAGAAACACATGAGCTCCATTAAAGTCTCCATTGCTTTGTACATATTTAAAAAGGGATGGGCTTTATGTTGACGGGCCTCTTCAATTAGTGTTGGGCTGTACTGGAATCTGATGGTCTATAAACCTTCCTCCTCAGCCGATTACAAAGTCTTTGAGTAGAATGATGTAGTTGACAGAAATAAAATGACGATATTTTCTAAATTAAAGAAAAAGGACTAAGAAACGGAACTTCCCTTCTGGGACAAAGAATCTACTAAAGTAAATAATGTCTTTGAGTTTGACTTCCTAAAAAGGAATAGTTTTTAGAAACCCTTTGTTGAGAGCTAAAGCTTAAGGCTTGAATCAAGGGAAAGGTATTGCTTAAGCAGCCTTTCACAAACTACACATTCCTTGCGTCCAAATGCAATATCTATCTATATATATATGTATGTGTTTCGTAGCTTCCCATGGCCGTACGTTTCGTGCTCTGAATTAGACAATTTCTCAAGGTAAAGGTTCTACTTGGCACTATCCAAAATGTTAAGGTAAGATTCTGAACAAAGTCTTGTGTTATGAATGAAACCAGGGAGCAATAGGCAAAAACCTGTGCCTTATGGGACCTGCGGTGGATCTATGGAAGGAAACACAGATAGGCAAAACGAGGAAAAAGTGTGTGTTATTGTATTCCTTCCTCGTCGTCATGTTTAAATGTGTGTTTCAATTATCCTAATAGGTTCAAGATTTTGCAGGTACGAGAAGCTAAGCGAGAAGATTCTGTCTTGGGAAGACAAGAAGAAGAAAAAGGCAAAGAGAAAGCTTCATAGAACAGAGGTGCCTTTTCCTTCTTTTCTTTTAAAAAAAAACTGATTTTTGCATATAAACTATGAGAGGCACCGATGTGATGAATGTGCTGCAGAGAGGTGTAGAGAAGACAAAGATGAAGGCGATGCAGAGGTTCAGTAACGAAAATGAAAGCATTGGGATGATCGTTGCGAGTGCAAGAGCGCATGCGTATGAGAGTCGAATGAAAGAAGAGATGAAGGTTAAGGAGAAAGCAAACCTCATGAGAACAGCTGGACAGAATCCCTCTGCATGCCTCTGCTGAATCCTAAACCCAAACATTCTCAACTTCTGATAATTATTGTCCAACATGTTAAATTGCAAACACAATTATGTATATTAGAGAGATAACACACATGATCAATTATGTCACAAATCTGCAAACCAAAACTTCAGAAAGTTGCACAATAGTTACTAGAACTCAAAATCACAAATACAAATGCTCAAGCTTGCAATAATTAACATTAAAAAAAAATGCAAAACTACCACAAAATCATGAAAGTTTCAAAGACTCCCAAGAGCTAAAAAAAGGTTGCATCGTGAATCACACCACACAGAATGGGAAGAGCAACCAAGAATATCACCTCAGTGTCATTCTCACGATGTTATTTCATTTACCAGCCTTTCCAGGATAGGGTACGCAAAATATAGCACCACACCAGATGGAATTGCGAGAAGAACCGTGAGGAGGAAGTAAAGAACAAGAATGACGAGGCTACCAGGTATAGCAAAGAACACTATCAGTAGGAAGATGATCACAAACGGAAACTTGGAGGTGAAGGAGATAAAGAAATCAAGAGACTTGTGAAAAGAGAAATGTTGTCTGCTTGGTTGGTCATCTTGATGCGGCAAAATCTCTTGAGGAGTCTGATTAATACGCCTTGGAATCAGATTACTGTTACTGCAGTGGTTTCCCGGAGTAATGCTACACCTCGGAGACAAAAACGCTTGCTGCTGGCTATCGCTGACCAAGGAACCATGGCTTGTCCTGTCACCGTTCAAGCTCTCAACCATCCATAGAAGGAAGAAGTTCTTCCGAGGGAACTTGAGATTACCTTTGTAGACGATCCTGAAGGAAAGCAACTGACACCAAGGGCAAGAAACGAAGAACGGGATCCTGATATCTTGGCTCGACAGTCTCAAGACAGCAGGTTGGAGACCGAAGACACAGTTCTGGCAAAGAGTGTGACCGCACCATAACACGTAAGGAACATTCTCGACGATGTTGAAAGATTCCCAACATATGGGACATTCTAGTCCTTCTTCGTCCCTGCTAACGTTTGAAACCTCGTCGTCTGAGCAATGGGAAGAGGCTTGAGCTGAATCTTTAGGGGACTTCTTTAGCCCCATACTCCCAATGACGTTTGACGCAAAGCTCCACATTTTTTCTGATCAAACTTTGAATCTGAGAATGATCCACCAAAGTTTATAAAACCCTGAGCCACTGTACCAACATTACCCAGTAACTCTCCAGGATTGAAAAGAGCTTCTTTCACCAATAGCCATCAGTTACAAACCTGAATCCATAGTTATGTAAGCAATCAGTATATATTGAAAAATTAATTCACAAAAAGACCACCTTTGAATATATGTTTCAACAGATGAGCATTAACGTGTGTCATATCAGAAGAAGAGAATTGATAAAGCTACCTAAATTCTCAAAAGTCAAGCAATATTCGAATCGGAAGAACGCTCAACTACAAAATTAGAACGCTCAACTACAAAATTGGAACCAACATTGGACATGTTCATGATACAGATCAGAAGAATGGCGAAATAAAAATTACAAAATGTTTGCCCTCGAAAGCTCAATGTACGATACAAGGAAAGTGCCCATAGAACAAAAGTTTATTAATCCCAATTAAAACCTTAAATATACTCATAAATTCGCAATTAGATGCAGAAGACGCAATCGATCCAAAGAGCAATCTAGGTTTTAAGAATCGGATTTTAGAAAATGACGTTGATTGAAATTTACTTACCGGTAAACCTTCAAAATTAGGTACGCGGATTCATCGAAGCGGAGATCGATACGGGGAGGAGAAGAAGAAGAAGAAGAAGAAGAAGAAGAAAGCCTCTCTCTTTCTCTTCTTCGTTGATCTGCCGATGATATTTTTTTAATGGCAAAACGTAAAAGAAAGATATCGGAGAAAAGGAAGAAACGACGTCGTTTACTGTTTGACCGATGTGCACGTGCCATGACCTCCGTGACAGTTAAATTATCAATTTTGCAAGCCATATATATAGCGAGAGACGGTTTTAACGGCTCTGACTTGCTGAGCCGTTTGTGTTTTTTTTCTTTCTTCGAGTTTGATTGTCAACACCTTCTGAATGAGTGAGAGGGTTCGAGATGCGGTATATTCGCGTAAACGACAACCCAATTCGTATATGTTTTTTTTTTTGTTTGATTTTAATTATTGACAGAGAAGCTGTTTGATGTTTTCGCTACCTCATCGATCCATCATCATCTATCACAGTTGTAGAAAAAATTGTTCTCTCTCTAGCTTCTCTCAAGTAGAATTCAGATTAGGGGTTCGTTTTTCTGATCAGATTTCAAAAAGGTAAGGCCTTGCTTTGTTGAATCCTCAATCTGACGACCTCTCGGTTTCTTTAACTTTTTCCTTCTGTCGAATTTTTGTGTGTGTGAAAGCTCAACGATTTGAATTAGAAATCTTCGTCTATCTCGCAGTTTTGGGTATCAGAAGTTTTCATCTTTCACTTTTGGTGTTTTTGTTTTTCGACACTTCTGGGCAGTTTCGTTATCTAGGGATGTGATTAATTGCAATTGTGACTTTGGTTTGATTTTGGAATTATTAGGTTTTTGATCGCAATTTCGATGATTCGTTAACGTATGTGGTAATTTTAAATTTCTCAACTTGTTGAATGAATTTCAGTAAATGATCGTTCTTGTTTGTCTCTCATTTCCAGTGAATAAGCTTTTGGCAAGAACATACAAAGTCTTGAGCACCATTATTAATCTACCAAGCAAACCCTCTTTTCGAGGAGGGCGTGAAATTTGGTTCTGCAATGATGTATCAGGCCGCTCCCACGGCTACAACCTCTCGTGGTGGGACTCCAACAGAGAGTGTTGATTACGTGGTGACGTTGGATCAGATCCCAAGGTGGAGTGATGTTGAGCAGAGGTCGTCTCTGGAAGGCGAAACGGGAGATGCAGCGCATTCTAACCCGCGCTACGCGAACCCTTTGGCTTCCTCTTCTGAAGCAGGAAGCAGCGGCAATGGGATGGTATCTAAGTTTCCCGTTGATCACGAGATCAACTCCAAGATATACCTGTGGAGAGGGGAACCGTGGAACCTTGAGGTTGATGCTGTTGTGAACTCGACTAATGAGGTAAAGCTGAGATCATGAAGTTTAGCTTTTACTTGTGTGTAAGTTAAATTGCGTTTTTTTGATGTGGTTGGCTTTTCTTGGACAGAATTTGGATGAAGCGCATAGCAGTCCTGGTCTACATGCCGCTGCTGGACCTGGCCTTGCAGAACAATGTGCTACATTGGTACAAACGCTTATTATTAAGAAAGGCGTTATCTTTTAAATGGTTGCGTTAAAGAAGATGTTTAGCTTATTCTTTTTTTTTTTTTTTTTTTAATCTTGACAGGGAGGGTGCCGGACAGGGATGGCGAAAGTAACAAATGCCTATGATCTACCAGCGAGGTAATTGTTGATGGAGGAGAGGGTTTAAGATAAATGAACTATTTACCTAGAGGACTAAGAAAGAAAGAAAGTATGCTCTACTTGAATTCACTCTCTGCTATGTTCTTCAACTATCCTTGTCCCTATGTTAGAGCTGCTTCATTGTTGACTGTGTACAGTTTTGTCATGCTGTGCGACTGAGTTACTATTTCTTGGGAATTTTCGAAATTAAGGTGGAGAGGCATGTTACCTGTTAAATACCAAGCATAGTCCATGTGACTTGTAGTTTGACTGTGAAACCGGCTTTTCAATCTCTTTATCCGCAACTCCAAGAAATGTTTTTTTGGTTTCTTGTTCAGGAGGGTTATCCATACAGTAGGACCCAAGTATGCAGTAAAGTATCATACAGCTGCTGAGAATGCTCTAAGTCACTGCTATAGATCTTGTCTGGAGCTTCTTATAGACAATGGGCTTCAAAGGTGTGTGAAGAGACATTCTTCAGTTTCTTTTTCTTTGCAACAACCAGGCTCCTGAGTTCTGTTGTGTTCCTGGTTTTTTTGAATCTCTAAGAACTTGATTTTGGTTTACATACAATATTGCAGTATCGCTATGGGCTGTATCTACACAGAAGCCAAAAATTACCCCCGAGAACCAGCTGCGCATGTTGCCATAAGTAAGATAGTTCCTAAACAGTCTCTTTGCTTTTCTGTAAATGACTTTCTTCTTTTCAACTCATGTTATTGTGTGGTTTTTCAGGAACTGTACGCCGCTTTCTGGAGAAGCAAAAGGATAAAATCAGTGCTGTCGTTTTCTGTACCACCACATCCTCTGATACGGAGATATACAAAAGGTACCTAAAGCATGTAAACTGTTTTTAATTGGATATAAGTCACACCTACCATAATTGGTTATAGTTATGTGTTGTAGAAGCAATGTAGACCATTACTAAAATTTGACTCTATAAATGTAGACTACTTCCACTTTACTTTCCTCGAGACGAGCACGAGGAAGAGGTTGCCATCTCAAAGCTCCCTGCTGATGTTGGGGATGAAAATGGTGAGACGGTGATAGACGAACGTAAAATCAGAATACAGGCGCTGCCAAATAAACCTCCAGTCAGATCTTTTCCAGCACTAGTCGAGCGTCCTGCCACTGATCTTGCTTTGGTACGAAGGTTAGTGAACTCTGACTGTTTCAGTCTTTCCACTCTTTATTGTCTCCCCATATATGCACCTTGTTGATACCTATATGTTTTCAGGAACTCGAATCATCTTGATTCATATTTGGATCCCGCCTTCATGTCTTTGATTAAAGATCCAGATGAAAGGCGGAAAGAACAATGGGAGAAGACTGCACAAGCACAGAGTGGATTCAATTTTGTTAAATTGCTAGGATTTGGTGATCTTGGGGGACCCCCTCTCTCCGCTGCAGAGGAATACTCACTTCACTCGCGATACCTAGCAAAAGCTAATTCTCTCAACCTTTCGGAAATTGCAGAGATGAAAATTGTGTATGTCCTTGTTTTTTTCTTTCTCCCTCAGTCTTTCAATGACTAATGGCTACACAGATATTGACAAATCTCTGTCTGTTTTCTTTCTTCAGCTACCGTGGTGGTGTTGACACCGAGGGTCATCCTGTAATGGTTGTTGTAGGAGCTCACTTTTTGCTGCGATGTCTTGATCTGGAGCGTTTTGTGCTTTATGTTATAAAGGTAAGCACACAATCACGCCCTGATGGTTGTCCAACTCACTGTAATACACCAGCTCTGTCTTGTGAATGATATCTTGTATTGGTGTTCTTTGACTTTGTTTGGTACAGGAATTTGAACCTTTGATACAAAAGCCTTACTCGATTGTCTATTTCCATTCTGCAGCATCTTTACAAGTGTAAGTTGATTCTTGACTCTTGTTTAGTGGAAAACAGAAGACTCTTTTGCTTTTATGAACTGCAATAACATTTTTTGCTTTTACGGGTTCGATTTTGCCATGTGAATAAACAGACAACCAGATTTGGGATGGATGAAGAGATTACAACAAATACTTGGTCGCAAACACCAGCGTAACCTCCAGGTAATGAAATCACACCTACTCAATCTCATTGCGGGGAAGGTTCCTCCTTGTCCTAATCTTGATCATCTCTGCATTGTCCAGGCAATATATGTTCTTCATCCAACTTTGCACTTGAAGGCTACAGTCTTAGCTATGCAATTGTTCGTAGATAATGTGGTAAAGTCCTGAATTAATTTCACAAAGTCTCAGCCTTTTCCCCAAGAGTTAAAGTCATTTTTCTAATCCTCAAAACCTGATAAAGGTCTGGAAGAAAGTTGTGTATGCGGACCGACTTTTGCAGCTGTTCAAATATGTTCCTCGTGAGCAACTGACAATCCCAGACTTTGTTTTCCAGTTAAGTTTACTACTACTCTTTCACTCTTTAAAGTGTTCTTCAGTTACTGGATTTGTTGTAATGACTGACTGTTGTGTGAAAATTGGCAGGCATGATCTTGAAGTAAATGGAGGAAAAGGACTAATCGTTGACCCAAGAACAAAATACGTCTATCAACGACCATGAATCAAATCAAGACAGTTACTTTATCAAAGTCATTTGTATGTGTTACTGTTTTTTGTGCAATTATTGTTTATTCTTTCATGTTTGCCTCAAGATTTTAGCTACCCTTTCGTGTTGATGCTGGGAGCAAAATAAAAACCTTCTCTTAGCTTTATAATGTAATCTCTATGTTTGAATCTTGTTAATAGTTATAGCCAAAGTTTTCTACTTTCTCTCTGTCTCTACTGTCAATGTTCTTGATCAACTGAAGATGACGCAGTACATGCCATTGTTTAGATCATGCTCCAACTTACGATCACTAACACAGCTTCATGCTCACCTTCTCGTCACCGGCCGTCTCCGTTGCGACCCTCTTCCGGTAACGAAGCTCATCGAATCATACGCTTTCATGGGTGCTCCCGACTCGTCGAGGCTCGTCTTCGAAGCTTTTCCTTACCCTGATTCCTTCATGTACGGCGTTCTCATTAAATGCAACGTCTGGTGCCACTTACTCGACACCGCCATTGATCTGTATCACAGGCTGGTTTCGGAGAAGACCCATATCAGCAAATTCGTGTTTCCATCTGTTTTGAGAGCTTGTGCGGGTTCGAGAGATCATCTGAGTGTTGGTAAGAAAGTCCACGGGAGGATTATGAAGAGCGGTGTAGACGAGGACGCTGTGATAGAGACGTCTCTGTTGTGTATGTATGGTCAAACGGGGAATTTAAGTGATGCAGTGAAGGTGTTCGATGGAATGCCCGTGAGAGACCTTGTGGCTTGGAGTACACTTGTTTCTTGCTGTTTAGAGAATGGTGAGGCGGCGGAAGCATTGAGGATGTTTAAGTGCATGGTGGATGATTGTGTTGAGCCCGATGCTGTGACGATGATCAGCGTGGTCGAAGGATGTGCTGAGCTTGGATGCTTGAGGATCGCTAAGTCGGTTCATGGCCAGATAACGAGGAAAAGGTTTGATTTTGATGAAACACTCTGCAATTCTCTGCTTACAATGTATAGTAAGTGTGGTGACTTGTTCAGCGCGGAGAGAATCTTTGAGAAGATGGTCAAGAAGAATGGTGTTTCGTGGACTGCTATGATCTCTAGTTACAACCGAGCGGGGTTCTCTGAAAAGGCATTGAGAAGATTCAGTGAGATGATGAAGTATGGATTTGAGCCGAATTTGGTTACCCTTTACAGCGTTTTGAGCTCTTGTGGATTGTTAGGGTTGATCAGAGAAGGCAAGTCGGTCCATGGCTTTGCAGTTAGACGAGAGCTGGATCCGAAATACGAGTCCCTTTCTCCGGTCTTAGTCGAGCTGTATGTTGAATACGGGAGACTTAGCGACTCTGAGTCGGTTTTGCACGCGGTTGGTGAAGGAAACATTGTGTCATGGAACTCACTTATATCTCTATATGCGCACAAAGGTATGATGATTGAGGCATTGTGCTTGTTTAGACAGATGGTGACACGGCGAATAAGACCAGACTCATTCACTTTGGCAAGCTCAATCTCAGCATGCGAAAATGGTGGTTTAGTCCGGCTAGGGAAACAGATTCACGGACATGTTATAAGAAGGGATGTCTCAGACGAGTTCGTGCAGAACTCGATGATAGACATGTACTCTAAAAACGGACTTGTGGAATCAGCATGTGCAGTGTTTGATCAAACCAAAGAGAGGAGCGTTGTGACATGGAACTCAATGCTTTGTGGGTTTTCTCAGAATGGTAACTCCTTGGAGGCGATAAACCTCTTCGGCTATATGTATAGTAACTGTCTGGAGACAAATGAAGTTACGTTTTTGGCTGTTATTCAAGCGTGCTCAAGTATAGGTTCGCTGGAGAAAGGGAAATGGGTTCACCACAAGCTGATTCTTTGCGGTTTAAAGGATCTTTACACTGATACAGCTTTGATCGACATGTATGCTAAATGTGGAGATCTCAACACAGCTGAAACCGTCTTCAGGGCCATGCCTACTAAGAGCATTGTGTCGTGGAGTAGTATGATCAACGGCTATGGCATGCACGGGCGGATAGGATCCGCCATATCTACATTCAATCAAATGGTGGAATCCGGAACGAAACCTAATGAAGTAGTCTTCATGAACGTTTTATCTGCTTGTGGTCACTCTGGTTCCGTGGAAGAAGGTAAATTCTACTTTAACTTGATGACAAGTTTTGGTATCTTACCAAACTCAGAGCATTTCGCCTGTTACATCGACCTTTTGAGCCGCTCTGGTGATCTCAAAGAAGCGTATAGAACCATCAAGAAGATGCCTTTCTTAGCTGATGCCAGCGTCTGGGGTTCTCTGGTCAATGGTTGCAGGATCCATCAGAGAATGGATATCATCAAAGCTATAAAAAGTGATCTTTCGGATATTGTTACTGACGATACAGGATATTACACTCTCTTGTCCAATATATATGCTGATGAAGGCGAATGGGAAGAATCCAGGAGAATAAGATCGGCTATGAAGAGCTCGAATCTCAAGAAAGTTCCTGGATACAGCGCGATTGAAATCGATCAAAAAGTTTTCAGATTTGGAGCTGGGGAAGAACTCTGTTTCGGAACAGAGGAAATCTACAGATTCCTTGGGAATTTCCAAAGTCTTCTTAACTTCTGATGCAGATTATATACAGATCCATGACTTATGAACATTGTTATAGATTCCTAACTGATATATATTCTTTGTGAGCCAAAGCTTGTCCATCTTCGTACCTTTCCCCTCAATAACAGATTGGAGATCGCTCGTGTCTAAGCTGCCTCTCATCATCATCATCATGTCATTCTCTTTCTTCGTGTACACATCAAGAGACCGCTCCTTGATCTCCCGTAGGAGCGAGGTCGCTATGTTTGTGTGCTTGTCGATCACCTTCTTCCTCTGTGTCAAACTCTCGAAGCGAGTTCACAGCATTTATCAGATTCTTGGTGTTCACAGTCATCATCATCATATCAGTCCCCTCACCGCCTGTTCTCATGTTAACCTCCTCCACATCTTTCTTGTACTTGTTCAGCTGAGTTTCGATTTCTACGGCGACTTGGGGAAACTGCAGAGAACCGTTGGCCGACCAAAACGGGTCTGAAAGATATACCAAAACTGCAGAGAAACAAGCTGTTTAAGGCGTAGATTGAGGGCCATGGATAGGATCTTCTTTAGCAGCCGAGGACGAGAGAGAGTGATCGAGTTTTGAACCATCGAGTTGAAGGGGGACGAACAATCAATAACAAACCCGAGAAACCCTCTGTATCAGCTAGAGGTATAAAAATGGGTCAATAGTCGCATGTGAGCCCAGTATAAAGATATGGGCTTTAGACTTTTAGTATCATAGATAGGAAAAAAAAAAGATATGGGTTTTAGCATAGCATATCTCGTCTCAAAGTTCCCAATTTTTTTGAGAATTATAAATTTTCGTTGGGAATAGGTTTGAGTTTTCTGAATTTTTTTTTTATTGGATCGTTTCAAAAATATGATTATAATTTTGGGTTTAGTATTTTTGTGCTTGCAGTTTAGGGTTTTTTTTTACTTTTTAAAGATTTCATTCATCAGTTTTGGAATCTTACCAAACTCGGAGCATTTTGCCTGTTTCATCGACCTTTTGAGCCGTTATGGTGATCTCAAAGAAGCCAAATAGAACCATCAAGGAGATGCCTTTCTTAGCTGATGCTTAGCGTTTTGGGTTCTTCTCTGGTCAAATGGTTGCAGGATCCATCAGAGAATGGATATCCAATATATATGCTGATGAAGGCGAATGGGAAGAATCCAGGAGAATAAGATCCGCAATGGAGAGCTCGAATCTCAAGAAAGTTCCTGGGTAGCAAGTTTTCAGATTTGGAGCTGGGGAAGAACTCTGTTTCGGAACAGAGGAAATCTACAGATATCTCTAACTCTTGACGCAGAATGAATTAAGAACAATGTTAAAGATTCCTAACAGATCGATGAATTAAGAACAATGTTAAAGATTCATTTCTAACAGATATATTCCTTGTGAGCCAAACCAATTGTAAAAAAAAAAAAAAACGCAAAATTTGTAAGAACAATGAGGTTTTTCTTTTGCTTTGGGCCCTTCTAAAAAAGAGGACGAAATGTACAAAGGGCAACCAAACACCCACAAACATTGGGTGATTGAGAATAATAAAAACATTCCATCTGTTTTTCTTCAACCGCTGAATCAGTTTCTGTCCAATCTTTTACTCTCTCTGGTTTATGTTTCCCTCTATATAAATGTTACTCAAATTGTAAAAATCGGATTTTTATTTCATGAAAAAAAAACTTTTTTATGTTAAGATCACAGTTGGGGCAGTACCTGCAGGGCATCTTTGTCGCCTTGGTCTTCTGGTTGCGTTTCCCCATCCCGTCAGGCTCCTATCTTCAAGTCCCGCCGTTTGTACACTGTTACTGTTCACTGGCTGCTCCGAAGACGAGCAAACCGGAGCTCCGTCAACGTTACTGACCAGACGTCTCCTTCCTCGGTTTGAGCTTCTTCGAGTCACTCCTGAGCTCCAATTGTAGCCTGTGGCTCTCATAAGTCCCCCAAACACTTGAAGATCTTCAGTTATTTCGAGCCTAGACAGAGAAACAAGCCCAGGGAGAGTGTCTCTTTGGAAGTCCCGCCTTGATCTTCCTCGTCTTGCTTGTCCTCTTCTTGGCCTGTTAGCTGTGATTCCCATAGGTGCCGCACCGTCGAAATTCAGATGCTCCGGGACTAAAGGCTCTGGCATGTAGTCTTCTTCCTTGGTCTGCGGTAAGTTCAGAGTCATTGCCTCGAAGTAATCAAACTCCCCTGATGAACATTCTTCACGGTAGCCTTCACAGTCTCTGGCTTCCAGACAAGCATCAATCTTTTTCTCTAAGTCACTGCCACAAGAAGCTATTGTGTTCACAAACCAAGAGAGCGGGTCCTTGGCAACTGGATCGGTCGTAGAGGAAGCAGCTTCATCAGTATTACTCCAGTGGTTAGACAGTGAGATGGTGACTAGAGCTTCTGCTGCTGCCTTCATGGGTTCATCCAAAGAGTCTCCAGCTTCGCCTTTCTCTGATCCCCAAGTTGCTTCATCTCTCTTCTCTGGCAATTTCTCCTCTTCTTCTTCACTCTCAAGAGCCGGGGGAGCTTCCAAATCTATCAACATAGTTGCTTTTGTTTCCACTCTTGGATTAAAACGCAAGCCGAAATCTTCATCCTCGCTAGCACATAGATTCAAGTCAATGTAGTGCCTGTTAGTGAAAGGTTTTTTACCTTCTGCCTTGTCAAAAACAATGGCTTCAGAAACCGAGGCTTCACACGGCAGGTTGATATCGAGGTGTCTCTTCACCAAGGTCTTTGCTTCCTTCGGTTGGTCAATGATGCACACAGAAGAAGGGTTAAGAGTAGAGTGCTCCTCGCGAATAGACTGCTTCTGAGAGAACGGGAATCCAAGGATCTTGCTACTACTCAGTGAATCGGCCATTTCAACCTTCCGCAAGTGGGCGTCATTAGTACATGAGAAAGACCTCAAACCGTTGTGGGGAGATGCATTGTTCGAGTAGCCACCCGCGTCACTTCCATCCATGAATTGATTTGCAGAAGCGTTCAAATCCAAACCGCCGTTAGCTATTCCATTTTTGGTAGGAAGCTTAGGTTTTATCCAGGGGAGCCCACCAGAGGGCTCCTGCATCTTTGGTCCTTGAAGGTTTTCAAGATTCCGATGCTTCAAAGTCGCCTCCCTCAAAGAACCACTTGTAACAGCCCCTGTTGGACGACTGTTAAGATGGTTAAAGTTTCCTGATGGAAGATTGATGGCAGTTTCCTTCGACCCTGATGAGAATCCTTGGTAATGCCCGTCGAAATCACGGCTTCTCATCTCAGAGCTTGAAACAGCTCTTGCTTGTGTCTTGTAGCTCAAGAATGGATTGGTTTGAGGTGGCAAGGATCTCTGAACCGAGCTGCTACTTTGGTTCTCCCATGATGAAATCCAATGGCTCCAAGGTCTGACGGATTCAGGGCGGTAGCCATGATGCAAGCTTGGAGCATTTGATGCCACGCTTGGAGCATTTGATGCCACGCTTGACTCCACATAGCTATCATAGGAAGCTTCAGGATTCCTTTGACGAGCTTCCCACTCGTAAGACCCTCTTTCGCCCGGTAACTTCCTGTGATCAGCTGAAGGATAGCCCAGAGGTTGAAATGCATTGCTAGAAAGACCTTGTGCCGAATGAGAAGGCAGGCATAACTTGTCCCTTGGAGTGCTTCTTCCATTGCCTATAAGCACACAACCATAGAAAAACATCAGAGACTAGAAGATAGGCACAAATTGCTACACATAAGAAGCTAACTATATCAGTACAAAACCCACAAACAAAAATCTATTATGAAACCAAATATTGTTGTTAGAGAAACCAAATGAAAGTGAAGAACATGAAACTCGCCACATAATGAAAAAAAAAATCTCACCTGCTTGTAGAACCATCCATGCATTTTGATTTGTATTCTTCAACCACTGGCCTTGGCGTTGCACATGTGCAAGGCCACTTCCATAAAGAGAATAAATATCCATGGAAGGAGTGACAGTAGGTAGTGATAGTTGGCACTGGACTGGCTCGTTCAGGTCAGCTACTCCATTTGAGTTCCTCATAACCAAAGAAGATCCAGAAGAGCCACTCCGATGAGAAGCACTGAACATCTTTTCACCAACTCCATTTCCTGCTTTCGACTGCTCATAAGGAGGAAAGCTCGTGTTTCGACAGTCTGCATCGAGATACTCATCTGCTGGGAGCTGAAGATCGATCATTCTTCTCCTGACCTTCTCGGGTCTAACCTCGACCACTTCCTCTCCCTTCGAACTATTCCCATTTGGCATAGCAACATTGCCAGGTTGAGAGCTGCTTCCTTCACCACACATCGAGCTTCCCATGAGAAACCCAGGCAGGTCACGTTTGATTACACTCTCCGGTGTACGTTCAGACTGGCTTATGTTGTCACCAGAGCTCTTTCCCTTCGCTTCATCCATCAAGCTCTTCTGCGTTCTATACAAACGGTGAAGTTCATGAACCTACACAAACACACACACACACACAAATCAAGAAAATGTCAAACCGAATATGGTAAGACACAAACACAACAAAACACAAACGTTTTGAGTAAGATCGGAACCTGATTCTTAAATACGGCCTCGTGCTCAAGCATTGTCTGTTTCAGGAAATCTCTCTCGTTTCCAGGGCGGTGAGACTCAGCTGCAGCTCTCGTCGTCGGGACACCATTCTGATTCTGCGCGTTTGGCAAATTGTTATCTCCACAGTACAGTGACCAGTTACAACTGTTGGAATCTTCACTGAGATCCTTCATCGAGTGCAAGAAGCCTTCAGAGTAAACCATAGTCTCCCATTAATGCTGTTTAAAGGTCAGAGATTCAAAAGTCAGTTTCCAGAAAGTCACAAACGATCATCATCACATCTCTGACCTATCAAAGCAATTCAGTTCAATAAATGAAATGATCCGAGAAAGATTCTGCATACAAACTATAACATCTAAAGCAAAATTTGGCTCTAAATTTAGGGGTTCCGAGAAAATGGGAGTCCACGAAATCTAACAATATACTGGAAAATGAACAAAGAAGCCGCCATTACAGGTGAAGCTAGAAATCTAAAGCGATCATCCATTATCAAATACTTCGCAAACTACATATATATATCCATAAGCCAAAAAAGAAAATTCAAAAGAGAAAAAGAATCTGACAAAAAAATTCACCGTACGATGAACAGTATCAAGAGGACAGAAGAAGCTGGATCGATTCAGTCAAATGCGTAACCTAATTCATCAATCAAAAAACAAACAATCCATGAAAACATAATCAGAGACAGAAATGGAAAATCAGCTGGAATTAATATTTTTTTTTAAATTATTAAAAAAAATAATTAATATTGAAAAATAAGAAAAAATATCGGAGGTAGAGATTTTTACCTCAGACCCACATCCTCTCTAATCGCTCTTTGAACAGAGAAAATCTCTCACAGCGTGGATAATTGAAAACACTCACTCCCAAATCGGCGACAAAAATACACAAATGAGAAAATGAACAATAAAGAAATAAAATCCAAATTTTGTATTTTTAAAACCAAATGAAAATAAATGTTCCCGAGATAATAATACTAAATACTTATAAGAAAGCGAATTTTTCCTAGAGAGAGAGAAAATCTAAGAAACAGTTAATACGAAGAGAGAGGAGACAAAGTGCGAAATAATATAATCGAAACTCCATGGGAGAAGAAAGCGAGCTCAGATCGTCATCGTCGTCGATCTCGCTGGGCCAACTCTCTCTATCTCTATCTATCTCTCTATCTGTCTCTCTCTTTCTCTCTGATTCTTAAAACGGAGAAAGCAAAAAAAAAAAGAATAAGAGCTTTTATATTCTTTTATACTATTAATTTTTCTCGGATTTGGTGTTTTCTCTTTCCATGTAGAGTGAAGAGAGAGAGAAGTTCGGTGAAGAGAGAGAAAGAGAGAGATCCCGTAAAATTAAAAATAAAATAAACAAATGAAGGAAATTACATAAAAACGAACGACCCTTCTAACAACAGAGACGCGATATTATTTGTCAACATCTGGTCTCCTTTTTTATTGCTCTTTTGCTTCTCATCATTTTACTTTTTTTTTTTCCGGTTTTTTTACGCTGAGTATTACTTAAAGTTGCTTTCTCATGTGTTTTTTTTTTTTAATTTGAAATGCAATTCAGTTCTAATTTAATTGTTACTAGTCTATCATTAAATCGTATAGTGTAATGTAACCCTATAACTAATTCTTAATTTTTTTTTATTGGAGTTGGTTTTCATTAGATTTTTTTTATAAAAAAAATTACACACTTGTAATTTAAAAAAATGTATATTCAAAATTTTAAAAATAGAGTGTTAAGTTTTTTTGAAACGTACTAAAATTTAGTTATTTATTAAATCTTGTTTGTAGTCCATTACATCATTATTAAAAATTATTATTATAAACCGTAACTTTAAATTTTATTTGTCGTCTATTATGTTATGTTTAAAAATAATTATTTATTAACTCGTATTATGATAAACATTAACTCAACTTTAACTAAACATTAACTTGTTTTATAACTTTATCAAAACTGGAACTTTTATTTTAGAAATATTTTTTTTATATATACAGACATATATTTAATTTTAAATAAAATAATATTCAAATAAATTCAGTTATATAAGATCGTGTGATGTGCAGTTTTATTTAGTTTACTTTTCTTTCTATTGTGATTTTTTAGCTGATGTTAAATTTTGAGTAATTTAATTGAAAGTAACAATAAATTAGAAATGTATTAAATCAGTCAACTATTTTACAAATTAAAGTAATGCATTATTTTTTCTCAAGTATGTCTTAAATCTATTTCATTTTTTCTATCAAAGTATTAAATTAGTCAATTATTTGTTGTAAAAAAAAATATTTTGCAATTAAAAGTAACCCATCAATTTTTCTCAATTAGATTGTATTAGCTCTAATTCCTTTCTATATAAATGTATTAATTACATTTTGATATTGACTATTTCTTTGAAAATATATAGAATGTTGATTTGATATAAGGTATGGTTGTATTATAATTGAATTGGGTAATTTTTACTTTATACAGTATATTATCATAATAAAAAGGTAGGATTAAATTTAATACATAACTAAATAAAACAAAAACAAATCTTTTGAACAATAAATTGCATTGACCATATATTTAAAGCCAGCTAAATAATAAATTTAAGATAAGTTATAACATAATTGTTGATGAGCTGGCATTCTAGATGCTATAACTCATTGATGATCTATATACACATATATAATTTAAGTTAAAATATTTAAAATAAAAAGATACCTTAATTTTTTAAATTTTTTTTGAATAATGTTAATTTACATAAATATAAAAAAGCCTTTTTTGTTAATGTATACTTCGTGATTTTTGTATTAGTATTGTTTTTCAGTTTTTGTGTCATTTAATCATTACCAATATTTTAAATCTATATATTCTGTTTTATTTAAAATAATAATATCTTATCAAAATAACTATATAACTAGTTATCAAAACCATGTAGCCTAGTAATTTTTAGCTTAAAGATAAATGAGTAACAAGAAATAGCTTTTTCTTGGCTTTAGTGACTAAAAAATCCATATATTTAAAGCCAGCTAAATAATAAATTTAAGATAAGTTATAACATAATTGTTGATGAGCTGGCATTCTAGATGCTATAACTCAGTGATGATCTATATACACATATATAATTTAAGTTAAAATATTTAAAATAAAAAGATACCTTAATTTTTTTAATTTTTTTTTAATAATGTTAATTTACATAAATATAGAAAAACCTTTTTTGTTAATGTATACTTCGTGATTTTTGTATTAGTGTTGTTTTTTCAGTTTTTGTGTCATTTAATCATTACTAATATTTTAATTTTATATACTCTGTTTTATTTAAAATAATAATATCTTATCAAAATAACTATATAACTAGTTATCAAAACCATGTAGCCTAGTAATTTTTAGCTTAAAGATAAATGAGTAACAAGAAATAGCTTTTTCTTGGCTTTAGTGACTAACAAATCCCAATATAGTTTTTAGTTAAATTTATGATTTTTTGTTTTGATAAATATTAGGGGTAATCCAGATTTTTTACATTCGACTAATTCTGCTAAAGATGTTTTATAAATGGATCTAAAGCATATCACCATTTCAACTAGATAGTAGAAGTGATTTAAATAATTCCACATCTAAGAAAAATTGATCTTTAACCTAGATCAATATGACAATTCTTCTTTAAGTAAAATCATTATAATACCGTGTTAGTTTATGATATTTTTTACAAATCTTTCTTTGTTTTTTTGGTAGTTATATAGTTTCAGTTTAAGATTAAAGTGCGTATCAAACAACTTAATCTCCAAATCCAATTATAGTTTAATCTCGGGATGTTGTGGTGGGCTAACCTACTCTATCCCGACCCTAATTCTGAAATAATTTTCATATAGAAAACTCAGTTAAGAAAACTCTAAAATAATTCAAATATTAATAGAGTAGTTCAATACAATTTCTAAAAGTTGTAGGGTATAAGTATCCACAGGTATTTGATTAGAGTAAAGACAAAATATTATGAGAAGTTTCATCATCTTCTAAATCGAACATGTGCAAACATAATATATCACAAGCTTCATCATCATCTAAATCTCATGAAACTCAAAGACATGTATTACACAAACAAAAAGAGAAGAAAAGTTAAATAGCATATAATTTGAACTCTAAACGCATCCAAGCTTTATCTGAAGATTAAAATTAGTAACAGACTCTCAAGCTTCTCAAGAAACATCAAACGACAATAATATCTAGTGAAAGATTCTCAAGCTTCATCTTCTTCTATGATAGAATACACGTCTTCAGAAAATATAATCAAGATCAACATCAAATTTCAGAATAATTTCATATTTTCTCCAAAAAATGAACAATCAGCAAGATCCTTAGACAAAGTGTGATTAAATATTTTACTTTAAAACTCCTTAGCTACTTGCCTTCTCTGAAGCATTTTCATTTTCGTTTTCATTTAAAAAACTTGTGTGTATCATAAACTTGCTAGGATAAATTCTAGTAAAACCTGTATATATAGACATGTCTATGTTGAGATCTTATAGTTTTATTCTAAAACTGAAAGATAATAGGTTTAGAATTTTTTAAGAATTTAGGATATCCGTAAGAAAAATACATATCACTAATATGGTGAGTTTTATCTATATATACATTCTTTAGTTTTACCCTAAAACGTTGATTTAAAAATAGATAAAATAAAAAAAATTATTTTTTTCTTTTAATCTTTAAAACATTCTCATTTTTTTGTTTGATCTAGAAAAAACAAGGTATTATTGACACCATGAAATTATACAAAGTAACCATAAAAAAGTTAGATTCAAAACACTAAACCATATCAGAGATATATAATATACTATATATTCTTTATGTTATATACAAAATTATTTTCTGTTTGAATTAAAAGAAAGAGATGGTTGATAGAATAGTATTAATTGAAAGAAGTTTAACACGTAAGCGTTCTATACTATATACATGCAATTAGAAATAATACTTTTGTTCAACTTCATTTTAGTAGAATATAACGCTAATGCAACTCGAATGCCTAAATAGTTTACCTGTTTGCAAGCTGCATTTGTCCAACAAGAAACTTTAGATATTGGCAAAACTCCAAGACTAATTCGAAGAGGAGTATATCACTTTGGAATCATGCTTTGAAATATGGGGTTAATTAGTGGATTTGGACTTACTAGTTATATTAGCGTCTTATTCTACTAAAACGAAATTGGACCAAAACATTATTTTTAATTGAGTGTATATAGTGTAGAATGCTTGCATGTTTAGGTTGTTTCTGGTATTACTAGTTGTAAATATCATTATATTCTACTAAAACAATGTTTAGTTGATTGTGTATACATTGTATAGCATGACACAGTTTTGGTTTAAGTGAAAAAAAAAAGTTAGGATTTTTTTTTTTTTTGAATAAGGGCTTAGTTAGGATTTTTAGTTATTGAATTTATTATGTAAATATAATGGCTATATTTTTCTTAATTTATAATGTAATATGATTATTTGGCAAATTAACCCTCAATACATTTTACATAATATATACATATAGTAGAAGTTGCAAGAAGCCCTTTATATTTTTTGAAATAACCATAAAAGGCACAACTTATCTTTGATAATCTTCCCTTTATTTTTTCAACTTTCGTTTACTATAGTAGATCGAGCTCACGTCTCCATTTGTTTGCTAAACATAGTACTCGTTATTTCGTTAACTGAGATAAAAAAAATCATATCTTTCTTAGTGTGCTTGATTTAGATTGCAGAAAACGAAATTAAAAATAATGTCATTATTGTTCAAATTTTATCCAGAAATAAGAAACATGTTATAGTTTCTTAACAACATCATGAGAAACTACACTCACAAAAAAAAAAAAAAAAAAAAAGAATCTTCTTCAGAAATTAAAAGAGTTATGTTATTTGAGCATGTCATTAGTGATGAAACTGAAAATTCTATATAACAAGAAATAAGGGTCCACTTTAGATTCTTAAATGGTAATGTGTTTTATGAGATATTACAATTATACCCTCCTTGGATTTCTACTCATCTTTATATACATTAAACAAATTAGATGGTTTTGCATATGAAAAACTATATTCAAAACTAATCCAAACTCAATGATAATCTTGGTTTTTTCAGAATACAATGACTTGAGAAAAAATCAGCTTTCCTTGGAACAAAATTACTTAGTGGTTTTAACCGTCACAAATTCCATCTGTTCTTTAAACCAGACCTTGATACATGTGATTTCTATATTAATTTATTGCACATTACTAAAACAAAACTGGAAACCTTAGTCACTTTCTTTTACTTGAGTGAGAAAAGATCATTACGACAATGATGAGAAAAAAAAAACTTAATATCAACATAAAAATGAATTGCAAGGACATGTTAAAAGCTAAAACACTTGATGAGGCCAAGCAATTACCCTAATTTACAAGTTTGATGATAACACTACTTAATTTCTAAATGAAGCATCAATTGTTTTATACATTAGGTTAGATTGAAAAAGCCTAAGGGTCCCACTGTCGAGGCAACTTTGAGGTTTTTAGTTTGAATGTGGGGTCAGAACTTAATTGTCCCTAACTTGGAAGATAATTACGGTTTTGGGATTGGTTTTGGATACTTTTGCAGTTTTGTTTCTTTCTGTTCGTCCCTGATTGGCTGATCTTATACTTGAACAAAAACATCATTAAGAAAAAGGCTTCGTTATGGAGATTATTACATGAATGCCATTCTTCAGAGGAAGCATATTTCTTTCGAATTAGCTACGTGTCATATTTTTGATGGACATGAAGATAGTATTCAATCTAGTTGTTATATTTGTTGTGTATTTTTTTAATTTATCGACCGATGTAAGTCAACTTGGAATGTTTATAATTATTTAAACCCACGTACCAGTTGTAAAACCGGTGGTGCCAAACAAAAATATAAAACACATAATAATTTATTACTTTCTTCTGTTGATAGGTTGATAGATACACTCACATTAACGGTAACGTGTTTATCCATTATTAACACGTTAGAAACCGTATGAATTTTATATTTGCACTCTTCTGTAAAATAATCACAAGGACAAACCTTTGTTCTAAGCGTAATTTTTTTTAATTATTGTATAACGAAAATAATGATTTTACTATGCTGATTTTAATAAAGATTGGCTAGAAAATTGAATTTAGTGCCAATTTTTATTACAAAAAAGTAAAGTAAAGAGGTATTATTTTAAGTACGAAGTTTACGTACATAATCAGGTCTTGGTCGGTCGCAAGTTCACCGATTCTTTGAGAGAGCTGACGTAATAATATCTGATTATTATTTTCAATGACTTTAATTAGCTTTAAATAGTTAGAAAACGATGGTGTCAGTGTTTGTTTCGAGCAAAGTTACTTTCTCTGTCGACAAAGCACTAGCTAGTAAATTGAGATCCAATACGATCATTTTCACATTTTCCTGTCATTTTCTTTAATACATACTCATAAATTGATTTTTGTACAAAAATCATAAACTGATTTTTTTTTAAAAGAGATCTTATGGTCATCCTCGGAACGTTTTATTTATCAACTTCTACAATGAAACGCATCACACATGATATAAATTTTAATGTCAAAAATTATAAATTATGTTTGTTGTACCAGAAGTATGTATCTTGGTGTAATGTCAAAACTTTTAAAAATAAAGGCTTTAAATGGTACCCACATGAAAACAAACAACAAGTGGATTAATATTCGAAATCGCAGATGAACATATTTTAGCTGAATCAACTAAAAATAAAATTTATACTAAATTCTGAAGATAATTCTTAACTATATATTAGCTTTAGAAAACACAAAAAGTGGAATTTATTATCACCGTTCGAATTATGAAATCTATATAAATAGTAATGTTAAAAATAAAATCTGATTTTGTTCTCATCTCTAACATAATTCGTTATTCAATTATTACACATTCAGTCAAGAAGATGTAAATCCAGACAAACAAATTTCGCGAATGAATTACCCAATTGTGAAATATATCATAATAATATTTACTAGTGTCATACTACTGAAAATGTTTGCAAACAGCTCAAAATTATAAGTTTTAGTAATATAAAAAAAAAGAGTTATGCAGAATAAAATTTGTGCCAAGCTCGAACCACACTTCCCACATCGAATCTCGCAAGAGAAAGGGAATAGTTCAAAATACACATTCCCAATTTTTATATAATTTATGTAGGGATGATTAGTAACAAAAATGGCAGAAACACACAAAGAATAAATAAAAACTGAAGAAACATTAAACACGTGATTCAGTCCTTGTCCGGATAAAATTTGTAACGGATTGTTTGAGAAGTGTTCCTTTTCGTCTCTTTACGGTTTTTACTCACCGAATCTTCTCCTCTGTCCTTTTCTTTCTCTCACTTCTTTTTGTATTCGTGATTCTCCTCCGGTCACACCCGCCGATTTGACGCGACGAAGGTTTCTCGCCGATGGAGGCTAAGCTACTCAAACCCGCGTTTCACAATTCGCCAAGCATCAATCTCGCGAATCATTCTAGACCCATCTCGTATTTTGCCGGTAAATCGAGATTTGGAGTAGCTGGGTCTCTCTCCCTCCGACTCTCCGCAGCTTCGCCGATCCGGTAATGGTTTTTTTTTTCTTATTTTGATTAAACGGGGAAAACCATTTATGCACGCCATCTGTTCGGTTTATTAACAGTTATCTATCTTTTTCCGCCATTGATAAGTAACTTTTGTTTCTAGTAGAGATATATTTTTTTTAAAGCCAGTTTTTTTGTTGTCTTGCTCTGCTCGTTTTTGTTGTTGTCAGTTTACTGATGGCTTAAAGCTGAGTTGCGGTCTGGTTGCTGACATGGTCCTGTCCTGAGCTGTACGGTAGAATAAAGATGTGTACTTGTAACGTGTTGCCAGATTGATCTGTACACTGTGTAGAGAGATGGTTTGATAAAGCTAAAAATCATTACTTTTTTTTTCAATCTTCTGAGAATTAACACATTTTCTAGAAGATATATAGAATAACTCTAATTCCCTTTGATCCTAGAGCCACTTGTTGTGGAAAATCTTGGTCTTGTCGTTTTCTTATACTCCTTGTTGCCATAGTGTTTTAGCTTGAAGTTGATTAAGTTTTTGTATACTCTTAAGATAAGGCATTGATTGTGGATTTGGCTATTTGTTTCACAGATACTCGAGGGGGCTAAGGGTCGATGAGAGTGAGAGCTTGACACTTGACAGCATAAGACACTCTTTGATTCGTCAAGAGGACAGCATTATCTTTAACCTTCTTGAGCGAGCTCAGTATCGCTACAACGCTGATACATATGACGAAGACGCCTTTGCTATGGAAGGGTTTCAAGGATCTTTGGTCGAGTTTATGGTCAGAGAAACTGAACAGCTCCACGCTAAGGTCGAAAAAAAATCAACCAAGCTTCAAAAGTTGAGTTTATAGTTTCAGGAAAATCTTCTCTTTGTTGCTGATTTTGATTGCTTGAAATTAGGTGGACAGGTACAAGAGTCCTGATGAACATCCTTTTTTCCCACAATGCTTGCCTGAGCCAATCCTTCCACCGATTCAATACCCACAGGTGAAGATAATGAGTAGATTACTACTCAAGATTCTGATGGTGACCTCTTTATCTCAAGTCAGCCAACTTCTCTCTTGTGAATAAATCAGGTTCTGCATCATTGTGCCGATTCGATAAACATCAACAAGAAGGTGTGGAACATGTATTTCAGACACCTTCTTCCCAGACTGGTCAAGCCAGGGGACGATGGTAATTGTGGTTCAGCTGCACTCTGTGACACAATGTGTTTGCAGGCAAGTAACTTGTCTTGCATTGTTATTACAACTGTGCTCAGTAAGAGAGACTTGAAACTGAGAAACTTTCATTTGGCTCTCTCTTTGCAGATACTTTCAAAGAGAATTCACTATGGTAAATTCGTTGCTGAGGCCAAGTTTCGTGAAGATCCCACTGCCTATGAAACAGCCATCCGAGAACAAGTACTCTCATTTTGTTTCATGCTAAGTGCTATCTCTCTCTATGTTCATTATATGCATCTTCTTGTGTGTTATAAAACTGGCTTGAGTCTTTCCAGGACCGGACACAGCTGTTGCGACTCCTGACGTATGAAACGGTTGAAGAAGTAATCAAGAAAAGAGTTGAGACCAAAGCCAGAATTTTCGGTCAAGACATAACAATCAACGATCCAGAAACTGGAGCTGATCCTTCATTCAAAATCAATCCTAGCTTAGTTGCAAAACTCTATGGAGAAAGGATCATGCCGCTCACGAAGGAAGTCCAAATTGAGTACTTGCTAAGGAGGCTGGATTGATGTTATCAAAAGTGAAGGGATCATAACATTTGTATTTTTGATCTTGATTTCCAAAACCGTAATGTGACATAAGCTACGAAAGCTAGCGAGTCAAGTTGATTTTATTACAGATGTAAACCGAGAATCAAAACGTATGAAACTATTCTGAGATTAATAGAAAAAATAAAAAAAAATCTGATGTTCAGAGACTTTATAGCATCAGAGTGAAGCTCCCGTGGATTCTCGGACAATCTCGTAAATAGATAAAACGTTTTCAATCGTCAGTAAGAAGATAATGCACCATTCTAAAAGATCTGATCGTCGGTTCTGCATCACCTCTTGGAGGAAATGAATGTTGTGCTGCGTATGGAAAACAGGAAACCACATCAGAAAACCAAAAACATGACTACTGGTTATCGATAACAAATCCAACTGAGTATTTATGTAATGATGATACCTCTACAAACTTTAGCTTAAAGTCTAGATTCCCAAATCTCTGAGTGACCTCGTACTCTTCTCTTAGGTATTCATATATCTGAGCATATCTAGCCTCTCTCCACGCAATCTCGGATCTACGAGAACAAAACAGAACATATGAATCTGATTTTTGTGTTTTGAGTAAAAGCATATATATAGGGATCAAAGAAAACGATATTAGAATATGAAAATGTTTTTAACAGAAATAGAATACCTATCAAACAAACCAACTCTGAGAATCACGTCAGCTAGATTAGAATTAGCCTTCCCTACAAGTTGGAAGAGCTTTTTCCTGTGCATTGTGAAGGTTCCGGTTTTCTCCATTGCACGGTTTATACCAGCAAACTCTTCCACTAACTTATCAACCTGAGAGAATCAAAAATCCCAAACTTTCAACATTCAATAGTTTCTTACAGTCTCTCCATACTTTCATTTCTCAGTCTATGAGTGAAACAGATATATATACTTGTATCGGTCAAGCACAATGAGAAGGAACAAGTTACCTGAGAAACAAAGTAATCCAATGCAATACTTTGTCCAAGCACACTCCCAATTATACGGATGCTATCAGTATCCAACGTCTTGAGAACAATGTAGTCAGGGCCACCTCGCATTTCCTCAGTCAACAGCGGCTTCTCCTTAACAGCATAATCTAACACAACAACATCCAGAAAAAAAGGGTTGTTCATTGATGCAAAACTCGACAACTACAGACGTAAAGCTATGCCTTTCCAAGTCAACAAGAAGAAGCAACGGTATAGTTACAGGACACTGACCATCTTTTCTCATTTCTGTAAGCAACCCAGAGGCATGTCTACGAACAATGTCGAGGTAAGACTCAACGTCATTGTCATCAACATTGAAAAGAACAGCAGAACCGTATTGAAAGACAATCATGAACCGGCAGCTACTTACACTCTCCCTCTCGTCCAGCGCCTGTGAAGAAGAGAGAACACAACATCAAATCTCGACTTCCTATCGGGTTTCCAAACCACAATATAATCAATAACGCAAACAATATATTTGCATGCTACTGAGTATCAGTAAAATGAACAAGAGATAAGTCAAGTCTTATAACAGTAATTTCACGTTCAGGGTCAACCATATCCAAACAACATTGCCTAAATTGAATATAACTGTGAAGGATTTGTGGAAGAAGAAGAAGCAGAGCAATCTTACAGGGATTCCAGAAGAAGAATCAGAAAATTTAAGGGCAATAGAATTCGTAGATCGCGAGGTAGGTGGAACAACATTGCATAAATTGTCAGCTTGCATTCCCTTCAAATCAATACTGCATCAAACCATAAATCTGAGAAACCAAATCACAAAAGATACAAGAAAACAGAGCTCATAATCATACTCTGGCGGCAAAAATGATTCCAAGCTTAAGACTTGAAACACTGACAAGTCAGAACCATACTACACCCAGAGCCTCCATTCATTTCTTGAGAATTCGATAAGCAAAACATACCTAGTACTGAGAAAATAGGCCTTGACAGGGATTTTCCCTCTATCTTCTTCTTCCTTAGTTCCAAATTCATAGTTTTGATACACATCACCGGACCCAGAATCAGAGTCGTTGTTGTAAATCGAAATCGGAGTAGGGAACGCTGAAAAGTGTCGAAAATCAAACGAACGAGAAGCTTCGCTTCGATGGAAACCAAGCGCCGGGTGTTTCTTCCATACACATGGAGAAGGCTTTGAAGAATTGACTATTTGATTACGAATAAGAAGAGCAGCAACTGCTCTCCATCTACCCATTCACAGCAAATCAAAATTGAATTTTTTCTTTCTTTCTTTCCTCCTCTTGTTCGTTTCGCTCTCCTCCAAAGTCACTCGGCTCGATTCAATTTGTATTGGAGATTGTGTCTTGATTCCGAAGAAGCCGCGGGTTCTCGCCGGCGACACTTTCCCTCACGATAGTTTTAACCTCGCGTTTACTACAATACAATACGACAACGTTTTTGACTTGCAAAAAACGGCACCGTTTCTCTGCTTCTACAATTCGATACGGTGACGTTTCTTAAGTTGCCTGATAGCCTTTTACTCAAATGAGAGTCGTATCCCTTTTCTCTTTAACTGAGACAAAGGGAAAGATTCGCTTCTCCGGCGAGGAAATTCAACTTCTCGGAAATGGCAGTGTCTGGGAATCTGAGGATCTCTGCGAGCTTAGTATCTCCTTATCATCACCATCATCCTAAACGCATCTCATTACCTTCTTCCAAGGTTCCATTTTCTTCTCTTCTACACTCTACTAATCGAATTTTTCTCTTCAGCTCATTTTGGGATCTGGTTATTACGAATTTGGAGACCCACTGTCCCGATTTCGTGAATTTTGTGAGGAGAAATTAGATTAACAACGTCGATCTTTAGCTTCTAGGTCTGTGTTTGTTAGTAAGAATCTGAATGAGTGGTATAGTGGAAACCCAGGGATGCAGGGTCTTTAGCTATAGAATCGCTTGTTCAATCGCTGGAACTTTCGAGCACTGTAAAGCTTATCATCCTAATTTCTGGGTTTTGATTGTCAATTGAAGTAAATGCCATATTGTATGTGTTTTGGTGATATTGTTCACTTCACTTGTGTTGGTAGCAAAAGTTTTAACCAGTCTCTGATTTATAGGAAAAAGCAGCGACTCCATCTTCCATGTTCCAAGCCTCCTGTTTGTAATTTGATGTGTTTTTTGAGCTACAAGATTTTCATTTGGTTTCTCATCTTTCTCCTTCATAGATGGTAAATATGTTCTTAACCTTGTATCAAAGTCTTTTTGATTGTGGTGGTGGTGGTTCCTTGGATTCCTGAGGCTGAACAGGTCTTTCGTTAGATGTTCGTGGTGCTGTTACCTGATGTTTTGCAACTGTGTTACAAAACCATGCCATTAAGTGTAGATGAGCTTGATGCTACAGTTTCTTTACCTATAGATGTACTACAATAACTGAGCTTTCAAATGCATAAAGATGATCTCGTTTCTCTTTCTCTATGTAATTTGCAGGTTGATTTCACGGGCTTCGTAAGCAATGGCGGAAACAGTTTGGAATCCCAGAAATGTCCTGGAGTGTCCATCAGCCGCGAGAACACGCGTGGTCACGCGAAGGTCTTTGCAAGGAACAGCGGAGACTACGAACTAGCACCGAGCCCAGCTGAGCAAGAGGTAGAGAGCTTTCTCTTGAACGCAATCAACATGAGTTTCTTCGACCGGTTGAACATAGCGTGGAAGATAATATTCCCGTCGCACGCATCGAGGAGAAGCTCCAACGCCAGAATCGCGAAGCAGCGGCTCAAGATGATCCTCTTCTCAGACAGGTGCGCGGTGAGCGACGACGCTAAAAGGAAAATAGTCAACAACATTATCCACGCGCTGTCGGATTTCGTGGAGATAGAATCGGAGGAAAAAGTTCAGCTGAACGTCTCCACGGACGGTGATCTCGGGACGATTTACTCAGTCACGGTGCCCGTTAGGAGGGTGAAACCAGAGTACCAAGACGTGGACGAGGCTGGTTCGATTACCAACGTGGAATACAAAGATACGCTTGATGGTTCTGTGGATGTCAGGTTCGATTTTTATGTTCCAGAGTGATACGAAGAAACGGTTCTTTAGAGTGATTTCTTGAACAGTGTATTGTCTGTTTTCGTGTTGCTGTTCTTGAAGTTTTTTAGTATGGAGGGAACAAAGATAGTTTCTTGACACTCTCTCCCTATGTATATATATGCAACTTCTCCCTTCTCTAAGGTTTTAACTACTATTTTTGGCATGAGTTGGTCAGGTTCATATACTTCGTAGCAAGAATCCTGTTATAGTTTCACACTATTCTCTGAAACATGGTTTTTCTCACAAAATAAAATTTGGGTACGAACACATTGAACGTAGTATGGACTAATAAATATGGGCCCATAAGCCCATAGCCCATTAACCCGTCTGGGAGCGCAACCCGAATTTTGAATTTACTCAGGTGTTGTTCATCAATTGCTTTACAATTTTGAAATTTGGTATCTTCTTCTTCTTCTATCTAGAGTGACGTTTGATTTGGCGAAGCGTGAATTTTTTTTTAGAATACGTTCTACTCGAAATTGCTTCGAGAGAGTGTTTCTTGAAGAAGTGGTTTCGGGTTTTTTTTTTTTCTGGGTTGAAACATGAGCGGCGATCGACTTGAATTTGAAAACCCTATAGAGGATTCGATTTCGAGGCTCAGGTTCTCCCCCGAGTCGAACAATCTCCTTGTTGCTTCTTGGGATTCTGTGAGTTTCTTCTCTTCTTTTCTCGGATCTCAGAGACGTAATGCGAATTTTGTTGTTTATTGATATGAATTTCCTTTTGTTGTTGGTTGTGAAGTATCTGAGATTGTATAATGTGGAGTCGTCTTCGCTGATTCTAGAATTGTACTCTGGGGCCGCTCTTCTCGATTGCTGTTTCGTGAATGAATCAACTTCATATAGCTCTGACTCCGATGGATTCATCCAAAGGTTTGCAATTTTCTTCATAAGTAGTTGCAGAAATTGTATCAAGAGAGAAATTTGATTTTGCTGATACTCTATTACTCTTTAGAATAGATGAAAAACACACATATAAGCTCATAAATGATATAACCCTCATGCTTGTATCTTTGAAATGGAGATGTCAGTGGTTCAAAAATTTGTTTCTCAGGTACGATTTAAACGCCGGAACAGTTGATAGAATTGGAAGACATGACGACATTGCGACATCAGTTGTGTACTCTTGTGAAAAAGGTCAGCTTGTTAACTCATCCGAGAGGTTTAACATCTTTCTCAAGGTCATTTGCTAGAGTTCAAGGATGATAAAGTATAGTGATTACCTCATCTGTATAGGAATATGCACGTTTTTTAGTTTCAGAGGAACTTTTTTGAGTGCTTGAGTTTTTGAATCGAAGACTTGGTAACTTTAAATAGTTTGTCTTATACTATACTGTTGGTAGATTGATTCAAAATCAATGCTGATATACAAGAATCCACAATCTTATCAAAAGTAACCTTCGGTGCTAAATATGCAACTATATCATTTCAAGTGGTGTGATGCGTCTCAGGCGAAGTTATCTCTACTGGTTTGGATGAGAAGATCAAATTCTGGGATACACGACAAGGAGAAAGTCTTCTGTTTTCGACTGATGCTGGTGCAGCAGTGAGATGCATCACTGTATCTGAAAACAGCTTAGTAGTCTGCGTTGAAGCATCGATGCATATATATGATTTGCGTAACTTAGATCAGCCTTTCCAATCTTATGAATCACAAGTGGAGGTGCCGATCAGATGTGTCACCTCTGTACCTTATTCCAGAGGTACACATAATCTTAAGAATCTGTGATTTCGAGAAACTTGGCCAAAGTTACATAGACCACGGTCCATGCTTTGAGTTTTGGTTTGATTTTTTAAGATGTTTATAGTTGCGATTGAGCAGGATATGCAGTTGGCTCAGTAGACGGACAAGTAGCCTTGGATTTCCCCAATACATCATGCTCCAGTGAGATGAAGTAAGTCTTGATGCACCTCTATATGACCGTTGAAACATACAAAATGATTCATTTGATGACTTTTAATCTTGCTCACTCTAGGGAATCCATTAGTAACTTCGTTCACTTAATGTTTGTATGTCTCTCACTGATTCATGGCAGATACACTTTCCGATGCCATCCCAAGTCTATGAAAGGAAGACTCAATGGTGCTTCTATAAACGCCATTGAATTCAGTCCATGGTATGGTTGCTTCATTCACCATCTTTTATGGATTGCATGATTGATCCTCTGGTTCACTCATTCTTCTTGTCACAGTGGATCAGGGACTTTTGTGACTGGTGACAACGAAGGCTACGTTATCTCATGGAATGCTAAAAGCAGAAGAAGACTCTTTGAGGTATCAAAACACTAAACAAGACTAGTTCTCTAGATTACTGTTCTTTGGCTTTCTTCTCCTATATAATATTTTGTGTTTTTCTTTACAAAAGTTGCCAAGGTACTCAAATAGCGTTGCGTCTTTGACGTATAACCACACTGGAGAACTCTTAGCCGTAGCATCAAGCCACACTTACCAAGAAGCTAAAGAGAAGTGAGCCTCGCTCTTCACTTTTTCTCTCTGCTCTGCTCTTTAGTTTTCTTCTTCTGTTTGATCATCACGCTAAACATCAAATGTATTCGATGCCTCCTCGTCTTTTGCAGGGAAGAACCTCCTGAAGTGTTCATACACAGGTTTTGAAGTAATGGTAATCTCAGGCTAATCAAAGCATGAATCATATAATATCTAGCTAGATTTGTTTGATTGTGTGTGTGTATTTCTTGGTAGCACGTTAAGCATTGCAAAGTAAATTTTATGGTATTTAGAAATTGTGTCATGTAATGACTGTAGCTCTTAATTTTAGTCTCTTTGTGTTATATACGTTCACGAACTCTCTTATTGAATTTTTTTAAAAAGCATTATTATATTATGCTAAACAATAACACAACTATATGCATGAACTAATTGAGGATAGAGAATCTCACAGCAGCGTAACATCTACGACCTGCCTTTTTATTTATTTTCAATTAAAAAGAAAAAAGAATAAATCATGGAGATTATAAGCAAATAGACGCCGCACGTGTAGGGTCGCGTCATTTGCACGCGATATGTCGATAAACCAGGACGGTAGATTTGAGTGACAACTTCCCAATCCAACCGCTCAAAATGAAAAATTGGAATACGCAACCCTCTCTCAAGCTTTCCTCAGGTTCTATAAAAAAATTGAATACCACCAGCTCTTGTGCTGACTTCGCCAGAAGTTTCTTTGAAATTGAAAAGCTTTCACCAATCTTCGTGTCTGTGTGTGGCTCTCACTGACCTCTCCTCCTTCCAAAAATTTCGCAGCAAGATGTCGGACGAGGAGCACCACTTCGAATCCAGCGACGCCGGAGCTTCCAAGACCTATCCTCAGCAAGCTGGTAACATCCGTAAAGGTGGTTACATCGTCATCAAGGGCCGTCCCTGCAAGGTCTCTTTTAATGCTTCCTCTCTTCGCGTTGAATCATCGTACCTCTGCTATTTATTGATCCTCTTCCAGAATTGATTTACTTAATTAGAATTGTAATAGGCAGTGCTGATTTTTGCGGTTTAATTCTCGATTTTTGATGGTGCTGTGGGGTTTATGATTGAGAGAAATCTCTGTTTGAAGTTTGTGGCTTATAGGGTTATATGTGAATGAGCTTGTTCTTTGTTCGTTTGAATTCGCTTTAGTTCCATTGGTTTCTGAAACTTGAGAGACTCTCTTTGTTGATTTTCATTAGGTGGTTGAGGTTTCGACTTCAAAGACTGGGAAGCACGGTCATGCAAAATGTCACTTTGTCGCCATTGATATCTTCACTTCTAAGAAGCTCGAAGATATTGTTCCTTCTTCCCACAATTGTGATGTGCGTCCTGTGATTTTCCCGAGTGGATTATAGATATATATATATAAACATATTTATAAGAGTCTGTGAATCTGAATTTTTTCATTTTGCAGGTTCCACATGTGAACCGTACTGATTACCAGTTGATTGATATCTCTGAAGATGGCTTTGTATGATCTCATTCTCACTTTTCTTTTTTCCATTACTTTTGCTTTTTGCCCACATCCTTAAAGTTTTGAGGTTTTGTCTCTTGATGATTGCTTTTATAGGTCAGCCTTCTTACTGACAATGGTAGCACTAAGGATGATCTCAAGCTACCAACAGATGAAACTCTACTCACACAGGTTACTTTTTCTTGTCTAAGTATCCATGCATACTCAAATCAACTGGTTTTGTATCAATTCTGATTGTTTGTGTGGTATGTGGTGTGTGAATGCAGCTCAAGGCTGGGTTTGATGAGGGCAAGGATATTGTCGTCTCTGTCATGTCTGCAATGGGAGAAGAGCAGATGTGTGCCCTGAAGGAAGTTGGTCCCAAGTAATAAAGTAAGCATTCTGCTCTGCTCCTCTGTTACGGAGGAGTCAAATATTATAAGGAAAAGTTTGGTCCTTTTCTCTTTTACTTCTTAGTAATTATAAATCCCTTATGTGTTTTGATTAATGATACCTCCTTCTCTATCTTACTATTGTTGACAGTTCCAAAGCTATTACTATGATATTACTACATATATGTGTCTGTGATGTGGTATTCTTTAAACCCTCCCCAAAGTAATTAAAACTCTTCATTAGACTGTTTAATGTCTGAGAGAAGTGGACTCTTGAAGTCTTTACATTGTCATCGACTATTCTTGCAATTCTTGCAAATGCTTAAATCTTCGAGATAAGCAATACTATAGTCGCATCGTTGGGCAAATACATTGTGTTCTAACCACATAATCTTGAGACAAGGTAAAGAAACTGACTCGAAATCAAACCATTGAAACCCGACGGAGTCAGTGTCTCCCAGATATGAAGGCTTTAAGGCAAATTACGTATAAACACTCACGCAATCACATGACTCTTAACATCAGGGTGATTAAGCTTTACGGTTTACCCTTAGCTAGAGTCTATCCAGCACGTGACGCAAGACTGATCATTCTCATCTCTCCCATTACTTAATTTGAGCTTGTCAAAACATCAAAATCCCTAGAGGATTCTAACAAATTTTATCGACAAATAATCTGGGAATCCATTGATTTATTTTATATATACACAAACACACACACACAAGCTTGGAGAAAATAAAAACAGAGAGAAGTCTTGGAGGTTTAGGGTTTTATTTATAAGAGAAATCTTGCTTTTTCTTTTTCTTACTACAAAAGTGCTAATGTTAAGCTTCGGAGAATTAACGTGGAAGCACAATTGTTTAATGTATCCGTGATTTTCGAGTAATGTGGCTACAAAGACTAGGACGGTCCATGGTTGTGGTTTGGTTTGAATTTTATAAGATGTATATAGTTGCGATTGAGGCCACAGTTACCAAGAAGCTAAAGAGAAGTGACCAGTCACACTCTTCTTGCTGCTCTTCTATTCTATTGTTTCATCATCACCATGCGAAGATCATAGCTTTCGATGTCTCCTTGAAGGACTGTCACATTTTTAAATCTCGGGGGGTAACAAGGCATGGATCATTATTTATTATCTAGCTAATTTGTTTGTTTGTGTGTTTCCTGGAAGCACGTTAAGCATGAAAAAATATATAATAAGAATGCCGAATTATTCTTTTCAACCTCGTTATTTTTTCATTATATTTAAAGTGATATATATGCTAAGAATGCGCAACTATATCCAAAATTTTAAATTATCGAATCGAGAAGAATAATAGAGAATCCCGCGTTTCTCACGGCAGCGTAACATCATCCAAAATTTCGAGTTCATTATTTTTTCATTATCTTCAACAATATGTGATATGCTATATTTTTTTTTTAAAAAAAATATAATCCAGAATAGCAGAGAGAATCCGTCTTCTTATTTTATTTAAAAAATAGATAATTCTTACCATAAGAAACTAAAAATATAATGTTTTAAAAAAAACCTATTCCGGCAAACACCACGGTTAGATTTTCGTCGAAAAAATAGAGTATTACACTCTTCATCAAAGTTTCTACAATTTATATCAAAGAAGATGTTTGATTTGAAATCAAGAGGTAGATATTGAAGATTTTTTAGTTTTGTTTGAAATAATAACCTATGAAATTACATATTTGCCATGAAAAAGTTACAACACATGAATCAACGACATCCTACCAGTTATGTCTCATGATTATCCCCAAAAAACAGAGGTGTGAACGTACAGTTCCGCATTTAAATGGCGAACCGCTGATTCCCTCTTGGTCGTGCTTCCGCCGTGAAACCTCCGCCTCTCACTACTGGTGATAGTTTTCTTTGTCCTCCTCTTGTCCCACCTGATCCCCCTGACCCTTCATCCCTCCTTTTATCCCAATTCCCACCCCTTTCCCCTCCAGTTACCCAAAAATCTCAGTCCTCACCTCAAATTGCCCATGTCATGGTGCCTGAGGAAGTGTCTGTTGCTGAGATCCCTACTGCTACTACTGTTGTTGAGATCCCTACCGTTACTACTGAGATCGAGATGCCTCAGTCTGAAACTGCCTCCCCTGAGGCTTCAAAACCTAGTATTGCAAAAACTAGATCTGAAACTACTGTTCCAGAAAAGTTCACTATTCTGGTTCCAAAATCTACTTCTCCTCTCCAAACTAACACGGCTCTAAATATTCCTCACCCTCCCCAGGCTGCTGCAATTCATCCTCCATCCTCTGCTCAAACTACTTCAGCTACAAGTTTGCCCCAGACTGCTGCTCGACCAAGCGCACCCCAACCTCCATCTGAGCCCCACACAAATATAAGTCAAACTACAGTCCCTCCGAGTTTGGTTGAAAGGATACGAGTGTTTGAAGATCGGTCTCTACGACGTCTTGCCCCTGTTACCATATCTGAAACTGGTCGGCCACGGGTTCTCATCCCTGATGAAGTGTTTCAGCGTGGAGAAGAGTTACACAAGGATTTCATCGTGTGCTATTTTAATGGTCGTCCCCCTCCTTATAGCCAAATTCAAAGCGTGCTCAACCATTTGTGGGGAAAAGGCGGAAAGCTTGAGATTCATAACAACCTTATCAGCAGGAACATGATTGTTAGAATTCCGAGTGACTATCTTAGGAAGAAGATCCTGGAAAAGGGCTTTTGGTATGTGAGGGACTCTATGTTTCATACAGCCCAATGGTCCTCTGCTCATTCTGCTGAGTCTCCTCCTCTAGATGCGATACAGATTTGGGCTCATCTCACGGGAATTTCTCTTAATCTGCGTCACCAAAAAGGTCTAAGTCTGGTTGCTGGCTTAGTGGGTGAACCAGTTGAAACTGATGAATTTACTAAGAATCTTGTCAGCCATACTTTGTCTCATGTGAAAGTGGAAGTGAACCTAACTAAGGAACTACCTAGGGTGGTTGAGTTCCAACGTCAGAGTGGTGAAGTTGTGGAAGTGCTGGTTGATTATCCGTGGTTGCCTCCTACTTGTTCTCATTGCAAAGAGCTTGGCCATATAGTCCGAAATTGCTTGAAAGTCCCTCTTCCTCCAAGAACGACAAATGCAACTCCTAAGGCTCAAGTTGCTAGGGGAGCAAAGAAAAAGAATGTAAGCTCTGATCAGGACACTGTGTTTCAACAAGCCCATGATCTCCCTAACAATAAAAAAAACAAAGAGGCGGCCTCTACCTCTTCTACTCCTGATGTGGTTTCAAATTCAGAAAATCATCCCCCAGTTACTCCTGTTTCTCATTCGGCTATACTCACTGCCAGGATCCCATTTCCTCGTTCCTCATCCTTGCCTTCTTTAGTCCTTACGACTGTCCCTGTTGTAATTGCGCTTCCAGCAACTATTACTCCCACGGGAGAGCCTTATCCTTATAGTCCTCCTGAAAATGAAAAAAAAGCCACCTTAAAGAGATCTCGTTCCAACCCTTCCTTAAACACTTCCCTTTCTCTAAATTCCCAGTTTGTTCATGCCAACTCTTTTGATCCCTTCACTCAAACTCCTGCATCTTCCGCTTTTACTTTACCTAATTCTATATCACCTCCTACCAATACTAATCTTCTTTCTATTCATGTTTTTAAAGGTTCTTCCACCTCGGAAGAAACTTTATTATTATCTTAATGGATTCAAAACTTTTTTTTTGGAATGTTCGTGGCCTAAATGACCCGAGCAAGCATCAGCCTTTTTATCAATGGCTTATTAGCCACCAGCCTATTTTTGGAGCTATCCTAGAAACTCATATAAAAGATCTAAACTTGAGCCGTCTAGTGTCTAAGCTCTGCCATGGTTGGAGTTTTACCTCTAATCATTCGTCGGATGAGAATGGCCGAATAATTTTGATTTGGAGGGATCCGGCAAAGGTTCGCATTCTCCATCAGTCCCGTCAAACTCTCACCTGTGAAGTCAGCTTATCAAATTCTCATCGGTTTACCTATACAACAATTTATGCATCTAATGAAAGCTCAGAGAGGAATGACCTTTGGATTGAGCTTCTTGCTTTGTACCAGTCCTTCTCCCTCTACTCGGGCCCGTGGATGATCGGTGGGGATTTCAACCAAATTCTTCACTATGTCGAGCACTCGAACCCTGATATCAACACTCTCAACTCCAACATGATTGACTTTCGTGATTGCCTAAATCAGATGGGATTATTTGATTTTGAGGTTTCAAGGCCTATTCTTTACGTGGACCAATTGTCAACCTGACTCTCCTGTTGCAAAAAAATCGACAGGCTCCTTGTAAACTGTCATGCGTTGTCAATGTTCCCCAACAGCACAGCCACCTTCCTGCCTCTCCTAACCTCTGACCATAGCCCTTGTCTTGTTGACCTTGCCCATCAGTTACCTAAAGCTGGAACCCGTCCTTTCAAATTCTATAACTACCTTACAAAGCACCCAAACTTTCACCATCTGTTGCAAGAGGCTTGGTTTCAGGCCGGAAGTTTTGGTTTCACCCTCACTATCCTGTGTTGGAAACAAAAGACTATAAAGAGGGCACTAAAAGAGCTAAATAGAGAAAATTTTTCACAAATACAAGTGAGAGTTTGTGAGGCTTACAGTTTGTTACAAGTTGTGCAGGTGCAAGCTCTTCAGGCGTCTTCCGCCCAACTCTATCAGCAGGAACGTGAGCTGCATGAAAAATGGAACTTCCTGAGGATCATTGAGGAGTGTTACTTTAAACAGAAATCAAGGATCAATTGGTTACAAGATGGAGATCTCAATACTTCCTACTTCTTCCGTGTGGCTCAGTCTAGAGCAAGCTATAACTCCATCCGTTCCTTCTTGCTGGCTTCGGGTGTTGTTTTAACGGACCCTTTGGCAATGAGTGTCCATGCTATTGCTCACTTCAAGTCCATTCTTGCTCCTGATATCCTTCCTTCAATGTCTATCTCATCTCCTCCTGATTGGTTTCAGTCTCTCTCGTCGTTCAGGTGTTCGGCTGCGTTACAACTATCCATGACAACGCTCCCTTCTGTTGTTGAAATTATAAAGGTTCTTTTCAAACTAAACCTTAACAAGGCTCCTGGGCCTGATGGGCTCACTTCTGGCTTCTACAAAGCAGCATGGGATATTCTAGGTTTGGAGGTTACCTCTTCGATCACTCACTTCTTCCATTCAGCTTTCATGCCTGCCTCAACAAACTCAACAATCCTCACTTTGGTGCCCAAGCACCCAGGAGCCTCAAAGGTCTCTGACTATCGACCTATTTCGTGCTTTAATACTCTCTACAAAGTTGTCTCTAGACTCCTTGTTGCTCGCCTAAAGCCCATTCTTCCATCCTTGATTGTGCCCAACCAGACTGCTTTTGTCAAAAATAGTTTGTTAGTTGAAAACACGGTTCTTGCTGGAGAACTTGTAAATAGATATCACCTAAACAAAGGCCCTAAGAAAATTACTATCAAAGTCGACATTGCAAAAGCTTTTGATAGCGTCTCCTGGAAATTTTTATTCAATTGTCTAGAGGGTCTGCTTCTGCCTGTCCAGTATATCAAGTGGCTCAAAGCATGCATATGTTCGACAAATTTTACTGTTGGCTACAACGGAATGGTCCAAGGTTACTTTAAGGGCAAAAGAGGTCTAAGACAAGGTGATCCTCTTTCTCCTTACCTATTTGTCATTGCTATGAACTGCTTATCTCTAATGCTTAACAAGGCGGCTGAGGAAGGAAGGTTTACCTATCATTTTAATTGTGGGGGCTCGAAGCTCACTCATCTCTGTTTTGTGGATGACCTCCTCATCTTCATGGAGGGAACTCTTGATTCGGTGCAGAATGTCCTTCAGATTCTCCATGAGTTTCCTTTGCGCTCAGGTCTTTCTGTGAGTGTCCAGAAATCCAGCTTCTTTGCATCAGGACTGTCCCAAGCAGAATGCGACATGATCAAATTCTCTACTGGAATGCCACATGGTACCCTGCCAGTGAGATATTTAGGTATCCCATTATGTACTAAGAAGCTAAGCATCAACAATTGTGAAATGCTTATTCGAACAAGTTAAAAGTCGAATTACCTCTTGGAGTGCAAAGTCTCTTTCCTTCGCAGGGAGACTTCTCCTCATCAAGACGGTTATAGCTGGCATCTCAACTTTCTGGTGCGCATCGTTCATCCTCCCAAAGGCGTGTATTGACAGAATCAATTCCTTATGTAGTGTGTACCTTTGGAAAGGAAACGTCGAAGGTCGTCACTCAGCGAGAGTCTCGTGGGAAACAGTTACTAAATTAAAGAGTCAAGGAGGATTAGGCGTGAGAGATCTATACACCTGGAATAGGGCATGCTGCCTAAAGCTTATCTGGCTTATCTTTTTTCAATCAGGTTCAATGTGGGTCGCCTGGTACAAGAGTGTGGTCCTGAAAGGTTCTCTGAATAATTTCTGGACTGCTAAACCTCATAGAAAGCATTCATGGCTAGCAAACAAACTCCTCAAGGTTAGGGAAGACATGTTCCCATGGATAAAGCTGAGATTGGGAAACGGAAACAACTGCAGATTCTGGTCGGATAACTGGTCTCCTTTTGGGAGTATTAAAAGTTTCATCCATTCCCGACGAGGGATCCCGGAAAATGCCATTCTCTCGAGTCTTCACCATCAGGGCCAATGGATGCTTCCATCTGCACGTTCCGAGAGCGAGGTCAGTCTGCAAGCTTATCTAACTACAATTGATTTAACGGCGGAAGATGACTACTATGAGTGGATAATTGACGATCAAGTGAGCGAAAAGTTCAGAACATGACAAATTTACAAAAATCTTAGAGATGATTTTGAGGAGGTACCTTGGGAAAAGATAGTTTGGTCAGTTGAAGGGATCCTGAAACACAATTTCTTGACTTGGCTCTTCATCTTAAATAGATGATCCTACTAGGGATCAAATTTTAGGATGGGGTCTCCAGACAGATGCAAATTGCTTGTTATGCAACTCTTGTGATGAAAGTATGAAGCATATCCTCTTTGATTGTGCTTTTAGTTGGGACATTTGGATGGAGGTGGAAAGACGGAGCAATCTTCAAGCTTGTAGAGTTTGGGGGGACTCAATCTTGCAGATGCAATCCTTGTGGGGAGGAAAGCACGCAAATCGATTAACTCTTCTGGGATGGCAGGCAACGATATATTGGATATGGGCAGAACGAAATGCAAGGCTACATCAACAAAATTTCCGGTCGACTGAAACTCTGATTACTCTCATTGACAGGCAAATTAGAAATAAAATTGCAAGCTTCAGAGAAAAAAATCCAGTTCTCTCTTCCAGGCTGCTGCAATAATGGCGCTCGACGGAGATCTCACGGTAATTGATCTTCTCTCTCCACTTTTCTCGACGATAAATTATATTCCAAGGATTCCAAAAAATTCTTGTTGGGCTTGGACCTTACAACTGATTCACTTTAGATCTTTATATGTGCTGGTTATTATATAGCTGATGTATTGGGCTTTTGCTTTTAAAACAACTATAGCCTTATGAGCTTGTAACTTTTTTATTTCTTGCATTAAATATGAAAGTCCTTTGTCAAAAAAAAAAAAAAAAAAAAAAAGTTATGTCTCATGATGTTTGGCCTCGTGTGGTTCCGTTTCACAAACGATTAATAACCAAATGGTGTGTTCCTTGTGGAAGGTAAACTACTACTTTATATTAAGTCATCGTACCATATCTTGAAACGTGGGTGCATCAACGCCCGCACGTTGTAGGCCGCGCGCGATATGTCAGAAAAATTTGAGAAACAAGTTCCAATCCAACGGCTGAAAATGAAAAATAGGAATACGCAATCCCTCTCCCTCTTTCTATAAATATTGAATACCACACGCTGACTTGCGCCACAAGTGTCTCTGAAACTAAAAACATTTTCACCAATTTTCGCGTGAGGCTCTCACTAGCTCGTCTCTTGTTCGTAATTCGCTGAAACATGGCCGACGAGGATGACGACTTCCATCCCGGCGACGGAGATTCCCAGACCTATACTCTGAAGGCTGGTGACATCCGTAAGGGTGGTTACATCGTCATCAAGGGTCGTCCCTGCAAGGTCTTCTAATGCTTTTTTCTCTTACGTTGTGATTTATTTCTCTCTCGGAGCTAGTTCTCGTTCGTTTGAATTGCTTAAAGGTTCGATTGGTTTATTAAAAAACTTGAAACACTTTCTTTGTTGGTTGATTTTCATAGGTGGTTGAGGTTTCGATTTCAAAGACTGGGAAGCACGGTCATGACAAATGTCACTTTTTTGCCGTTGATATCTTCACTTCTGAGAAGCTCGAAGATATTGTTCCTTCTTCCCACGATTGTGATGTGCGTCCTGTGATGTTCCCGAGCGACTATATCTCTGTTTATCTGACCCTCACGAATTGTTCCATTTTGTCTATGTGAGTGCAGGTTCCAGTGGTGAAGGTAACTGCGTACGATTTGATTGATATCTTGGAAGATGGCTCTGTATGTTCACATCCGCTTTTTCCTTTTTCCATTACTACTTGCGCTTTGGTTTGCTTTTTGGTTAAAGTTTGAGGTTTTTTTTTTAATCTTGATGAGTACTTACAGGTCACCGTTATGGGTGACGATGGTGTCGTTAAGACTGATGTGAAGCTCCCAACAGATGAAGCTCTGGTCACAGAGGCTACTTTTCTCGCCTTTTTAATGCATACAACTCAAAATCAACTGGTTATGGTGGGATCACTTGTGATTGTTTGTGGTGTGAATGCAGCTCAAGGCGGGAATTAAAGAGGGCAGGAAAATGGTCGTCTCTGTCATTTCTGCAATGGGAGAGTATATGATAACTGCCGTGAGGGATGCTGCTCCGAACTAGCATTCTGCTCTGCTCCTCCTCTCTTACGGAGTATATTTTATCATCATCAGTTCATTGACGGATTCAAATATTATAAGATAACGTTTGGTCTCTTTTTTCCTTTTTAATAATTGTAAGCCAATATGTGTTATGTGGCTTAAAAGTTACTGTTGTGGAATAAGTTACTTTATCTCTATATTGGTCTTTCATTTGGTTGTGGAATACGTTACTGGTGTGGAATTATCTATCGTGTATTGGTTTTTGGTTGTGCGATAAGTTATTGTTGAGTGTTGACCACTCCAAAGCTATACTATAAATTAATATTACTCTTATGTGTTTGTGGATGTGACATTCTCAAATCGTAAAGGATAAGTTGTTTTGATATTATATATATCCACAATTTATTCTGATTATGGATATGTTGAAACCTTTACATTATCATCGATTCCTTTTTGCAATCCTCAAATAGTTTTATTAAGTATAAAATATTAGTGGAAACCCCTTAGTCCAATGGTTTAATAAGAGTTTATTAATGTTTTTACACCAATAGGTTTGGCTTTCAAATCCCAACGAAAATCGTCAGGTGTAGATTTTCATATAGTAAGCGTAATGCAGAGTGCAAGTAGAGCCATTAGAATCATCGATGTAACAGTTCTCATAATTTACAATAGATTAATAAATCAGTGTTAAGAAAAATATAAAATAATAATATAAATAAACTTTAAATAAAACAAATAAACCAGTTATATAATAACACATGTTTAGAAAGTTTAGATCCGATTTTTAAATAAGAATTGCAAAAACAGTTTCTTTTAGATTTCTTACGTTTTTATTTTTTTAATAGTTTTAAAATTAAAATACTGAATAAGAATCAGCCTTAAACATACAATGTGTTCTAACCACGTAATCTTGAGACAAGGTAAAGAAACTGACTCGAAACTAAACCATTGAAACCCGACCGAGTCTCAAATACACCAGTGTCTCCGAGATATAAAGGTTTCTAAGACAATTACCTATACAAACAGCCGTTAGTTTTCCTCTTTGTGTATTCAAAGATTAAATGGGCCAGTAGGCCCACATAAACAAAATGGGCCAATATGCCCATAGAAAAAAGTAAACTGGGCCAGTAGGCCCATAGGAAGAAAATAATAGCCATATGCGTATTTGCCTGTACGGTGGTGTTATTATGATTCATCGACGGATACTTTTAGTTTTATCATCGGACGAAAAGAGTTTTCCACTAATCATCTTTTTTGTTTTGCAGCACGCTAAAAAAAGTCAGACACAGTAAGCAACATAAACCATCAAAAATAATAAATTCCTTTCTTCATTACCAATCAAGTAGTAATTGCCCCCACCTCTTATTATTGCTTCCATTACCACACCAGTTCACAATTCACATTTCACATTTCACAGCCTCACAATTTATAATTATAAGCAATGTTGCATATTCCAAATTCCATAAACTTAAATACTTAAGTATCTATTTAGTGAATGACTTAATATGAATGATTTCTTTTTTTGTCAACAGACCTAATTGACCTATAACTACTTAAAAAGAAACAAGAAGGGGCATTGAGTCACGGGTATGAGTAGAGAGAGGCACAGGGGCACGTGGTTAAAAGAAAAGACCCAAGCAAATGAGAACAACTCCTTCTCTGTATGTCTCCATCTACCATTTTGTATATATTCATCGCTTAGATCTTGTATATCCTTTATCCTTCAACATTCAAACAATTTTCTTTTTTCTATTATTCAAACAAATTTTCATTTTTTTCATTATCAGTTTACTATATAATTTGTCCTGCCAGAAACATGTTAATATCGTCCTAACTTTTTGTTTATAGTGTGGCCTGACTTTTATTTTCTGTCGACGGTTCAGTTTCTTTGTAATTTTTTTTTCAAAATTCTCCATTAAGTACTGTTTGTAAAAGACATATTGTTGACTAAAAGAAACCAAACAAAAAAAGAAACTCTTTCAATATAACGGTTGCCACCGGAATATATCGATAAACGATTTATCCGTATTCGGCGGGTGTAGCTTGTTTTTTTTTATTTTCGTGCGGTTCGAAACAAAGGTTAGACTTCACTTATAACTAAATAAATTATTCGTATTATTATTATACATACTCAATTACGTTTTTAGGATTTTTATAAGAATGCTTGTCTTACCTCATCTGTATTAAATTGCGATCCCTTCTACCAAGAAAGAAAAAAGAATATGAAGAAGGAAAACGACATACATAAAGAGGTCCTTAGAATTTAATGCTTCACATTTACTCCTTCATCCGCACACCTTTTTTGTCCCTTTTTTAATGATCCATTCAGTTTTTAAAATTATTTTGTAGTTTCGATTAAAAATCAACTTTAGCAAATACAATTTTTTCTAGTTTATTATATACATATGAAAAAATAAAAAAATATAAATGAGGAAGAAAAAGAAATCGAAATTTTGAGTAAAAAAATATGTATAAATTTATCAAAGTATTTGCAATTAATGTCTTCGGCGGTTAGTTTCTTGGGATGTGTCAGAAAACCCATTCGAAACATGTGTTATACGAATTTCTGAATAAAATAAAACAATTCCAGTTTCCTAAGAAAAACTTCTTTTTTTTTTTTACATTCTTAAGAAAACCCATAAATCTTCGCATCTGCATGCAAAGTCGACGTATATATATATTTTAATGTCTCTATATATACGTAATAGACATGTAAGAAGACATTGGCTTTCGATCCAAATGACCCTTTTTAAGAGATATAGCAAGAAAAAGGTAACTAAAACGCAAACCAATTATAAAAGAGAGTTTTCTCTTTTTTACAGAAAAAGTCTATTTTTTTCTGACAAGAGAAAAGGCCATAAGAGGCATACCAGCTACCAAAAACTTTTAAATTTTGTAACAAAAAACCTTTAATTTTTGAATAAATAACAATTCTAACCTTACAAGGAAATTTCATTTCCAACTTCATTTTTTCTTTCCCGGACCGTCGTTGTCTTGGTGCTATGTTCTGTCACTCTCCATTCTCTCGGACCTCAAATATTGAAAACCAAAATGAACTATTGGTAGCTACATAAATAAATGTTTTAGTTATATAATCTTCCTTGTAATGTTACTTCTTTGGAGTAGAAAAATTATCTTTAACCAAATCGGCTTGATTCTTGTAACATATTGAGTGTAAAGTGTTTGCAGAGTAGTTACCAGTTTGGAAGACAAACATTTAAGACAATAGTAAGTCTTTTGGTACCAACATTTAATGTTGTATGACCTTCGATAATTAAATACACAAGGACACATTGTAATTAGGTTTAAATATAGAAACATGCTTAATTGCTTATGTCAAACATTAAGCTACCTAATCTTAATTATATACTCCTTTGATCACACTACAAAAGGGGAAAACAAAGTGTGGGGGTTGAAAATATAAAGGTAAGACAATCAGTGGGTAAAAAAGTAAAAGAAAGATAAGTACTGGGGAAGTGATGAGAGAGAGAGTGATGGCAATTTAACAAAGGAGAAAGAAAACAAGTGTTACTGGATTTGCCAGCAATTGGACTGTGACACATGATTTGGCCTTGGAGAAAAGGTAACTGCTTTTCATCTCTTAATTATAACCCTTTTTTTTCCCTCTCTCTCTCTCTTCCATGGTGGTGGGTTCTTTAGATCTCTGTACCAAAGTTCAAAGCTTTGCTCAGAAGCTACAGAGGGAATCAGGGAAACCACAAACAAAGAGTCTACTTTTCCTTTTTGTTTCTATTTGATAGTATTTACTTTTCACCCAGTGGTCAAATGTCTTCCTCTCTACTCCTCTTCCCTTTGGTCTGAGACTGTTGTTACTTTTAGAGTTTAGAGTCCGTGAATGAAGAAAAATGTTGGCTTTTCAGAGAAGATGAGGGAAAAAAGCCAAAGTTTTTCTGTTTATTTGACTTGAGTCTCTTCGATCTACATCTGGATTTTGCAGCATTCTAGTGGGAAAAATGAGGAAACATGGATGGCAACTTCCTTACCACCCTCTTCAGGTACTCCAAATCTTCCGATTCTTTCTGATTCCAACTGAAATTTCGTTGATTTTGAGCTGAAATTTTGCAACTTTTTTCAATTTTCTGGGTAGGTGGTGGCTGTTGCTGTGTTCTTGGCTCTAGGGTTTGCTTTCTACGTCTTCTTTGCTCCCTTTGTGGGGAATAAGATTCATCAGTACATTGTGATGGGAATCTACACTCCTCTGGTAAGCTAAATTTGTTTACTTTGCTCCCTGAAACCAAATCTGCTTTCTGGTTTTTGTTTTTTTTGTTTGCTCACGGATCAATAATTCTTGTAAGGCTTTTGAGATCAAAATTGTGTGCTTGTTGGCCGTTTATGTGTTGTCTCTATTCTGTTGTCTTTCTATTTCCGGGAAATGCTTTTATCTTTTTTCAGAAGTACAGGACATAGACAATTGGTTCCACAATCTAACTTGTCTTGTGAAATTTTGTTACTTATATAGCTAATTAGGGAAATTGGATTTTACCTTTCTTCTAGTTGGATCCTGATCTGGTCCCATGTAGAGTTTAGAAGCCTCACTTACTCATGAAAATGTACAACTTAGCTCTATATTCCGAGCCAATTATAGGGCTATGGTTGAAACTTCAGTCTTAACATCTATGGATATGCTGTTTCTTCCTTTAACTCGATTCATCATTTTAGAGATAACAGTAGTAGCAACTGATTTTCAATCATATCTCTTCTTGAGTTTGTCCTAAAGCTAAAATCTTCTACGTTGCTACTTTGGGGTTGAAATTTTGCATCATTACATCCATGTATGTAAACATTGAGTCTTTGAGAACTGATTTTTTACTTTTTACTTTGAGAATGCTCTCAGAGACTTACTCGAGTCAGTGACATTTGCTTTACAGATTACATGTGTGGTTGGACTGTATATATGGTGTGCGGCTTCAGATCCTGCAGACCGTGGAGTTTTTAGGTCAAAGAAGTACCTTAAAATCCCTGAAAACGGGAAGTTTCCTCAATCAAAGGATACGAAAGATGGCTGTGGATCAACTACAGGTGGTGCCAAGTCTCATGACAGCACATGTGTACAGGATGCGGAAAATGGAACTAACAAGAAACTGGAGTCATCAGAAAGATCTCCTCTTCTGCGTTTGCTTTGCTCTCCTTGTGCATTGCTTTGTAGTTGTTGCAACGGAAGTGATGAATCCTCTGAGCAGATGAGCGAGGATGGGATGTTTTACTGCAGTCTGTGTGAAGTTGAGGTGCGGGAAACACTTGAAATCACAAACTCTTTTTGTAGTTTCATAGTTCGATATCAAGAAAGCTCAAGCAAAGCTCAGGCCTAATAATTGTATTTCATGTTTCAGGTCTTCAAATACAGCAAGCATTGCAGAGTTTGTGACAAATGCGTGGACCGTTTTGATCATCACTGCAGGGTACTTAACTGATTTGCCTGAAAATTTCCGTTTTTTTTCTTTCTCTTAACTCTTTATTTTGTTTTGAATTTCTAAACTTCTTTTGCTTATGTTCATGTGTAGTGGCTAAACAACTGCATTGGCAAGCGGAATTACAGAAAGTTCTTCAGCCTTATGGTATCAGCTATTTTTTTGGTAAGGTTCCGTTGATCGTCTTTCACGAAAGTTTTCTCTTCTGCTAATCTCTCTGCTGTGATGTGTTCTTAAATCATTCATCTTTTGGTTGATGAAACATTGAGTTGTTTGTTATATTCGTCAGGTTTAAGTTAATTGTTTTACTAACCGGCAGTAGCTTCCCCCTTGGGTCTTGATCTTGCAGCTCATCATGCAATGGTCGACTGGGATATTTGTACTGATATTATGTTTACTCCGAAGAAGCCAGTTCAATGCTGACATTTCCTTGAAATTGGGAAGTAGCTTCTCTCTAATTCCATTTGTTATAGTCGTTGTAAGTTTTCTTCTCATACAATTGATATTTCCTCATCTTCCCCTAAATGCAAGATATGAAAGGTTTGTTTCTCTTGCAGGCAGTTTGCACTCTATTAGCAATGCTGGCAACGCTACCACTTGCTCAGCTTTTCTTCTTCCACATTCTTCTCATCAAAAAGGTTGTTTCCAATGCTCAAGAACACGCCGAGACTTACTCTCTTTTAGCAATACAATTTTACTAAGCGAATTTCTTTTACAGGGAATCAGTACATACGACTACATAGTTGCGCTTAGGGAACAAGAGCAAGAACAAGAAGCTGGTGGAGGTCAACAAAGCCCTCAAATGTCGATGATCAGTTCATTCACTGGACTAAGCAGTGCAAGCTCCTTCAATACATTCCACCGTGGGGCATGGTGCACACCACCACGCTTGTTTCTTGAGGATCAGGTACCATTATTCACCATTTTTTTTCTATCTCGTATAAGTATATTGTTTGCTCTAATGTGTGTGTGTGTGCCTGTTTCTATGTACAGTTTGATGTAGTTCCTCCAGAGAATGCGTCTGTAAGCTCATACGGAAAGAAGTCAGTGGTTGAGGAACGCGTCAAGAAGAAGAGCCAACCTGTGAAGATCAGTCCATGGACTCTAGCGCGTCTCAACGCAGAAGAAGTCTCAAAAGCAGCAGCAGAAGCAAGAAAGAAATCCAAAATAATACAGCCAGTGGCAAGGCGAGAAAATCCGTTTGTTGGGTTAGAAGCAAGCAGCAGCTTTGGAAGCAGCGGCCGTAGAATGTTCCCAGCGAAATTCGAAGCTGTTAACAGTAACGGGAAGCAGCGAAGGCAATCTAAACGCATAAGGTTACCAGCAGAGTTGCCTCTAGAACCTTTGATGAATGTTCAGTCAAAGAAAGCAGTCATGGAGACATCAACTAGCTCAGGATTAGGTCCTCTTCAGCTAGAAGCAAGAAGCGCGTTTCAGACAAGCCGAGCAATGTCTGGATCAGGTGGTGTTATGGTGACATCTTCACCAGAGAGCAGCTTAGACTCGCATGACATTCACCCTTTCAGAGTTTCCTCTGAAGCAGAGGATTCAGCTCAGCTTACTGGGTTTTCTTCAGCTGTTGGTCTGATGGGACAGCAGAGAGTACAACAACAACAACAACAGGCCATGATGATGATGATGCCATTGTCAAGGTCTACAAGTGATGGCTACGATGCATCTGGAGGAGAAGACAGTGATCAGGTTCCTTCTAGAAACATCCACAAATCAAGATGAGAAGTATGAATAATCCAATCACTCTAGTTTTTGGCTTTTGAAGGGTTGAGAATTCTTAGAGGCATTCTTTGATTTTATGGCTTTGTCACATTCAAATGGGTCGACCAAGAAAAAAGTCAAACACTCAGCCAAATCTGATTTGATGGGGCTCTTACAGTACTTGGCATGAGCTCTTAGGAGAAGAAGTACAAAAAAAAGGAAGACTTTTGTGGATTCTTAAGATATTATTTTGTAAGGTACTGAGTAATTTGAACATGATCTTTTAGGGATTGACCTGTGAAACGGTCTTTTGTTTGTTTGTTAGGAAAAAAAAAACTTTGTTTCTTCTTCAAAACAAAAAACAAAAAACAAAGATCAAATTGTGATTGAAAGTTGTTGTGGTTTTGACATGTTTTATATTCATCATGATAGAGAAACAACCCAAAACCCACGCGTTAGGATCCGGACTCAAACCCGGACCCGGATTCGAAAACATGAATGTTAAAAACCTTGACACCGAAACTCTCTCACACATTCGTCACCGTCACTTTTGCTCAATTCACTTTTGGAATCCTTTTATGCGTGAACTCTGTTTCTTGCCTTCTCTAGGAGATCCCAATTTTCTCTCGTTTTGCTTTCGTGACGCTTTTTCTCTCATGCTTTTCACGCGGCGCGAAATCATTTAACCAAGATCTTGTTTTTTGATTACCAAAGATAATCCCTTTAATTTGGGTCTATAGCTCAAAACATCAACAACAGATAAAAATCTTCACTTTGCATCAGACTATCAGAGTTTATGGTATGCGTCTCGTGCGTAACTGAAAACCCATTTCGTCGGAAAAAAAAAACCAAAATTTCATGGGGAAGGGTTATTCTGGAACGAATCAAGAATCCAATTTCCGAAAATTCGAGATGAAATCGTCATCCCCTGATCATCAGTTCCACTCGATGAACGCGCTTGAGATCCTCGTAGAAACCGTTCGGATTCTCCGGTATAATCTAGGCGCTTTCGTGTTGATCGCAGCTCTTTTGATCTGTCCTGTTTCCGCGATTCTATTACCGAACCTCTTGGTTGATCAATCGGTGGTTCATTCACTGACGGTGAGGCTTCTCTTAGCCGCGAAATCGAGTGGTCTCCCTTTGTTGCCTTTCGTGAGGAACTCGTGTCAGAAATTCTCCGAAACAGCTGTTTCCTCTGCCACGTGTTTCCCTCTGTTCATCACACTCTCGCTTTTATCAAGAGCAGCCGTTGTTTACTCTGTGGACTGCACCTACTCGAGGAGAAACGTTGTGATAAGCAAGTTCCTGGTGATAATGCAGAGACTGTGGAAACGTCTCGTCTTCACTTACTTGTGGATTTGCCTTGTGATTGTTGTTTGCCTCACTTCCTTCTGCGTCTTCCTCGTCTCCGTTTGTAGCTCATTCTTCGTTCTTGGATTCTCTCCTGATTTCAACGCATATGGAGCCATCTTAGTTGGTTTGGTGTTCTCGGTAGTGTTCGCAAACGTCATAATAATCTGCAACACGACGATCGTGATCTCGATTCTTGAAGACGTCTCGGGACCAAGTGCGTTGGTGAGAGCAAATGATCTGATCAAAGGGCAGACTCAGGTTGGTCTGTTGATATTCTTAGGGTCAACGATAGGATTGACGTTTGTGGAAGGATTGTTTGAGCACAGAGTGAAGATCTTGAGCTACGGAGATGGCTCTTCGAGGATATGGGAAGGTCCACTTCTTGTGGTGATGTATTCGTTTGTGGTGCTTATCGATACGATGATGAGTGCTGTCTTCTATTTTAGCTGCCGCTCTTATAGTATGGAAGCTGTTGAAGCCTTGGAAGCCTCTGGAGGCGAAACTAGGCCGATTCTTGAACTTGTGTCTCTTCCGTAAGGAAGTTTATGAGGATTGATGTTAGTTGCATTTTGTGGATTAGAGGTAAATTTAAAAGGAGATGTATATGAAAGATGAGTCTAAGAGTTTAGGAGAGCATTCTTTTTTGGGCTGCTTCCTCTAATTAGTGTTTCTTTACATTTTGCGATTATCAGATATCAAGACGGCCCATGTTCACTCCTTATTTTGGTTCTATTTTTGTCAATAATCAAATATAAAACTGTTCATCTTTCTCCAAAAAGTTTTATTTTTTGGAGATAGTTTTGATGTGTTAGGTTTTCAATCACTTTCTAGGATTTTTTTTTTTCCTTTTAAATCTTGTCTATTGTCATTTTTAAGGATGTTTAGGTGTCATATCATTGTTTTATCGAATCTTTGATATAAAAAAGCTTCGGACCGCATTTGATGTAAAGATTTAACAAACACTTATGTCTAAGAGGCTTGGTGTATATTTAGATGCGGTTAAGTAAAAATAGTGATAGTGTTAGATAGATTGGGATTGGGCCTTATAGAGATTGGGTTGGGCCAGTTATGCTTGTTTTGAGCTGGTTTTGGGCTAAAATTTAAGTGGGAAATTAGTTATTTTCATGCTAAAGGGTTTGGGATATATGGAGATAGTCATACTAAATGAAGATATTTTCAATCGATGTGCAAAATCATTCATCAATGTTAACTGCAATTATAAACACAATCAACAATGTATTTGTCCTCTCCAGACTCATTTTCCAACGTAACCCATATTCATATCTTTTGTTAACTATTTTTTTTTCTAGCACAAGACATCTCATCTTCACCAAATTAATCCTGACATTATGAGATGTCGTAAAGTAGAGTGAAGTCGGTCATGAGTTTTGGGAACACAGTATTATGATATCGAATGTAAACACTATTGGATCATAGAGTGAAGTCGACAACGATGGGATTGGATCCATGTAGTTTGATGGGATATGTTGTACAGACTCACTACAGACGACATGCAATGATTCTGTTTCTCTAGCCACAAAAACTAACAATCTATCACGTTGCTTCCAATCTTTTCTTTCGTATTTATTTCTTGGTAGTCCCTAAACACTTTAACAAAAATAAAAAAAAAAAATATATATATTTCATGGTAACTCAAGCAACAACAAAAATAAAACACTTAAAGATATACTATCCAACAGATGTTTGATATGCAATAGTTCCGCAGATAATAGAATTATGATACATTTTTATTTTATCATACTATTAATCAACATATATATTATGATAAGTTTTAGTATAAGATTTGAAACTAGATGTATTTCTTTCGAGTTAAAGTGTAAATATCGTATTATAATGGATCGTGGATGGTTGACAGGTAATAATATCCATCCCTAGCTAAGCTACTGTATACTATTATTCTCTAGCTATAATAATAGCTTTGATTTTCACAGTTCAAATGCATCCATAGTAGTTAATATAGAGAGACAAGAACAAAGATTTGACAACACATGGACAGTTCATTCGAGATGTAGTAATAGTTTGGCAATATATATGATTTTGCTAACTTAAATATTGACAATGAAACTTAATATTTAGTTTGAATGTAAGTACCCACCCATGTAAAAACTGTAGATGTAACTTTCAATATAATACAAAAATTATATTTATGTATATAAATATACCATATAATTATAAAAAAAAAAGGGAGAGAGAATTGAGACAGTTTGGTACTAGTTCTCTCACTTCTCTGAAGAATTGAAGTTCCCAAGAACTAGAAAAGATGCACATTTTCATATTCTTTCTTTCTTTCTCCTTTTCATATTTTGTGACAACTCACAAACAAACACAGACTCTCCTAATTCCTCTTTTTGTTCTCTCTTCTTTTATTTCGTTGCTATATAAATAAACATCATTTTATTCTCTCTTTGGTCCTCTGTGTCGTCGTTATTGTTTAGAAAAATCGAAAAAACTAGTAATAATAAATATTTTTGAGTATGGCTTCTTCTGCTGCAACACTCTGCCCATTCATTAACTGCTCTTTCTTCCCAACTTAAAAACTGGAGTATTCATTTTTTTCCCTTTTCTCTCTTTTGTCCTTTCTCTTGTTTTGGGGACTTTCACCTTTCCAAACTCCCAAAGCTTTATTTGTTTCAGAGCATTTAATTTTTTGATTTTTTTTAATTCTAATCCCAAAATAGTTATCTCTCTCTTAAATCACGACAATTTGAACTTAGATCATCTCCAATCCATTTTGCTATTTTTTCCTCTAAAATAGAAAAATTCTAAAATAGAAATAGGTTTTTCTCCAAACTACCTCTATTTTAGAGGAATACCTCTATTTTATAGGAAAATATAGATAAATTTATTTTTTCCTCTATAGAGAAAAAAGTAATATCTCTATTTTTTCCTCTAAAATAAAGGTGGATTGGAAAATAAAAATAACACCTCTATTTTTTCATCTAAAAGTAAAAGAAAAAATAGTAATAAATTGAAGATGCTCTTAAATGAAAAAAAAGCATAACTTTGAAGTAAGTCCCTACAATTTACTACTCTTGAATTTTCGAGTGTTTGGTTGAAATTTTGGCCTTGATGTGATATTCAACGTGATTGAATTACTTTAGTTGGAGTTTTTGGTGTTGATGATATGTTCCCATTTCGATATTATTGAAATGTTCCAAGAAAAACAAAAACTGACATTCATAAGATCTTGTGGTTGTGAATTGTGATTATATAAAAATGATCATGTTGGATAAGCTTCAATAATTGGAGTCTAAGATATCCATAAACAAGTTGGTTTAGGATAAGAGAGACTCATTAGATCTCTATTTGAGTTAGGAGTTAGCTAAGTCAATAAAAAATAGTATTGACAAAGTGTGTCGATACTATATATATATCGATGTTGAGTTATGACGATCGATAAGAGCTATAAGGTGTTTTAGTTTTGTGTTAAAGTTTCTAAACATCAATAAAAGAGAGTTATTCTTTTATATAATCTGTGCTCTGTTTTGGGATACTCTGTTCTTAGATCTTATAGATCAAATTCAAGCATCCAAACAAAAAAAAAAAAAACAACAAAAAGAACTTTAAATTTCTTTTTTGCCTTTTAAGAAGAGTTACTTAAAAAAAAGAGAACTCACTGTTTGGGCTTTTTCAAGTTCAATAATTGGCGGTGGCTTGGTATTGGTAAAAACTAGTATTACAACATGTGATGAATTGAAATGGAAAACACTATTATTGTACAGAACGAAATCTACACGTACATATACTATAGTTGGCGTATTTACTGCATTTTTTTTCCCAAATATCATTGATGTTTTTAATAAATATCATGTTGTTATTACTCGATGAAATCTTCCAATATAAAAAGTGGGGGAAGATTCTTCACCTTAACTAACATTGGCTTCTACCACAAGGAATCCAAATCAAGAACTTAGAAAGAAATTTTTAAAAACTCAACAGTAAAACATGAGATTCTTGACATTATCACTTAATTTAGGAAGAGGAATCGTCTTGGGAGGACCCACTCGAGACACAGAAGAAGGATTCATGGATCCTCCATTAGTTTCAGATGATCTCTCGATGTATAGCCTTCCTCTGTAAGCTGCAAGGTGAGCGTAATAAGCCGGCGGCACAATAGAAACAGGTTTCGTGCACCTCACGAAAGTGTAACACAAGTTATACACTAGTCTCTGCAATTCGTCTGAAGTAAACTCGTTTTCGTCCCACAAGATGTGGTAATGCGTTGGCCTGCTCGTACCCTTCACTCCCAAATGGCTACAGAGATAGAAATCAAACTCTTTCGGATGAGTTATCACCGTATCAACCACTGTTCCAGGAGGGATGTTCTGATCATTGTCGGGATCACACCGGAACAGCCTTGAGTGGTGTCTTTTCTGGACCACGGCGAACGTGATGCTCGGATTGTAACCGTGGAACTTAGAGCAAGCGGTTTTAATGGCCTGAAGCTCTTCTTGGAGGCATTTCTTGAACTGTGTCTCGCTCACACCGTCTCTGAAGAATATGATCCGATTCGGGAGCTTGTTTAGGGCTTTGTAGAAATCGTCAAGAAGTTCCTTGACCATCAAGTCAAGATCTTGAATGATCTCTTGCCTATGAGTCTGAGACCTCATTCTAGAGACGTACCGGTTAGCTTCTGGCCAGTTTATGCTCCCGACCACAGCAGCTACGGAAGGGCTACAATCATCGAACGGATGAGGATGCGTTACATCAGCTCCCATGAAGATCACAGGCTCATCGAGTCTAAACAATCTCGGAATGTGAGAAGGTATGGAGTTGTAGAGCTCTGTCATGGATCCGCCGATCTTGGCGTTTATCTTGAGAGCCAAGTTTGAAACGAACTGAGAATTGAGCTTTGTGATGTTAGGGTACAAGCAGCATTGCGTCACAACGCCGATTCTCGTCTCTGCTATCCTCTTTATGTCTCCGTAGCCTTTATGTTTCTTCTCCATTACACAGATAATCAGCTGGAGTTTGTTCGACGCCGCTCTTTGAATCTCCTTCAGTTTCGACTCGAGAAGCGTAATGTTGTTTAGTATGTGAGATGGTTCAAAGAAGGTGCTGCTGCTTATTGCATTCTTGCTTAGGAAGACTCCCAAATGCTCACACTTTTGAGTGAGCTCGTTTATGAACTTGGGAATGGTAGATTTCTGATCTTGACTGCCTCCAATACTCATCAAAGCCCATCTCTCGACTCGAGTTCCTTTAAAAGCTCTACTCTCTACAAGGCTCCTTGACCGGTCAAGTTTAAGCCTTGGAGGCTGTAGTATTCTTCCTTTTAGCAATGTCATCTCTCTAGAGACCTCGAGGTTGAATTCTCTTGTTTGGTTTCCACTGTCAAAGCGAAGAAACAAGAGATTAGATTGATGTTTTAGTGCTCGAATGTAGAAATAAGAAAAGTCGACTAGATTAATTACCTCGATGGACCAACAGGTCCTGACATAACCGTGTTAATGATACCTTTCCTTTCGTTTGGTCTTTGGCAGCCCATTTTCATTATCTTTGCAGCTTGATCATCAGAGAGCTTCCCAAGAAACTTTTGACCTTCACAGATCATACATAGTTCCATAGGAATGTAACAGGGTTTCGTCCTACTAATCTGCAGGCACGGCAAGTTCTTGAACTGGATCTCATAACTGTAATGATCTTTAAAGTAGCTCATAAGCCTTAAATGTTTCCCATCTCTATCAGGGAACCACAAATTCTCGGTGATCTCCTCCGTTAACCCGTAAACACGATATCTTTGAACGGTCTCTCTATGGCAAACAAAGACTCTTATGTTCTTGAGTGCTTTCTCCACTTCTCTCCTTTCCTCGAAACTCAGTTCTCTACCTTTGTTCCTAGAAAGATCCTTGAGAAACTCGAGCCGCTTCTGCAAGTAAGCTATCACCCGAATGCTTTCATGGAATGCTGTGATTGAGAGATCCATGTTTAGTGCTAAACCTTGCTGAGTCTGTCTAAGACTCTGGAAAAACCCTCTGAGTCCAACAGCTCCTCCTCCAATCTCCTTAGATCCACCCATAGAACTCGAGTAAAACGATCTTCCAATAGATGTACATTTCTCCGTTGGATTCTCCCTCAAGATCACATCAAGAGCATGGACGTATTCTTGAGGCAGAGGAGTCCAATTTTCACCTTCTTTCTTCCTCTGTTCCTTCCCATCAAACTTAGACACAAGCCTCATGTTAACCCTAAACAGTTTATCAATTTTCTTCTGAGGTTGCTTCTCTCGCAAGTCACTGTACTTCATCACCGTGTTGGAAGATGGGATAGGGAGATTAACAAAGAACTCAAGCCTGTCTTCCTGAAACTCCACAGGGCTATAAATGTTATTCCTACCATCAAACGCAGGGACAGCACCTGAGAAGCTACTCGGCTCAGTCTCCACGAGCTTCTGTTTGATCATCCGAGCCATTTCTTTTGAAGGGTGTGGAGAGATCTCAACATTGTAATGGTAAATCTTGTGGGAAGGATCAAACTTGACAAGAAAATGGTTGGCGAGAAGATAGATGACAGAGCCTTCTTGACCACCAGAGTCAGGTCTTTTAGCAACCACTAATGCTGCTTCTGCTTCTGCTTCTGTTGCTGTGGACCCACTCACTTTGATGTTTCTACTGTTGGCTTTATGTTCAGACACTTGCATCTTCTTCTTGTTCTGCTGTTGCTGCTTATGCTCCACAACTGTTAATACAGATAATGGTGGAAGGAGCAAATGGGTGAGTCAAAGTCAAAAAAGAAGAAGATTTTTAATGACTTTATCCTAGTTTTTTGAATGAAACACAAAAAGATGCAACTAAATCAGTACCTATAGAGAGAGTAATTAAGCAGACAGAGAGTTTCTTTCTGGGTAAAAGTTTCAGACATTAAAAGAACATTAAAGAAAAAGTGATACTTATTGTAGTACAGAGAGAGAGGAGGACCATATAGACATTTACACAGAATGGAGTGTGGGAAACCACACCAAGAACAACAAAGGGAAAAGAGAGATAGCCTTGAAAACCTCGTCCAAGAAAAATGAAATAAAAAAACAAGAAACATTCAGACAAGTTAACATGCAAGAAAGAGGGAAGAAGAAAGAAACACAGAACAGAGAAGAATGGTTTTGCTCACCTGGAGAAAGAGGGATAGGTTTTGACATTGATTGGAAGAATCTGAGGTCAGGAGGAGGAGAAGGAAGGGGAAGTAAAGGAGGAGTAGGAGGAAGAGGGAGAAGAGGAGGAAGAGTGTGGTGAAACTGAGAGTAGAGGCAGTAGTAGTAATAATAGTAGTAGCTAGAATGGAGATTGGAGGAGACAAGATTGAGATTTCGGTGGTCAGGAGAAGGAAAAGGAAGAGGATTGGTGTGAACATGGTGAAAAGGAGGCTTGTGGAGAAGAGGTGTTCTTGATTTGGAATTGGAGATGTGTTTGGTCGTGTGATGAGTTTTTTCTTCCATGGCTGATGGAAAAGGAGATAGAGAGAGAGAGATCTTTGAGGAAAGAAAAAGCAGAAGAGAGAGAGAGAGAGAGAAGGTAAGAAGAGTGTGGTTTGTTTATCAGAGAGGCAGAAAGGGATTGTCTGGGTTTTTGCTCAGGGAAAGGTCAAAGTCTCTTCCTCTGTTTTTTTTTTATGCTCTGTCCTATAAAAAAAAAAGAAATGAATGTTATTTATGCTGTCATAAATACGCTTAAAAAAACAACAAAAATTACGAAAATAGCCATTCAAAATAAATAAATTAAAAACTAGGAATTTTGTAGTTACCACTAAAAAGAAAATCTAAAATCTTAATCATAATTTACAAACAAAAATGAATATTTCATTATTAAATACTACTAAGTAATTGAAATTTCATGTATTGTCAATATCTTAGAACTCAAAAACGCTCCAATGAATTAGCTATGGTGATAGTAGAATAGTGTTTTAACTTTTAATAATGATTTTGTATGATCACACAGGTCAGGATTGTAGAATAGAATTTTAGTATATCACTCTCAACTCAAAAACATAATTCTATATTTGAAAGACACAAAGTTGATTGGTGTGAGTCTTACCGATGGTATTAGAGACATTCATATGTTATTTTCAACGGCATAAATGATTAGATAGGCCTATATAGTTTCGTAAACCCCAAATTGTACACATGTTTTTACGAAAATTGACCAATACACTCATTAAAATCGAGTTATGGGGACCATTCTATTTAATTATTTTATTCTTTGTACTATTTCTTCGTACTTCATTAATAATAGACACTTTGGACTCTTTCACCATTACATTTTTTTTTGATATATTGTTTAGAAAGAAAAAAAAATTACATGCTTTTTGAGGTCCATGCAAAAAATTACAGCTAAATAACACAAGCAACAAAAATAAATCTAACAATTTTGTTGGAACATTATCAACGTTAGATTAATGAATCTTACTATTCATAGTTCATTTTGGCAAGTATGCAATAGTATTACATGAAAGTAAATAATTAAAGAGCCTTTGGCTTCTTTCATTTTGATGGTGACTAAAACCCACACCGATGGTTCCCACAATTATAGGTCCCACTAATTTTATCTCTTTGAATAATTCTATATCTTGAAAGATCTAACGATGAACAATGGTTTTAATTAAAACATTATAACAACATCGATATTAGATCGATGACATGAGAGTTTTTAGTATATGTACGATATCTTGTGAAAAAATGGTCCGATTCAAAGAGTTTCCTTTATGTAATGGAACACTTATATAGATTACTGGGACCAGAGAGATTTGGTCAAACGTAAAAGTTCCCTATAACCCATTGTTTTGGGCTAAATTTTCTAATTAATAATTAATCGCCTCTCTTTTGTATAAAACTATATGGTGGTTGGCAAAAAAAAACTTAAATAAACTATTTGGTGATCAAAGCCGTTATAATTTTCTTGTTATAATTCTTTTTCCTCTTTGTTTATAAAATACTACAATTTATGGGAATGTGGTGATGTTGACGGGGGAATATGATTAAACCATTTACTTAATCATTTTTTTAATTATGATTACTCCATTACAAATTTTAATTGTTGTTATCTCCTAATTTTCTTTCTTTTTCGGGAAAGCATAAATCTACTGTTAGACGCCTCCCTCTGGCACGGTTCAGGAAAAAAAAAAAAGAAGACTAATTACAGAATTTTAATATTAAATTCAAAGATCAACGTCCAATCGCTCTTAACCAATACAATAAAAATATCAGATGACCGGTCATTCCATTTACCAATATTTGATTTAGACAAGAGCCGATAAAGATGGTGTAACTGTAACATAACATCATCAGATTATCTTTGCGTACCTATTTCTATGAAAACACATTCTTTTTTTTTTTTTTTTTAATGAAAAACACATTCTCTTTGCAACTATTTTTATTTTCTTTTATTTTTTTATATCTCTCAGACAAAATAAAATTATTAAATTTTTGAGTAATTTCCAGTCCAAATTATGTTATAATATTATTAGTAATCCGATCTTTTGTTACTAAATGATGTCGTGAGGATTAGAGACATGGTTAGGTAACAAGTAATCATTGTTGAGTCCAAAGTGAAAGCATCATTATTGCTGATTTTACATGGTGACTACTAGGTTTATTTTAACTAAGTGTTAGCGTTAATACTACTGTTTTAGTCAAACATGTTGATTACCCCTTTTAATCAAAGCTGAACACAACAGCTCGTTTATGATTATAAAAACCTACGAAATCTCATGACTGGTTCTGTAAATGTTTACAAATGAATTGACATCGAGTTTCAATATGAATCTCCAATGTTTTTTGAGAAGTATAAATTGAAGTATTTATATTCACATGTGTGTGTACAATTGAAAATTGTACATAAGAGAATCAAACCTCACTCGAAGTCGAAGAGAGAAGAGGACTAGTGAGGCTATCATTTCTGCTTCCTGAGAATCGAAGTGGGAGCAGAGCAGGATCTTGGTACGCAGTGACCAAGTTATTATAAAACTCGGACATTCTTGGATCGTTTTGATCTTCCCTATCTCTCTTTGTCAACACCTAAAGAGTCACAAAACACACAGAGAGTTAATTCCATATACACACATCTTTGTTGTCCCTCTGAGAGATTTCGAGATTTGTACCTCAGCGGGATAAGCGGTGAATATAGGCATGAAGCGTTTACGACAGAACTCGTTGAAGAGAAGAGTGAAAACGGGAAGAGGGACAAGCAAGTATGTGGCTAGTTCCATCTTCTTGAGAGCAAATAGACCGATTGCGATTCCGTGCATGAGCACAAGAGAGAAGATCATTGTGTAGTGTATCATTGGCCAAAACATCCCTCCTGTGTCATACTTTGGTTCGTACACGTTTATGAACTGCATCCCCAAAGACAATAAAGTGCTTAGAGAAAACCTAAAGGAACTTATAAAGATGCGTGATCATACTCATACATACCTGGTTTCGGTAGATGACGTATGCAAGGACAAAGTAGAGAAGGATGAAAGGAAGTATCAATGGAGCTAAGAAGAAGTATGTAATCCCAAGAAGACCGAAGAAGAGCACTCTCGGGGTGTCTCTGTGGTACCGCATCGGCGGGATCACAAGTTCATTGTCATCTGTTGGTTCGAGTGATCTTTTCACGTAACTGACCATGAAAGGAACCACACGGAAGAGTTCGGTCAGAGTATCAGTCCACCCTGTTGTGACCACATAGGCGATGAAAAACGATGCCTGCAAATGAAGTAAACCAGCCGGTTAAGAAGTCTTGATTCTTGGTACTTTAAATCCAATATTTTCAATTTGATTACCTGAGCAGGAACAGCCACAGCCAGCTTGACCAGAATCTCCTTTGGATCGAAAATTACAGAAAGCTTGTAGAAGGCAGAACCAGAGAAGACAGTTGCGAAGAACACATTCCATATTGTGAACCAGATCACCTTGTTGCAAGCACTCTTTTGTATGTCGCTGTGGCAAATGTGCCCTTGGATAGAAGAGAGAAACTCCATGATGGGAGGTACGATCTTCAGAGACGTCTGAAGTATAAGACTTGGGAGGTACCCAGTGATTATCTGACTTACAATTTTCCTGCAACAGAGAGATAAATAATAAAATTAACTAAAAGTTTAGCAGAATGAGCTTAAACAATACTGTTGAATGTAAATGGGAATGGTTAAATCTTAACGTACATTGATAGAATCAATGTCAAGAACGGGAAGAAGTATTCTAGTGCAGACAGGTTGGTGAGGCCTTGGACAAGTACGACTGGAACAAGAAACAAGACAGTAAGGAGGAGACAAGCGAACACAATCACGATCTTAGCAAGCCATTTCTGCATAAATGATGCAGAGAAGAAAGGCCAGTGTACGTCATGAGGCTCTGGTGCTGGTTCTGTGAGCCAGTAAGTTGGGTTGATTGATTGCGGCATGTGTAGTGCCATTGCAGCACCGTATCGAGTCTTGAATGATACAAAAGCAGCTCGAACTTCCTACACCATGAGACGAACATGCAGATCATGACAAAGGAAGAATCATTCTGTTATCATCTTGATTGTACAAACCATCAAAGGCATACTTTTCCAGGTGTGGAAACTTCAGCTTGCCCCAAGCGTATGTTCTGTTCCAATTCGTGTAACACTTTCTCATAGTGATCCTCAGGAGTGTCCTTGCGACTGAAGAATCTCACTATCGGCGTCTTTCTAACTCGAGGAGCATCTGGCTTCTTATGTTTCACCTTTTTATACAACTTTTTCGCATTATCCTGCAAGAGCCAGAGTTGAAAAGAAGCGTAAACCAAGAGATAAAAAGTTGTAAATAGGCAGATACACTATCGAATGAAAAGTAGATTAGCTGTTTCTCAGGACTTACAACGATACTTCGAAGCTTACTAGTTCGATGGATAACCACATGAGAGAGGTAGGTAGAGAAGTGGTTTTCTGTAAAGAACCTATCAACAGTCTCGCTCACACTGCTTCCATCAGAAGAGGGGATGTTACGAACCAATATGGTGAACTGTTGTGGCTGAGCTCTGGATGAATTGAAATGCTCAATCCTTTTCAAGCCAATATATCTGAACTCCTGTCAAAGAGAGACGATACTAGTGACAAATATACCTGAGTGAGAGAGACTCAAAACTAGTGACAATCTTCTAAAGAGTCATCCACTAAAGAATATGCTCTTACCAAGTAAAGAAGACAGCAGACAAACGCAGTAACGAGATATATAGCTCCAAAGTGAACCCATAGCCTGCAAGAAACCAAAAAAGAGCTGGTACAGTGGCTCGAAACTAAAGCTGCAGTTTCTACTTCATCTGAGCTATAATCATAATAATAATTTGAGGTTACCATGGTGAGCGGGTTTTGAGGTTTGCAACAGAGAACAAATCCAAAGAATTCGCTGACCAGTCAGCGTAGTTAATCTGTATAAGTTGATCCCCGAAGCAGTTCACAGGCAAGAGAACAAAAGTCCCAATGATCCCAGCAAACAAGAACACTTTCAAACTACAGAGAACGAGAAAACGATCACAATGCAATTGATATATACATAAAACAAACCAAATGTACAAAACCAAAAAGGTTACCTGAAAGTGATCATTCTCATAAACACGACGCCGTCAAGGCCAGATGAATCCATGAGGTCCTTTTCTGATGGCCTCCATGATTTCCAAATCCAGCGGACAGAAGGGATGTACCTTGCCACCTTGTTGCGCCTTCTTTTAGAGGTTCCTGCCGCAAGCCGGCGTGGTAAGAACACCTCATAGTTGTGTGGCTGCTTCCTCAGCACAGAGTAGAGTGTGAAGAGCAATACACACAGGCAAGAGTTTATCCCAACAGACATAAGAAGGGCGGACACAAGCATCTTTTTTTTTCAGGACAGCTTTTAATATACCTCAGAAGCTTGTCCAAAACTCAGCTCTACTACAACTGCATGATAGCGCATAGATTCAAGTTAAAAAAAAAAAAAAAAAAAAGAAGAAAAGAAGTATTGCCATCAATGGAAACATTCTAAAGGTAAGAAGTTTCACATTTCAACACTTGTATGAATAATAAATACTCTGAAACTAAACTAATTAATATGTTTTCCAAGCATGTGAGTGTTTATACATTTTCTCTACAAATTATACAGGATCAAAAGTGAAATTTGAAGGCTAAATTTGAATGTGGGGAGGTTAATTCTTGATATCACTAACTAAACTATTGAACAAAGGTATGAAATTAAGAATCCAAACGAATACAGAGCTCAGTTTGTGTAATTTCAAGGCTTTGATCAATAATCTACACATACGAAACTAAAAACTGTATGGAAGCTAAAAAAATTCAAACACAAAGCCCAGATTCTACGTTTTTCTGATAACACCACAGGGATCAAATTCGTCATATACTGGAACTCAAGACGCGAAACCTATACAATCTTATTTAAAATAGAGTAATCAAACACCAATCTCACGAGAACGGAGGGATCAAACCTGAGCTTGCTTCTGAGACCTCAAAATCGAAATACACAACACGACACGCGTTTGAAAGCTTCAAAAGTCAGTGATGAAAGCAAAACTCAGCAGGAATCAGAGAAGACAAGAATTCAGAAAATGGTATTGCCCATAAATAATCCGATTGATGTGAAAGCAGAAATGGGAGAAGAAGCAGAAGCAAAATAACGAGAAGATATATTAGTTAATCTGATCAATACTATGAAAATGGACGGTCAAGAACACGATTACCACGCGTTATATAGCTTACATTTATATTATATCATCACGACTCTTTCAGATTTCATGAAGCCTTCTCCCTCGCTTCTCATTTTTGTTTATTGATATTACCCGAATTGCCCACACTGTGCTGTAGATAAGATAGTCATGCTTGGAGGACTCCCAAAGGGTATTTTCGTATAATTTGGAAAGTCAACGGTTTAACAACACTTTGTCGATGAGGCAATTGCTAATATAAAATCGAATGAACCAATAATTAATCTTTTGAGATAAACGATTATGTTATATTATGATATAATCATCTGTTTTTTTTTTTTTTTTTTTTTTTTTTAACTCTGAACTCTATTTTATTCATAAAATAAGGATTCATTGTGTAAGGCAGAGGATATTACATCATATTGGGATCCTTTGTCTTGACTTCCATTGTATACTATACGAACTGCTTCAAACTTCCAAAACCAAATATCCCGAGACCAATTTAGCATTCCAAAATGTAGGATTCTTTTGTTTGTAAATCTCCACCAACTCTTTGCAATCTCAATAAAAAATTATCAATAAGCTTAATTAATATGTAAATTTAATAACAAAATATCTAAATAATAATAAATTAACAAAATTAATAAGATAAATAAATTAAAAATTGAATAAATTTAAAATGTTAAAAAATTAGTATCTATTAAAATAAATATATATATTTTTAAATTAATTATAAATTTAAAATATTAAAAAATAGTATTTATTAAATGAATTTTTTTTAAGCTAATTATAAAGTTAAAACATACTGGATAATTTAAAAGATGTAATATGTTAATATTTACTTTTTACTATTTAATATTTAATATTGTAAATAATATGTATTTAGTAAAAACTAAATAATGGAAAGAAAGAAACTTTTCAATTCAATTCAATACGAGGACCAAAAAAAAATCAAATCTCCCTGACAATTACGAATGTCCTTAAACTGGTTATAATAACCGCAGATCTTTGATAAAAGTTTGATTGGGAAAATCTTGCGGTCTCAGCTTGGGAAGAAGAAGCACTTGTTTGATTATTTCTGCTATTCAATCTTTTGTGATCCAGTCAAGTGCGAATCGAGGAACAGTTTGGTGACTAATTGAAGAAGATGAGCGACGTGTTTGATGGGTACGAGCGCCATTACTGCGAGCTTTCGACTAATCTCACCAGAAAATGCAATTCGGCTTCCCTCCTCTCCCATGGAGGTAAACAAATTCACACTCTTTCGTCTCTCATCTCGAGTTAATCTTCGGTTTCTGTTTATGCCTTTAGCTACCTCGAATCTGGGAAAAACCCCATCTGATTCTCTTTGCGAATCACGACCTGTTCATCTTCAAATTTCGGATCTTTTTGAGCTTTAAACGTACATGGGAAATGGGAATGCATTCTAGGTTATCGTTTAGATTAGGATTGTTAATCTGATCAGTTCTGAAACTTGTGGAAATTTGTGTTCTGAAATCTTATCTCTCAAACAGTATTGAATTTAGAAACGAAGACGGATAAATTCAAGTTGATGATGTAGCTTGTTGGTTCTTCCTGGTGGTGAATCGTGTACGTGCTTTTGCAGATGATAAAAAAGGAAAGCTTGGTGAGATCAAATCTGGAGTAGATGAAGCGGATGTATTGGTAAACTAGCTTCCTCTTTACTATGGAGAAATCTCTCTGTTGTTTTCAATGGACAAGATACTGTGATTCATAATTAGGTTTCTGATTTTTTGAAAGATCCGAAAAATGGACCTGGAGGCGAGGAGTTTGCAGCCGAGTGCCAAGGCTGCTTGTCTTGCTAAGCTAAGAGAATACAAATCTGACCTGAACCAACTCAAGAAGGAATTCAAAAGAGTTTCTTCGCCAGATGCCAATCAATCTGCTCGTGAAGAGTTGATGGAATCTGGAATGGCGGATCTTCATTCGGTAAAAAACTATAATGCCTACTCTTCTCTCGTCAGCTTGTTACAAAGTTAACAACCATGTTTGTTACTACGTTAACATTGAATCTTTTGTTGTCTTCTCTGCGCAAAACTTAGCTTAAATCTTTGCTGCTGGCTTGTCCTTGCAGGTGTCTGCTGATCAAAGGGAGAGATTGGCAATGTCAGTGGAGAGGCTTGATCAGTCTAGCGACAGAATCAGAGAGAGTCGAAGAACCATGATTGAGACAGAAGAGCTTGGTGTCTCTATTCTTCAAGATCTGAGTCAGCAGCGGCAAACTCTCCTTCACTCTCACAGCAAGGTACAGTCCCCAAAAACATTACAGCAACCAAGCATTTTCCGTCTCTGAAGTCTGTCTGAATTAGTCAGAAATTACTCTTAATTCCAACTATGGCATCAAATTGTTAAGGTCAAGACGATTTATGACCCTCGTAACTTTTCCAAATTTGGTCGCAGCTTCATGGTGTGGATGAGGCCATTGACAAGAGCAAGAAGGTGTTGACGGCCATGTCAAGAAGAATGACAAGGAACAAATGGATCGTTACTTCAGTGATCGTTGCTCTCATTCTCGCAATCATCCTCATCATTTCATTCAAACTTTCTCACTAATATACTCAAACACTTGTGTACAAGATTATGATAATTCCCTTGTAATGGCTTGAATCTGTTTCTCTCCCCAGGTTTCACTTGTATCCCAATGACATGTTTACATATAATTATTAGAATGGTTCTTGAAGTAACAATATAATCTAAAGCAAAAACTAAAGACATCTCCAGAAAGGGCAATACTGCCACATAAATCAAACTTTCCAAGTCTCAGAGAAGATGCTTGCAGTAACCATTGATCTTAATTTACAACACCCAAAGAAGATAAAGATTGTTTGTATGGGTTGTGAAAAGAGAAGAGAGAGAGTGTGTGTGTGTGTGCGTGTGACACTGCCTAGGATCTTAGATGACCTTCTTCTTCTCGAAAAACGTCTTCAAGTGCATATACTGCATCCCTGCCACTCCTATGCAGACGAACAAAGAGAGGAAACTCAACCATGCCATTTTTGCGTTTGTGGACCGGTTCAGGTCTTGCATCTCTTCTTCCCTGAGGTGACACCAATTCAAAGTTACATAAAATAGTGAATCAACTTAGCATTACATCACCTGACAAAACGAGGATGAAGTGTACAAGACTTTTACCTTTCTCTAAGGTAAAACATCTCTTCGTGAATCGAGTTGACGGTATCAAGAAGACTCTTTACATCGAACTCCATAACCTGCCATAAGATGACCAACGCAAATCCATAAGAACGTGCATGGTTCTAAAACGAAGATCAAACACACAACCATAGAGTCTCTAGCTAAAACAATTTCGCTATTACAAGTCTCAAAACTGGGAACTTTCGTTATCTAAATTGTTCACCTTATAGAGAAAATGAGGGATTCAATCAAATAATAGAAACCTTTCATCCACACCAAAAGAGAAGAGAAGGAAACAAATTGAGCTTACTTCGACTTGGCTCTTCTTGGCAACAGTAGCCCAGCTTTTGGACTGAACACCCGTCCTCCACTCAAAATCAATGCTCAGGGTAACCTCAGGCTTATGATCGACGGCAGAGAAGCAAGCCATGTAATCCCCTGCTTCCACCGCCGAGAACGCGAATTGCCCTGAATCCACTTGATCCGCGTGATGGTATGTGTTCCCGGAATTGGAAGTTACCTTTATAAGAAAATTGCACGGATACGAAATCAGATCTCTCCCAAAAATCCAGAAGTTAAGTCAAATATCGGACGGATCGGCGTACCTTGACGGAGATCTTGTGAGATGGCGGCAAAGTCTGGCCTTCGTGGGGGTTATCGATGCTGTACTTCCCAACAGTCATGGAATTGCTCTTGATGTCTTCGGCGATACACTTTGTGCGACCTGAATGCAGATCGAAGTGCAGCGACTGTGAAACCCGCGACCAAATCCCTAGAATCAGAAGCACCGTCCATAGTTTCTGCGACCGGAGAAACATATTCGATGAATCCAGAGAAATCAGAAACTTCCTTCGTTGTCGGTTTTATTATTTTCTCCTTTTGCTTCCTCCTCGATCGGTTTGTTCGATGAGGGATGAAGACGAACGTGTTGATTCTGAAACCTTCTACGTCGTCTAGAGGTTTTATCCCCAGAATTACAACAAACCGGTTCGAAATGATTTGGTTCTTCTCAGCAGACCCGGTTTGGTATAGCGTAATGGTGTCCTTGCGTCTCAAGGTAGCGACAGCGTTCGGTTTCAGTGAGAAGCACATAAATTTCCTTTTTTCTTAGGGATCATTTTATCTTTTCTTAGGGAACATAAAAAAGGAAAATTTGGAGTGAGTTTCGAAGAAGAACATCATCTATTTATAGAGTTACTTGAGCCGTCAGTGATGATCACTGATCATTTATCTTTACTTCCCCAAAAAGAAAGAAAGAAAAAAAGCTGAGAGAATGTCGAAAAAGATTAAGGAAGCCCTTCGTTACTGTGAAGAGAACTTTGAGAAAGGAAACCTAGAGCTTGCATTACGATGCGCAGTCTCAATCTCCATGGCGAACCCAAAAGAGCCTGCACCATACGCACACGTCACAGCTTACAGCATCCTTCTCAAGGCAGCCAACAATCTAACGGTCACGGGAGAGCCGGACTGGTACGCCGTGTTGGGCATCAAACGCCGATCATCATCCTCCTCCAAGTCGATGGCGAAATCCATTGACAGGCGGTGCTTGGAGATACTCGAGCTGTTGAACGGCGAGTCTATGACCTTCAAGGCGGCTTTGGTGGTCTATGATGTGGTCAGCAAAGGCATTGACGAGTTGAAGAACGAGGATAGACGAAGAGAATATGATCAACGTTCTGGGTTTTCTCTTGTATAAACTGACTTTTACCAAATTGTTTAGGTTAATTCTAAGTGTAGTTCAGAACTGAATGTAAAACTCTCTATTCTAAGTCTTCTATTAGGTCAAAGTTGAACATTGAAGAAGAATCTTGATCAATTTGAACAATGCAAATCAATATTTATTACAAACTGGTCGCCACATGAAAGGTTCATCCACAAATCTCATTCTATCAATATACATATATCGGCTTCCTAAAAAAGACTGGCTTCTGGCCTGAAAAAGATTCAAAGCAAGCTTGATAGAATAATTTAGGTTTGCAAAATGATTGTTGGAGAAATAATCTTCTTCTGTCACTCGTCGTCGTCATAGGAGAAGGTAATCTTCTTGCCGCTTAAGGTTACCTTCGGATTCGGTTTGGTCTCCAAGACCAACCCAAGGCTTTCTCGTCGAAGGATGTTGTCTTCGTACCTGGAATATATCATAAACCCTTGTCATCTCTCCTTGTATACCAAAATGTGCTCTTGATAACAAAAGGCAAATAAGTTAAATCCCTTACCAAAGCTTCTTTACAAGGTTGTACCTGATTAACAAAAAAAACAACAGCGTTAGTCTTTCTTCTGTTATTATTACATCAAAACTATAAATAGCAATAAGTTAGAGAGAAACAAATCTCCAAATGGAAAATCAATTTACTTGAGTCGGAAAGGGTATGGAGCTATCTCAGCCACGTTAAGAATAATCTTACTATCCTTCTTCTCTTGCAGCGCCTACAGTACAAATGATTAAACTACTTGCATATTTTTCATCATAAGTATACACTATACTTTTCAAATGACTACTCTCACCTTCTTTGCTTCGTTGGCAGAAGCAAACTCAACAAAGCCACAACCCACACTCTCACCCCTGTGGTCTACAATGAGTCGAACACCAACAACTTCTCCAACACCTTTGAAGAAACCGATGCTGTAAAAATGGAGAGTAATAATATCAGTCATGAAGAACTTGCTCCAAGAACGAAAGAGGAAATTTAAAAGTGCTACTTACATATTTGCTATTCTAACGTTACCAGAGAGATTAGCAACAAAGAGCGTCTTATTTCTTGCAGCAACTTCCTGAATTGAAAAGCCAAGTGTGTTAGCACGACTCTTAAAAAGAGAAAAAAGGACTTAAAATTGCATAACAACAGAAAGTAGATTCACTAGCCATCTTTCGACTGTGTGGCAACAGCTCTGTTATTAAAAGAGTCTGACATATTTTGAAGATAATAAGAACAGAAGTACCTCAGCAAAATCGGGAGATTCCACTGCCGCATCTTCTTCTATCACAAGGCCTTCAAGTCGAAGGTAGTCTTCGAACCTGGAATATCAAAAATACCAAAAAAAACTTCATCCAAAGTGCTCTTGATTGCAAAATCAAGATGCAAATAGTTAAATCCCTTACCGAACTGTGTGATCTATGCAAGGCCGGCCCATAGGCTAAGCCATCAAAGCCAAAGATTAGGACAGCTAAATTTTAAAGGCATCATTTTAAAATATTTTCTTTATTAGGATTAGTTACTTAGAAATATTTTCTTTAAATATTTTCCTTATTTGGATTAATTCTCTATTAATGTAATAATATATAATTTAATTTATTTTATAATAGTAATGTTTATAAAGTTTTTGTTAGCAATTTTATGATCTTTTTTATTAACAAATATGCTAATTAAGTTTTGTTGTTTTTATTAACTAAATTCTGAAAATAGAGAATTGTTATACAAACACCAAGTAAAATATCAAGTATCAATATCAGAAAAAAAATTCAGAAGCCTATTGAAGTGCTTGATTTTATGAAAAAATGGAGGATTGTTATACAAACACCAAAATTGTTTGTTGTATTTTGTTGATTATTTTGGTATCAGTTACCATGACTGAAAGAAGTTTCTTTAAAAATTGGAGAATCTGATTAAAAATTATATGTGGTATACGATAATAGAAAAACGATTGAATATGTTGGCTTTGTTATTGATTGAGATAACTATGGTTGAAAAACTAGATTATGTGAGTTTAATGAATGATTTTGTAAGCAAAATACAAAGAGTAGTAATTTTAAAAAAATAATTATTTTTTACTGTTTTATTTTATTTTTTTGTAAATTATTTATGAACTGAGATCGTTTGTTTGGAATTGAATTTTTTTATAAAGTTTTAACTATAGTTTATTTTTTAGTTTTTATGATATCAAATATAATATATAAAAAGGCATATTTTAAATTCGAATAGGGCATCTAAAACTATCAGACCGGCACTGGATCTATGCAAGACCTAATTAACAAAACAATAAAAAATTATAGCACGTTAATATTCTGTAGTGGCGTCAAAACCAACTCTAGCAATAAGTTAGAAGCAGTGAGTGTTACAGAAACAAATCTCCATAACATAAATCAATTTACTTGGGTGGATGGCATGAAGCGGTCGAAACAGCACCGAGAATAATCTTACGATCGTGCAAATATTCACCGTTCTTCTTTTCCAGCGCCTACAGTATACAAGATTTAATCAGCAGCAATTGTACTTTCAAATAACAACTAATTGTATAATTCTTCATCACAAGAATTATACAACTACTTTTCAAATGACTACTAAAATACTTTACATCATATTATTACTATAAACCAAGTCTCACCTTATTTGCTTCGTTGAAAGAAGCAAACTCAACAAAGCCATAGCCCACACGCTTGCCCTTGTGGCTTACAAGAAGTCGAACATGAACAACCTCTCCAGCATCTTTGAAGAAATTGATGCTAGAAGATAAAAAATATTATTAGTCATGAAATATTTGCTCCAAAAAACGAAAGTAGAAGTTAAAGTTGATACTTACATATCTGAAATCTCAGCTTCGCTAGAGAGATGGGCAGCAAAGAGCGTCTTCTCTCTTGCGGCAACTGCCTGAATTTAACAGCCCAGTGTCAGTGTGTTAGCAAGACTCTGGAGAAAAGGACATAACAAAAAGCAAAATGTATTATTAAACGCTAAGCGTTTTTCTTCTGTACCTCAGCAAAACCGGGAGCTTTACCAAGTCCTTTCATCAACAAAATTTTATGATCGTGCAAATATTCACCATTCATTTTTTCCAGCGCCTACAGTATAACAAGATTTGATCAGCAATCGTACTAAAATAACCATTTTGATACTTTCTTCATAATCACAACAAAACTACTCACCCGCTTTGCTTCGTCAGCGGAAGCAAACTCAACAAAGCCATATCCCAAATGCTTACCCTCGCGGTTTGCAATAAGTCGAACACTAACAACTTCTGCAACATCTCCAAAGAAATCGGTGCTGTCAACAATATTGGAGGATAAAGTATATTAGTCTATGAACAAAGTTGCTCCGAGAAGGAAAGTGGAAATTTAAAGTGCTACTTACATATCTGATATTTCAGTTGTTTGGGGGGAGAGATTGGCAACAAAGAGTACTACTTCCTGAATTAGGAACAACCAAGTGTGTTAGTACGACTCTTAAGGAGAAAAGGACTTCATTGTAATAAGAACAAAAATAAGATTCATCCCTAGAACAAGTCACCGAACAAGTACCTCAGCACAATCGGATTCAGAAGGTGTCTCATCTTCTTCTTTCCGAAGCCTTTCTGGTTGAGAGTCTTCGTATCTGGAATATATCACCCAAAAGTTCACCCCAATGGGCTCTTGACAACTAACTCAAGAAGGCAAATAGTTAAATTCCTTACCAAACCGTGTGTTCTATGCAATACCTAATTAACAAAAGAAAAAACAATAATAGCGTTAATTTTCATCAAAACTCTAGCAATAAGCTACAACCAATGGTACTACAGAAACAAATCTCCATAACATAAATCAATTTACTTGGGTGGTAGGTATGGAGCTCCATTATTAGCCTTATTAGCCACATCAAGAATAATTTTACGATCGTGCAAGTATTGACCGTTCTTCGTTTCCAGTGCCTGCAGTATAAAAAGATTTTATCATACTTTCAGATAAGTATACACTACTTTTCAAATAACTACTAAAATACTTTATGATAAACTACTCTCACCTTCTTTGCTTCGTTAGCAGAAACAAACTCAACAAAGGCGTGGCCCACAGGCTTGCTCCTGCGGCTTAACATAAGTCGAACACGAACAACTTGTCCGACATCTTTGAAAAAGTCGATGCTGTAAAAATGGAGGGTAAAAAAACATCAAGTCTATGAACAACTTGCTCCGAGAACGAAAGTGGAAACTAAAGGTGCTACTTACATATCTGATACGTGTGTTTGGCGAAGAGAGAGATTGGAAACAAAGAGCGTCTTTTTTGGTTCCTGAATTTAACAGCAAAGTGTGTTACCAAGACTCGACTCGACTCTACGGAGAAAAAGACATAAATTGCATCATAAAAAAAAGATTCATCATCTTTCGTCTTTGTCACACATATTTTGAAGATGAGAAGGAAGACATATACCTCAACAAAATCGGGAGCTTCATCAAATCCTTCCACTGTCTCCTGTTACATGATAAGAACAAGATGCTTAATTGAACATAAACTTGTACATCTTACTATCAAACAAATAGGAACATTGTTGGAATCCCACATCGGAAGTTTAAAGGGACCAACACTAATATATATAAGACTTGGGTCAATCCACTCATTGCCAATTGGTTTTGAGTTGGAAGCCCATATAACTTAACATGGTATCAGAGCTTTGTTTGTTAACCCAAATAGGATGGCCCAAAAAGGGTTTATTACTGGTCCTAAAGTGGGATTCAGTTCGAGATGGGCTGATAAGAGCCATCATCTCGAGGGAGCGTGTTGGAATCCCACATCGGAAGTTTAAAGGGACCAACACTAGTATATATAAGACTTGGGTCAATCCACTCATTGCCAATTGGTTTTGAGTTGGAAACCCATATAACTTAACATGGTATCAGAGGTTTGTTAACCCAAGTAGGATGGCCCAAAAAAGGTTTATTACTGGTCCTAAAGTGGGATTCAGTTCGAGATGAGCTGATAAGAGCCATCATCTCAAGGAGGCGTGTTGGAATCCCACATCAGAAGTTTAAAGGGATCAACACTAATATATATAAGACTTAGGTCAATCCACTCATTGCCAATTGGTTTTGAGTTGGAAGCCCATATTACTTAACAAACATTTAATTTTCCATAAATTATACCTTCACTGAGATAAAGTTAGCCTGATCAGACTTTGTCTCCAACAGCTCGACACTTCCTTCGATCTGCTCTATCGTTGTCTCCTTCTCCTCGGATAGTTCTTTAAGTTTCTTCAGAATCAGAATCGGTTTGGTCTCCGAATCATCTTCCTGCTTTCGCTTACCCAATATATTAGCTTTGGCGGCCGATTCCTTGCTAGAACTGGCCATGGAGAAGATGAAATCAGCGACGGTTTGTTTACCGGGAAGAGTCGAGAGCAGCAGTAATATATAGTTAACGCTAAAGATCCACCGAGTGGTTTGGGCTGGGCTTTTATTGGTTGGGTTTATGTGCACCATGGCTTTTGCGTTAATCAACAAACCGGTCTGAAAATATTTGGTTCTTCTCAGCAGACCCGGTTTGGTATAGCATAATGATGTCCTTGCGTCTCAAGGTAGCGAGAGCGTTTTGGGTTACAATTTCCTTTTTTTTTTTTTTTTGACAACAATTTCCATTTTTTTTTAAATGAAAAAAAGGAAAATTTGGAGTGAGTTTCGAAGAAGAACATCATCTATTTATAGAGTTACTTGAGCCGTCAGTGATGATCACTGATCATTTATCTTTACTTCCCCAAAAAGAAAGAAAGAAAAAAAGCTGAGAGAATGTCGAAAAAGATTAAGGAAGCCCTTCGTTACTGTGAAGAGAACTTTGAGAAAGGAAACCTAGAGCTTGCATTACGATGCGCAGTCTCAATCTCCATGGCGAACCCAAAAGAGCCTGCACCATACGCACACGTCACAGCTTACAGCATCCTTCTCAAGGCAGCCAACAATCTAACGGTCACGGGAGAGCCGGACTGGTACGCCGTGTTGGGCATCAAACGCCGATCATCATCCTCCTCCAAGTCGATGGCGAAATCCATTGACAGGCGGTGCTTGGAGATACTCGAGCTGTTGAACGGCGAGTCTATGACCTTCAAGGCGGCTTTGGTGGTCTATGATGTGGTCAGCAAAGGCATTGACGAGTTGAAGAACGAGGATAGACGAAGAGAATATGATCAACGTTCTGGGTTTTCTCTTGTATAAACTGACTTTTACCAAATTGTTTAGGTTAATTCTAAGTGTAGTTCAGAACTAAATGTAAAACTCTCTATTAGGTCAAAGTTGAACACTGAAGAAGATTCTTTGATCAATTTAAACAATGCCATAATCTTCGTCCATATTATAAATATATTTGATTACTACGTTTTTCCTTTGATGAATACATAAATAAATATCGAATATTATTTAGCAGTGAATCAGAGAAAAATATTAGTCGTCTTTGTCATCATCGTCGTAGTAATGGAAAGGATGTGGAACTGACTTGAAAGCTCTGTATTTGCCAACATTATTCAAGTGTTCATTCTCCAACCTGAAATTGAAGTTCCACAATTACTACTAATTAATCATAACTCCATTATTAAGATTAGACTTTACAAAATACAGAAAGTGTACCTGAAGAAGCTCCACATTCCCCTACGAACAATCTCTAAACATGAGATAATAGTTGATACAGCGATCTTGTGAAGAGACTTCAAGTTGAACTCCAACACTAGCTGCATCCATGCAACCCTCAGAATCACATTCACTACCTGTCAAAAACCAAAACCAAAATCATATTCAACTTAAGAAATCTTTATCCAATACCTGATTATTGTATATTGTTACCATGGCTGCAAAATAGACGCTTTTGTGAGGGACAAGAAGTTTGTCTCTCAGGTATGGGTGTTTGGAATGCCTACGGAGGAGTCCCCAGTCTATGACAATGTCCCAGAACGTGTTCATACCCGTCGCAACACCTGAGCTTACAAGAGCCAAGATCATCCAGTTTCTTCCCTTTTTCAGTTCGAATGCTGTTCTTATGATCACCGCAATGATTGTCAGCATGTATTTCAGAGCGTTGTATCCGTGTATGGAATCTTTCTCTTCGCATAATCTGCGTATGCACTGCACAAAAGAAAACGATACATATGTGTCACAGAATCTCTGGATGTAGTAACAAATATAGAGATTGAGTTTGTGTTGTTACCTGAAGGAAGCGTAGCCAGTAAGGTATAACAGCAACAACAAAGTAGAAAGCATTGTAAACACCATGACTGTGACACTTGTTCTGTCTCTGCAAGTACTCTCCTAAGCCATAGTAGCAAATGAATAGCTCAAAACTCCTAATGGCTTGTACCTGACTGGTTAGATGATCCGCCAAGAAGAAATCTGGAAGTGTAACCTATGATGAAAGAACAAAAACATGAAGATGAGTTGGTTTTAGAAGACTGGTACATACATATGACAATTTAATATACAATCACCTCGTAAAGAGGGGCACAAATGCAGTGAAGCAGTGCTCGAATGAAGAAGAACCGACTTGAGCGGTATATGATGTTGAAAGGACAAAACAGTATGAAAAGAACAATCTGCAAACACAAAAAGTGTTGTCTTAAGTTATCAAGCCATACTTAAACAATTGCACAGAGTGTAAACACTTCAAAAAAACGTTCTTACAGTGACCAAACACAAAGGAATAACTTCAGGGAGTGTCTTGTGATCTTTTATCCTCCAGTCCATATCAAGCTGCAAATTTAGCAAGAAACATAAGAAAGCAAGCACCGCGAGACCGGTGCTTACGAGGAAAACTTCTCTGTAACCCAACTCTGTTCCTTGCTTGAAACCAAAGATGAAGGTATAGTTGACTCTATAACGCCTCCAGAAGTATATATTCGCTGAGTACATGAGCATATGAAGAATGATGTATCCAAATAAGCTGCAGAACAAGCAAATATATATACTTGTAAGTGTGACAGACAAGAACGATCTGTTTTGTAAACTTTCTGAGCTAATGAGTCACTGAATAGAATTAGATAATTGCCTGTAGAGCGGGATAATATTCGCCATGTATTCAGTACCGTAGTCCTTCTCCATGATCTTTCTATTTTCTATCTTCGAAACCACAGCAATAACTAGTGCAATGGAGCAGCCAGAGAAGAAACCTGTGAGAAGTTGAAGAACAGTTATCAGTGAACGAATGTAACATCTTCAAAGTCTGTTGCTTCTTTTTCTTGCAGATTTACTTACCAGAGAAGAATGTATCTCTGTGCCTTTCTCTTTTAACCTTTGGTCTTAGACACTTCATGCCTTCTCTTCGATTTCCGCTTGAAAAATGCTTAACGAAAGTTACCTCTACTCTCTCCAGGAGTCTGTTAACCTAAATCAGGATACAGTGAACAAAAAGTTTGATATAAATGAAAACTGATTTTAAGTCCCAACTACTCCACAAACCTCATCAGAACTCCCAATCAATGAATTATCCACAATTTTCATGTAGTTCCTTGACGCATTCCTTGAAGCAATCTTCTCATACTTCTTCATGATCTTTGAGAATGCCAGAAGATTCATGAAACTGATTGATATTACACAAACATAGACAAATCAGTAGCACGACAATATAAAGAGAACACTGAGCATTATCTGTTCCTTCTCCTCACCTGTATTCCTTCAGACGGCGAAGTTTCTGATAGAACTCACTAAAAACAAGCCTCAGCTGTTCCTCTGCTCTTTTCAACCCTTTCTTGGAGATTGGTTCATCGCTTCTAGAATCTCCAAAAACCCCTTTCAATGTAGAGATAGGAGATTCAAGCGCATCATTCATCTTCACACGCTCTAGTATCTCACGGAGATCCTGCTTATCACCAGTACCAGCTTCCTCTTCGTTCCCATCAGTATGAGAAACCGGAACAATGTCAGCCACAATATGTGATGCCTCTTCTTCCGGAATGCTAGTTCTGTCAATACCATGCACCATATCTGTGTTCGCACTACCTGAAAAAATACATCAAGAAGTCAGTAAAACTGAAGAATATTAGATGCTTCTTCTGATAAAACATGCTTACCAGGTACCCTCATTGAGCTATCAGATGTATCCACAACGACCTTATCAGAAGGATGCTTCTCCAGATTCATGTTCTTTGCATTAGGTTTCTGCACTTTGACCCTCAAAGCAATCAGTGCATCCATTTGCTTATCTAGCAAAGCAGCTTCCTCAAGCACTTCATCAACTTTGTCCCTGTAAAACCTGTTGGCTTTGTTTAGATTCTCATCGAGCTTTCTAAAGAACGTCTCTTCGAACTCCCCTCCTTCTTCAGCGTTCTTCAGAAACTTCGTCTTGTACAGCGTACGAGAATCATCGTCGTCTTGATGAACCGTGTCAACTTTTATGACCTGGTCCTCAATGTCTCCTTCGTGTTCACTGTTCCTAGGATGGAACGAGAGTCCACTAAACGAACGGTGCAACGCTTCTGCTGCTTGCTGCGATGCTTTAGAGGCTGCTCTGTTCATCTTACTGTGTTTGTAGCTACGAATCTCTTTTAAAACCCTCTTCATGCCATTGTAGTCCATATAAGCTTCAACCCACTCGGGCACCATTTGCTTCTTGAATATTTTCCCGAACTTCATCTTTTTTCTGCAAGCTCAATTCAAACCCAATTCAAATGCTATCATAAAGGGTTTAAGGATCAAATCACACACATGCAGCCAGAAATTAAGCAAAATCCACCCTAATTTAGATATATAAACATAATTTGGACATGCGATTAACGAAATGCTAGTGATAGAATCGCTCAATGGAGAAACATGGGCAACATAACGCATAAGAGATCAACAAATCTGTAAAATATATGGTACTAGAGAAGCAGAAACACAGGTTTGTTTATCCATAAGGAAGAAACAAATTAGGATAAGATTCGAAATCGTTTTGTAGCTGTGTACATTCATGGAGATTGGTCACGGGGAGCAACGAAACTCCCGTGAGTAGATAGATACCTTGTGGAAGAAGAAATGTAGAGACCGCTTAGCTTTAATTAGGAGCTTCTCTGCAAATTTTTTGACTTACGCCATTAACGAAGTATAAATAAAGAAGATGAAGGGGGAGAGACGTCGGTACTTGAAACGCCTCTCACTTTAATATTTTGCCGACTGACACTAGTAGTAAAGGTATATTGGTTACTACGGCAAGCAATCGTCTGTGGCTGAGATCATGCTTTAAGAAATTCATCTTTCTTCCACAGCCGTTGGATTGTTATGTGTGTAGTTGTTTGTTGATCTGTTGCGGCCGAAACCGATGGAAGGAAGCAAATCATAGATACTGCTTTGACCCATTCATTGGCCCACCAGAGCATGACACGTGTTGCTTCGTTAGCTCCACTGTGGCACTAAAACCGCATAATTTGGCAGTATATAGACATTTCGGGTTTTAACCAATCAAAACCGGGCATCTCATTTTTCTTGTGTATAGAGTTGTTAGTATTTCACAATCGCGTTTAATTTGCTAACTTCTTATTAAAATTGGTCGACGAAAAAGACATTTCGAGTCACTAATCCAGAAAATTGTAGCTGTAATATGAATCGAATGTTCAAAGTAATCCAAATGATTAGAAACTAAGTCTACATCATATGATTTTTTTTTTCAGTTGTTAGAATTTCTTCGCTCACCGCTGCAACAATAACTCTCCCACAAGTCCTGGAAACACAACAGTGTATGTACATTCTTTAGAGAAGAGACGAGTCTTGGGACACGACTTCAAGAATCGGCCTAGTTTCGCCTCCAGAGGCTTCCAAGGCTTCAACAGCTTCCATACTATAAGAGCGGCAGCTAAAATAGAAGACAGCACTCATCATCGTATCGATAAGCACCACAAACGAATACATCACCACAAGAAGTGGACCTTCCCATATCCTCGAAGAGCCATCTCCGTAGCTCAAGATCTTCACTCTGTGCTCAAACAATCCTTCCACAAACGTCAATCCTATCGTTGACCCTAAGAATATCAACAGACCAACCTGAGTCTGCCCTTTGATCAGATCATTTGCTCTCACCAACGCACTTGGTCCCGAGACGTCTTCAAGAATCGAGATCAAGATCGTCGTGTTGCAGATTATTATGACGTTTGCGAACACTACCGAGAACACCAAACCAACTAAGATGGCTCCATATGCGTTGAAATCAGGAGAGAAATCCAAGAACGAAGAATGAGCTACAAACGGAGACGAGGAAGACGCAGAAGGAAGTGAGGCAAACAACAATCACAAGGCAAATCCACAAGTAAGTGAAGACGAGACGTTTCCACAGTCTCTGCATTATCACCAGGAACTTGCTTATCACAACGTTTCTCCTCGAGTAGGTGCAGTCCACAGAGTAAACAACGGCTGCTCTTGATAAAAGCGAGAGTGTGATGAACAGAGGGAAACACGTGGCAGAGGAAACAGCTGTTTCGGAGAATTTCTGACACGAGTTCCTCACGAAAGGCAACAAAGGGAGACCACTCGATTTCGCGGCTAAGAGAAGCCTCACCGTCAGTGAATGAACCACCGATTGATCAACCAAGAGGTTCGGTAATAGAATCGCGGAAACAGGACAGATCAAAAGAGCTGCGATCAACACGAAAGCGCCTAGATTATACCGGAGAATCCGAACGGTTTCCCTCAAAATCTCAAGCGCGTTCATCGAGTGGAACTGATGATCAGGGGATGATGATGATGATTCCATCTCGAATTTCTGGAAATTGGATTCCTGATCCGTTCCAGAAACTCCCGCATCCATGATTTATACGGAAGATGGATTCGTTCAGCTACACAGGAGATGCATATCATAAACTCGGATTCTCTGCAAGGAATAAAATCAATGCAAAGTGAAGATTTTGTTGTCGTTATTATAGCTACAACCCAAATTATGGCATTGATTACCTTCGTAATCATAAACAGAACGAAAACGCCGCGTTTCAAGCATGAAATCCTCACGAAAAGAATGAGAATTTGGGATCTCCTAAACAGAATTCACGCATAAGGAGCTTGGAAAAATTGATGGCAACAGATCGTCTGCGGCGGAGATCATGCTCGAGAACTTGTCCTTTCTTTCCACAGCCGTTGGATTCGTCTATGGCTGCCACGTGACATCCGTTACATGGAATGCGTGTTGATCCGTTGCGGCCGAAGCCGATGAAACCATTAGTTATCCAACAAGATCATGACACGTGCTGCTTCGTAATCTCCAGTGTGGTGCCATCTCATATTTCTTGTGTATTTGCAAACTGTAAATCACAACATCCATCACAACTGCATTTAAATTGCAAACCTTTTTTAAAAAATGATCGAAGATGTTCTACATTTGAGTGTTTTCACTCTCTTGTAGCTGTTGATTATAACCCTTAAGTACGTGAACTTTATATTATCGACTCAGCAAGAGAAAATTCAAAATATATGCCAAAACAGAGCAAACGAAGTCTACATCACATAACCTTTTTTAAGTCATCCACTAAGAACATCACATGATCTTTGGATCCAAATATCATGTAGCAAGTCCTGATCAGTTCTAATTTCTTTACTCATCAAGAATTGTCCGCTCACCGCTGCAGCAGTAGAAATGCGGCAGCTTTACTCGCCCACAACTCCTGGAAAACACACAACATTGTATGCACATAAGCTGGTCGTACCAAGAAGCTGATATAACAATTTGTTTCAACAAGCATATTCTCTCAGGCTCCTTTTCATGTTTTCAGTGAGAGTTACATTTCTTGCAAACATGCGATGGTAGAAAGTAATAAAACATTGAATTGGAAATCATACAAGTTCGTTCTTCAGCATCATCAGTTTGTTCTGAAGATTGAAATCCTTCTTTGAGTTAACATAAGACTTAACCAACGAATAGATTAACAACAATCAGAACATAAGGAGACACTGCAGAAAATGATGTCATCATCACCTGCAACGGATGATAACGGGAGTAGGTTTAAGTGCTTTTGGTCCATTTCTTATTCCTCTCTTGTGTTTAGAAACCTGAATGATTCAAGAAGGCATAGAAATGATCAGTTCTTTTCCTACTGGTTTTTAATGAAATCAATGATTTTGAGACTAAATGAATCAAATCAGTCAACAATTTAACAGATCCCAAGGACGATTAGTGATATGGCCAGAAAAAAAAAAAAAAAAAAAAAAAACAGCACAAAGAAATAACATTTATGAGATATGGCCCTTGCTTCTTGTCTACTGAAGTTAAAATTTGGCGATTTTGATCCCAATATCGAATCTTTATCAGAAAATGTAATGAAAGAAACAAGGCATCCAAAAGTAAACCTCCCTAAAACCCCAAAGGGAAAAAATTCCACCAAGAGAGCTAATCCTAAATATTCCTTCTTCTTTTTTTTGATCAACAATCCTAAAAATTCTCAAATTATATTCGCTACCTTCTTCTTGGGCACAGCCATTAGCTCCATCGATCCGACGGAAGAGAAACTCGGGAAACCGAATCTGAAGCGTCGGCGAAGCGGTAAGGCGATCGATGGCGCCGTCCAAGGGAGGGGAAATCGCGGGAACGTGACTGAAGCTTCGGGATTCTAACATGCGCAGGGATTCAACCGCTGCGCGTTTTAGCGTCGTCAGTCTCAATGCCATTGATGGTGGCGAGATACAAAGGATGATACTTGCACACTTTACAACTTACAAAGTCTGAGAGCAGAGGAACACGTTGTCATTTTAACGTCGCATCTACATTCATAATTCATAACCAATTATGACCGGCCGGCCAGACTGATTCAACAACGAACCGGTCACTTATCCGGTCCAAGTTTATCTACACTCATTTGTAAGGCATTTCGAAAATGTGGACATTCTTTTAGGGTATTTCTCTACTCAAACATTGATCCTATGGATAGACATAAGTGAAAGTAAACAATTTTGAATTAGTTTGGTTAGGCGGGTTAATTTATTTACAAACCTAGTTTTATATAATTCTTCTCCATTAGAAGGTTTTCAAACTTTGACAAAAAAAAAAATTACAAACTAACTCATGTAATTAAATGCTTTAATCTATATAAACAATCAAATCATATCCATTATCCTGGTTTCACACTAAAAAACAGAATTAGTTTTGTGATTGGTGGCATATTGTTGTGATGGTGGTAAAAAGTCCTTATATGAAATCAATGAGTCACATAATAATGATTTTTTCTAGTTTTATTCTGAACCATCTTACTTAGCTTATTTTAAAATCGATAGCATACTTAAGTTGAACCATCCTACTTAGACCAACCCCAATGCACACACTAGCAGATCTAAAAAAGTGTTTTAAAAAATAAAAATGAATAAAAAAATAAAACGGGTGTCTTAATATTAAGATCGAGATCCAAAATTAAATCTTTTGTTTGATTTAAAAACAGTGACGTGTTCTCTTATCATTGGTTGGCTAAAACAAAACAATAAAATAAAAAATAAAAAAATTCTCAAATCATTTTTCCGTCTTTCTCTTTGTCTTCGTCTCTCTTCGTCTTTCCTCTTCCTCTTCCTCTTTGCATGCGATCGAATCAGCGCCTAAAAATATTGAAGAATGAAAAGGATACACAGATTAAACAATTGAACTAATTCTCTCCTCAATTACTCGAGTCCGGGCAAATTCGGGCAAGTAATCAAGTGATTCTTTTCATTTGTCTGCATTTGAAATTGATGATCTTTGGATTTGGTAAATCAAAATCTGCGATTAATTAGTATTTTTAAACGCATCAATGAGTCTGTGTTTCACTCATGGATTTGGATTTCTTTCTGAGGTGGAGCATGTGGTGAGAGAAGAGAAGACAGTGGCTGCTTATGTTTCCGTCGATATCAGACAAATCTCGGTACTCCATCGCTTCCGGAATTTTCCAGATCAGTACCGGAGTTTCTACGTTTCAGCGGCTCGTCAACACACTCGATACTCCCAAGGACACGTCGGAGCTCCGGGAGAAGCTGTAAGTTGAAGAAATCGAAATTCTTAATGTCGTTTTTAAGTTTCGATTCTAATTGATTTGTGGGATTCGATTTATTTCGGATTGAAATTGTTTAATTGGCGTAGGCACAAGACACGATTGCATATTGGTGTGAATGATCATCAAAGTGGTGTGAATGTTAGTAAAGTGAAACCTTTCTTCTTGATTGGTGTTTTTTTATGTGAATCTTCTTAATATTGTGTTGTGATGATGACGATGATAATGATGATAGTTCTTGGTTGGTTCATGTTTGTGTAGCCAAGTAAGAAGATTGCAGATGCTAAGCTTGCAAAGGACTTTCAAGCTGTGTTGAAAGAGTTTCAGAAAGCTCAACAAACAGCTGCTGAAAGAGAAACAGCTTATACTCCTTTCGTGCCTCCACCCACCACTCCTTCTAGGTAACGATTGTTCTCATGGTTTCATTTTACATTCAGCTCAGTTCTGAATCAAGAATGGGAATTTCATGTGTGGTAGTCTAAAAGCAAAAGCATTACTTTTTGATCTTATAGAACAACATTCGAAGAACAAGCAGAGAAGGTTTGGTATTGATCGTTTTAATGTTTTAAGAGCTACATTCAATTCTTTGAGGTTGACGTTTCAATTTCTTTAACACCATTTTAGATAAAGTTGTCTGATTTTGATTTCTACCAGATCTGCCTATTCGTTCGTGCTCATCAGCTTCTATCTCTGATCATTAATTTTTCTTTTACCACTTTTCTCAGCTCTTTATTTGTTGGAAATAATTGAATTTTGTATTGCTATCTCTTCCCTGCAACGACTTTCATTTTTCTTTTGCTAGATGCTTTCTCTTGTCTTGTGGATCTTCATCATTTTTCTCTTCTCTGTCTTCAAGATCTCTCTGTTTTTATTCACTTTATTTGATTGCTATTTTTTCTGGGTTACAACATTACTTTTTAATCCATATTCTTTGATAAATGCTACTTTATCTTTTATATCACTGAACCGATTACTTTCGATAATGGATTATGCTACTCAACTTGCTGTGTAGACGTGAAATTCACAAGACTTAGCTTTGTTTATTTGCTTGTGGAATTCACAAACTTTAGCTTTTTCTTCTTGCAGGTTTCTAAATTTACCAACTTACTCAGTTTAGACGGCATCTTGCTCTCTTGAGAATGAGAAAGACTCCTGAAAAATGGATCAAGATTTTGCTTCTCGGGAAGAAGTCGCCAAAGTCGAATTCAGAAAACGGAAGCGAGAAGCTGGTAAGCATATGGGATTTCTATATAACTACTAATTTGAAAATGTTTCTAGAAGAAACTAAAACTACTAATTTCTATATTTCTATGTATTTTATTTTGAAAATGTTTTATGTTGTAAAAGTTGTTAACATAAGTTTTAATTTAAGTTTATTAATTTCTTTTTTTTTAAGACATCTATCAAAGTATCTCTATTGTATAATTAAAAACAACCAAATTTTACAAAGTATCTTAAATATCTAAATATTATAAATTAGTCATTAAGACTCTTCTCAATAATGTTACTATTGGGGTTGCTCTTACCTTCTTAACATTAAAGAGTTCCTCCTTTTCCTATCACGTGAAGGATTTTTTTCTTTTCACCTTTCACAACAAAATTCATTATTTTAGTTCACGCATATAGAAAAATAATTTAGTAAAGCATGGCATGGAGCTAGAGATTATGATGACGACTTGATTAACCAGCGTCACTCATTTATATAATTTGGCTCCTTTTATTAAAATTTGAGCTTTACTTTGCGTCATCTCACCTCTATACCCCTGCTAATCTTTTCAATCCTATCTTTTTGTCCCATACCCTATATAGTAATAACTAATATAAGTAAATGGTTTGGTTATAACTATATAATTCACGTGCCATTTGGAGTATTATATAGGTCCACTTGTCAAAAATGAGTTTTGTGATTGGTTAAAATAGCCTTCTAGATTTTCAATTTACAAAATAATTTCTTACAATTTTTCAATTTAGTTCAAATATTGACTTAAACATCGAATAATTACATTCTATGTTTTTTTATGGTTCAGAGACTGAATTGGGCCTTATATTTGGAAATAAATGCTTACATTGTTTATAGTTTACAAGTTAAAACCAACAAATCAATCAAGATTTATACGAAGCTAATCATTATTCATAATACTAAACCAAACCTCAACCGATAAAAAAAAAAAATCTGATCTTGATAATTTTCATGACATTGGCTTTTTCCCCTCTTTCCCACTTTAGGCCGGTACGTTCCTTCGCATCTTTTAATGTAATAATCATACAAAACATTTTCATGAAACGTGTGTCCCCAATCTGAACTCAGCTTGTGGAGTTCTTGACAAATGTAGTAAACAAAGATTTAATTATCCAATTAGCGAGTGGTAATGACACTATTAGATAAGAGCAGGCGTAATTAGTGACATCTAATTATTGTTTAGTCATAAATCCGCCGTGGCGCGTGGGTGTATGCCCGCCACAATCCTTATCCTCCCTAATGACTTTCTACGTGAAAACGACACGTCATCAAGAGCCCCAAAAAAATGGACCCCGAAGCCATATGGGTATGCCACGTTTCTTTTCCAAAATGATGACAAAGAATGGTCTTCACATTTCTTCTGTGCTTTGTTTTTGTTTTTGTTGTTGTTGTAAACTTGTAATACAAGTTCTTTAGAACTTCTTCTTTTGGATTCCTTTATTAGTTTTTTTCCTGTAAAACAAGTTTTATTTATACTGTAACTAATAAGATAACGAAATAAGTACGATTAGATAAGAAAGTAGTTTCCAAATAGTGGATATATTTACGATGTTCATTTTTTCCAGTATATAAAACATCAATTTAATTATATAATAGCAGGGAGTTTAATAAGTTGAATTATCCGGAATCTAAATAATTTATAAGAAATGAAAGTCAAAAGTTAAATTAAATATCTATATATATGCAATATAAAGGCATATGATCCCCATAAAATTAGGTGTTTTTTTTTTGTCATGTAATGAAAGACTATATAGTGCAGATAATAATGTTGTGTTATATGACTTTTGATAGTTGAGCTTAGTTATGGATAGGGTTGACAAAGAAATGAGGAAAGCAAATAAAGAAAATGAAGAACGAATATTTAGGGAAATAGGACAAAAGAATATACTTGTGATTGAAATGGAGATTCACCTAAATAACTAAATTACTTAAGCCATGCAATGCAACAAAACAAATCAGTGGTCAAGCACACTCAATTATATGCCCTCTCTTCTTTTCTATGAAGAAGACCCTTTAGAATCTCCACAATTAAAAAGCTAATTTCTACAGTAGTCAAATAATAATTCTAAATCATTTGCCCTGCATTACATTATATGATTAAGATTTCTAAATAATTGAATACAGACACAAACCTGCTATATATATACATATATCCGTGATTTTTTTCAGTTGATTGAGCCAAATTCATACATTTGAAGCAAATATCTATTCTCAAAAAATACTTTCCTTTTAATATCACGTGCTTATCATGAAAAAACATTATCTAACTCGAATTCCTTTTGTAAGCTTTATTAACCGTGACTGCTCTCGATGACTATTAACCAAATTTATAATAATCCCCATATTATATGGAAGAAAAACAATACGTCACTAGAGATAATGGATAGGACATTCGAAGGACGAAGTTAATTATTATATAAATCGCAATGTACCAACCAATAAGAAAGAAGTGACGCACACTAAATGACAAGAATGCTCAAGAATATAAACCCTCACCTTCTCGGCTTTCTAAAATTTCATAAATCTTTAGAATATCAAACACCAAGCCAAGAAAACAAAAAACAGTTTCTATTCCATTAGATTCTTCTAATTTCTCTTAACCATGGAAATAAATTCCAATTCTACTCTCCCTCCAGGATTCAGATTTCACCCTACCGACGAAGAACTCATCGTTTACTATCTCCGAAACCAGACCATGTCCAAGCCATGCCCTGTCTCCATCATACCAGAAGTCGACATCTACAAATTCGACCCCTGGCAATTACCCGGTTCGATCCGGTTATTTCTCAATTACAGATGTGTTAATATTTCGGGCTATTTCGTTGATGTTAACTCTCGTTGCTTTTTGCGTTGTGTATCTGAACAGAGAAAACAGAGTTTGGGGAAAATGAGTGGTATTTCTTCAGCCCGAGAGACCGGAAGTATCCAAACGGAGTCAGGCCAAACCGGGCTGCTGTTTCCGGTTATTGGAAAGCGACCGGTACAGACAAAGCCATTCACAGTGGTTCGAGTAACGTGGGTGTGAAGAAAGCTCTCGTCTTCTACAAAGGTCGACCTCCCAAGGGAATCAAAACTGACTGGATCATGCACGAGTATCGTCTCCTTGATTCACGCAAAGCATCGACAAAACGTAACGGTTCGATGAGGGTGAGCAGAGGAAACAAGATCATAACTAGATCATGTTCTGTTTTATAATTTGTTTTTGTTGAAAATGTTCTTTTTTTGAATAATTTTTTGCAGTTAGATGAATGGGTACTCTGTAGGATATACAAGAAGAGAGGAGCAGGGAGGGTTCTGGATGAGAAAGAGGGTTTCGTGGACGAACCACATATCGAGGAGACATTAGCAGTTGTAACGAACGAAACAGAAAGAAGAAACGAGGAAGAGATAATGATGATGACGTCGACGAAACTCCCGAGAACGTGTTCACTTGCTCATTTGTTGGAAATGGATTACATGGGACCCATCTCTCACATTTTAACACCATTCGATCTTCATCATCCTAATCCGGACAACATGAACGAGTCTGGTTGGTTCGGAGATCTACAGATTAACCAAGACGACGTCTTAAACCATCATCGTCAAGCTATGTTTCAGTTTTAGTGATTGGTAAGAAAAATATGAAAACCAAGAAAAAAAAGCTGCTTGGAAAGTTACTGTAGTGCATATTTTTCGTTAGTTTGGGTATAGGAAAATTGTAAAATGTTACCTTAAGACCCATAAGGGATTTTATATTTTCTCCCATACGAATGTGAAACGAAAAAACATGTTTAATTAATATTAAACTGCTTCAGCATGTTGGACGGAGTCTTGGAGTTTATTTACATTATACTAACTAATAAACAAAAGACTTATGTAAATATTATATACGATGTTTTTAATAGAAATTAGAAAAATATTAAAAGAGAGATTGAGATTACGTAAACTTGGAATGACTAAGTCGATGGCGTGTGGAGGAACCTACGCCAGATGCAATGCATTTGTGGTACTTAGCGTTGTCTTTTTCGTAAGATAACGAATGTTACTTGTCATCATCGTACTTTAAACTTCAATTTGATTCGGTCTGCGCAGACTCAAACATTAATGGAAAGAAAGGAACGTATCCTAAATATTTAAATAACGTGGGTCCTTTTTGCCGATTTCAATTTTGACCGGTTTTGGTGTACCAAAATACGGTTTACAAAAACCAAAAGGACCAAGACTATAGTATTCAGAAAGAACACACTAAAGAAGTGAATGAACCATTATGCAATTAAAAAAGATTGTTAGATAAGTAGTAGATTGCTCACACGCTTTAGCTGATCTTAAAAACAAATCATATAGAGATATAAAAACTCCAATGAATCTTTTAGTCATTACTTTTCAGATTCAAAGAAGCAATTAAAAAAAAAAAAATGTCTATGTGGATTGTTCTAGCTTGCATGGTGACATCATGGATCTTCTTGCACCGATGGGGACAGAGGAAACAGAGAGGTCCAAAGACTTGGCCTTTGGTCGGAGCAGCGATCGAACAGCTAACCAATTTTGACCGGATGCATGATTGGCTCGTTGAGTATCTCTACGACTCAAGAACCGTAGTTGTCCCAATGCCATTCACCACTTATACATACATAGCAGATCCCATCAATGTAGAACACGTCCTCAAAACCAATTTCTCAAATTACCCAAAGGTGAAAACAAAACAAACTCTTTATATCAATGTAGACTATGTAGTATACACATATAACATATGTTTTTTTGTGTATATAATAAGGGAGAGACATACCATTCATATATGCAAGTTCTTTTGGGAGATGGGATTTTCAATTCAGATGGTGAGCTCTGGAGGAAACAGAGGAAAACCGCAAGTTTCGAATTTGCTTCCAAGAACCTCAGAGACTTCAGTACTGTAGTGTTTAAAGAGTATAGCCTCAAGCTCTTCACCATCCTTTGTCAAGCTTCTTTCAAAGATCAACAAGTAGATATGCAGGTAAACAAAATCCATCAATCCATCAATCAATCATCTATGAACATGTCGTTACTTTCTCTTTGCTTATTTCCGTTTCTTGATAATTTTTTAAGGAACTGTTGATGAGAATGACTCTAGACTCTATATGTAAAGTTGGATTTGGTGTGGAGATAGGGACATTGGCTCCAGATTTACCAGAGAACCGCTTTGCTAAGGCTTTTGATACTGCGAATATCATCGTTACACTTCGTTTCATAGATCCTCTTTGGAAGTTGAAGAAGTTCCTTAACGTAGGCTCTGAGGCATTACTTGGCAAGAGCATAAAAGTCGTTGATGATTTCACTTATTCAGTCATAAGAAGAAGGAAAGCAGAGATATTAGAGACACAGAAATCTCCTGCCAGTAACAATAAGGTAACACAAAATTGTTAGAACTCAACATATGCACTTGTTGTCACATAAGTAACATTTGTCTTAAAAAATCTACTAGATGAAGCATGATATACTCTCGAGGTTCATTGAGATCAGCGACGACCCTGAAAGCAAAGCGACTGAGAAAAGCCTTAGAGACATCGTCCTCAACTTTGTAATCGCTGGAAGAGACACAACAGCGACAACTCTAACTTGGGCTATATACATGATAATGATGAATGAACATGTCGCCGAGAAGCTTTGCTCAGAGCTACAAGAACTCGAAAGAGACAAAGCAGAAGAGACTAACACACCTTTGCGTCATTACGATACAGAGGATTTCAAGTCCTTCAACGAGAGAGTTACACAGTTCGCAGATATGTTGACTTACGATTCATTAGGGAAACTACACTACTTACACGCCGTGGTAACAGAAACACTTCGTCTCTACCCTGCAGTTCCACAGGTATGTATCAAAATTTGTGACTTTCAACAACAAAGGAAACTTAAAAAAACATTTTGGATCATATTGTAGGATCCAAAAGGAGTCTTAGAAGATGATATATTACCTAATGGAACAAAGGTAAAAGCAGGAGGGATGGTTACATATGTTCCTTACTCAATGGGTCGTATGGAATACAACTGGGGATCAGATGCGGCGTCGTTTAAACCCGAGAGATGGCTTAAAGATGGTATCTTTCAGAACGCATCACCATTCAAGTTCACAGCTTTTCAGGTATATAATCAAACACATTCAAGATTTTTGATGGATCATCAGATGATTTCAACAAGAAAATGTGAGTTTTGTGTGAATAATGCAGGCTGGTCCTAGGATATGTTTGGGAAAAGATTCAGCTTATCTACAGATGAAGATGGCGATGGCGATTCTTTGCAGATTCTATAAGTTCCATTTGGTGCCAAATCATCCTGTCAAGTATCGGATGATGACGATTCTATCTATGGCTCATGGTTTGAAAGTTACTGTAACCAGACGTTCATAGAACAAAACAAAAGATAGAACAATAATGGGGAAAAGTTGTAATGCCAGTGTGAAATGATCCAAGAAGATGAATATAAATTATTTATAACTATTTTGTTCTCAAACCATGAATAAGATCAAACACCACTTCAGAGGAAAAACATTTGACCTTTTTTAGTAACGTAAATTTCAATCAAAATTTAAGAAAAATTTCACCTTTCAACTTCACAAATCACAATCAGTAAATAAATGGAGACGAAAGCTACATTTCTAATGTGATTAAAGACTACAGTAGAACTTCTATAAATTAATATTCGATAAATTAATAATTACTATAAATTAATAATTTTTACAGGTCTCAAGTCAGGTCAAGGTAAAAATTAGCAAATTTCAATAAAATAATAAGATAATAATTTTTTTGAAACTCCTATGTAAAAATATAGTCTCAATAATTAGAAAAATTAATAATTATATATTTAAAAATATATGAATAATATAATATAATAAAATATTATTATTGTTTCAAATTTATAAAAATTGTTTGACTTATTTTTTAAATTCGCTTATATGATATTTTCTGAATAAATTTTACATTATTGAAAATATCTTTTTGTTTTTTGATAAATATTTTGAATTTGAACTGAAATATCTCTCTATAAATTAATAAATTATTAATTTATTGATTAATTAATAACTCTATAAATTAATAAATTTTTGAAGTTCTAACATTATTAATTTATAGAGGTTTTACTAAAGAATTTTGGAATATTCGGCCCATTAAGGCCCAAAGGAAATCTTGATATTGGAATATTCGGCCAATTAAGGCCCAAATAGAATCTTGATATATTGGAATATTCGACCCATTAAGGCCCAAAATCTCCCCCTTTGTGAAAGGAGAGAGAGGAGAATATTTTGCTGCGTTAAGTTGAGGCATTCGTCATCGTCATTGTGGAACGTGGAGCTCAAACACTAAACCAGATCGGATCTGACCCGGTTCTCGTCGGAATCTCCAGACGGTAACCGGCGTTCCTCACCCGCTTGCTCTTCAGGTAAAATAATTCCACTTAATTTCTCTTTCCGATTGATTTTTTAGCTTCTTGTTGATTTTTTCCTGTTTGATCATGTGTCGAGTATGCTTTAACGATTGTTAAATGGAGATTTCTAATGTGATTTAGAGTTAGGTATAGATCTAGATAAGATCCATCACTGTAGAAGAACAATATGATCTTATTGTAGTTAAGATAGAACTTGAAAAATTACATTTTTCTGAAATTCAGTCATGGAAGACGTTAAGGGAAAAGAGCTTATTGATGATGCTCCTGCTGAACAAATCGATACCAAGAAGGTTTCAGATGAGATGGAGAATCATAAACAGCCATCACCTGAGTGTGAGGTAATAAAGTTTGAATCTTTCTCTCTAAATTCAAAAACTTTTTGGCAGAGTCTGTTTAGTTTTTTGTTAACTCGAATCTTTCATTATTGGTATTACTATAGGAAAATGCGATCAAGAAAAAGTATGGAGGATTGTTGCCAAAGAAGATTCCTTTGATATCCAAGGTTAGCTTAGTTTCACCATTGATGCATTAAAAACCATATTTTTGAAATCCGTTAGAGGAAAGCTAATTTGAGATGTGTTCATGTTTCATTCAAGGACCATGAACGTGCGTTTTTCGACTCAGCTGATTGGGCTTTAGGCAAGGTGGTTCTTGCATACACAACCTTGAATCTTCTGTTTTACTTTCTGCCACAGTCTCTTTCTATGCTTATTGACTTGAGTTTTTGCCATTTTAATCAGCAAAAGGGACAAAAGCCAAAAGGGCCTTTAGAAGCACTCCGCCCAAAACTGCAGGTAAAATGAAAGAAAAAGCTCTCTTTTTTTCCTTGTTTCTCCACTTGTTTGTCTCTTTTGAGTTTTGACATTTAATATCCTCTGTTCACACAACAGCCAACACCGCACCAGCAACCAAGAGCAAGACGAATGGCTTTAGCTTCAGGTGATAACACTGAAGGTGGTGACTTGATGAATCCACAATTCTTGTTTTCTTGATTTCCATTGACTTATCATCACTCTCAATTCATCAATTTGTGAAATCAGACGCTGAGACAGACAACAACGACTCTCTGGATGACCAAGCATGTGCATCAGCTTCCGTTGACGATGGAAGCAGCATTGGTGAGGCGAAAGACAGCAACAAATCGTGAACAACATATGTAGTTTGACAACTCTTGAGGAGCAAAACAAACAAATATCACAAGTCAGTTTTACAGAAGAAGAATAAGCGACCAGGTTTTGCTTTGCAACGGTTGTAATATGGGGAGTCTCTTTACATTATCCATACTTTGGGACAGCAAATCTGTATCATCATCACATTACGAACCTAGTGGTTTGGAACGTCCATTGGACGATATTTGCAAATGGTTTGCTTGCCCTTCTTAATCAATGTTCTAATGCTCTGATACTATGGAAAGCTCTGTAGATCCCACATAGAATAGGAGAAGAGATGGAAGTATGTATCTAGTACATCCTTATCTCAATATTATTCATAAGGATCTTGCATGTGCAGAAGTTTATCACATCTGGAAAATTGAGTCTAACTGAAAATGAATTTCACCGCATATACAAATCAAATACAACAATAACACATGGCTTAACACATCAGTTTTAGTTTTTTAAAGTTATCAAAACACAAAAACTATCAAAACTTCACACATAAGCAAAATTAACTAATCAATCAAAATATTTTAAATAATTCATGTCATCAACTAATTTGTTATATAATGGGTTTTAATGGGAAATTTTTTTTAGCTCTTTTTATCTTTTGTAAAACCCATTAGAAAGCCCAACTAATGAGAGATCCTCCACTTTATTTTCCTTACACGTTGCCTCCAATATTTCCGGCACAAGTCGGAGCTTCGATCGAACAATGACCTCACTTATTGGGGACTCGATTATCCTCCTTTGATTGCTTAACAGAGTTACAATTGTATTTAAGCTTGGGTTTAATGTTTTGGGCTTTAGTATTTAAGTCTTATTCCTCTATCATATCTGTCATATGGTTTATTAATAAAAAGATATATCTACATATGATGGAGGTTAATCTGAAATGCCCCTCCGTACACCAAATAAATCCAATATGCCCCCGTTATAAGATTTCTTTTTTTTTTGATTTTTATTTAAAACTAAAATGCGTGAAATGACGATGAAGGGTATCCGAAATCCTCTAAATTACGGACAATAACCAAATAATATCTATTGGATTTTGGCCCAACATAAATCGAAATCGGCCCAAACTTAAATCTAAATCTAGCCCAAACCCAAACCAAAAACAACTTCCCCTTCCCTGATTTTTCGATCAAACTGCCTCCTTTCCAACCTTCATCTTCTCCGATTCAGAAACCGCTAACTCTCATTTTCATATTCTCTGATAAACCACTAATTTCCACCAATTTCCACTTATCAATCTCATGGCGCGTACGAAATGGCTTCAGAGAAGAACACCGCCTTCGCTGGATCATACATCATCGCCGCCGCCACCGTCAAGTTCAAATCCTCCGGCGGAGAAGCAAACAGAGGCGGAGAAGCCTCCTGCGGCACCGCGAGGAAAAGAGAAGAAGCCGAAGAAGAAATCGAAATCAACAGAAGAAACTTCTAGTGCTCCGCCTCCGCCGGGTCCGGTGACCGAAGGAGAAGAAGAAAATCCCCTGCCGTCGAGTTCAAATCCGCCGGCGAAGAAGAAAAGAAAGAGAGAGAAGCGTCTGGAGGCACCGCGAGGAAAAGAGAAGAAGCCGCGGAAGTCAAAGTCCAATGCTCCGCCTCCGGCGGCTCCGGCGACTGAACCAGCAGAAGAAAGTCTGCCTCCGGCGGTGCAACCGGCAACCAGCCCGCCTTCGATTTCAGAACCGGCAATCGGTTCATCGTCGCAACCACCACCACCATCGGTAAACCCTAATTTGTTGTATAATTGGGTCTAACTAGTCCGACTGGTATGAGTAGTTCAACTAGTTCAACTAGTATAATTGGATTGAATGAAATGTCGAGTCTGAGTAGTAGGAGTAGGTCAACTAGTCGTACTAGATTGTAGTCATACTAATCGTACTAGTCGTACTAGTTTGACAGTAGTTGGCCTAGTAATCGTACTAGTCGTACTAGTTTGACAGTAGTTGGCCTGGTAATCGTACTAGTCGTACTAAATCGGTTTTCTTATTTTTGCAGCATGACGATGATGATGTGGAAGAACCAATGCGGCCTCTCGGATATTTCTTCAATCCCATCGAATACCAAAAGGGATGTAAGCTAAGTACCAAATGCTTGCAACACAAATTTAAGGAGGAAGTATTTCCAACTTTGGAAGAGGATGAGAAGAGTTGGTTTCTGAACCACCCGCAGTTCAAGCACCTGTTTCACATGAAGACTTATGCAACAAGAAAGGTGATGGGGCTGTGGATGTTGCTTCTACGCACGGTACAAACGGAGAAGGGTAGACAGTCTTGGTTTGTGGTAAATGGAGTGCCTATTAGATACTCCATCAGAGAGCATGCTCTCCTCTCGGGACTGTACTGCCACGAGTATCCAGCGAATTACCCGAAGTTAGGTGGCGAGAGGTTTGCTAGGAACCATTTTAAAGACAAAAAAATTACTGCTGAAGTTGTGCTAAAAGCACTTCAAGGGATGAGGTATAGTGACACTAGGAATCGGCTAAGGATGGCTGTCCTGTACTTCTTGGCGACAGTGATAAGAGGGAGATCAAAGCATGGAGTAGCCATAGAGCCTTTTATTCTGAGGATGGTTGATAATCTCGAGCTGTGTGAGACATTCCCGTGGGGACAGTTTACTTTCGAGGACAACATCAAGGAGATTTTTCATATGACGAACCATTTCAAAGGATCGATCCCAGAGAAAGCGAGTTGGACGTTTCCTGGGTTCCTCAACCCTTTGGAAGTAAGTCGTATTTCCTACTGTTTTAATTAGTCTGAATAGTACAACTCGTCCGACCGTTTTAATTGAATATGCAGATTTTTCGTATTAATAGTACAACTACTCTAACTGGTCTAATTATATGTGCAGATTTTGGCGTTTGAATGTATTCCAACCCTGAAGACACAATTTCGGGTGAAAGCAACAAATGCAGATGATGATTGTCCAAGAATGTGCAAATGGGAGTTCACGCAGACTGGCACAACTGGATATTCGCTGGGTTCAATAAATGAGCATCTTGGAGATACAAAGGTATTTTACTAGTTTGACAGTAGTTGGTCTAATATTCGTACTAGTCGTACTAGTTTGACAGTAGTTTGACAGTAGTTGGTCTAATATTCGTACTAGTCGTACTAGTTTGACAGTAGTTGGTCTAATATTCATACTAGTCGTACTAGTTTGACAGTAGTTTGACGGTAGTTGGTCTAATATTCGTACTAGTCGTACTAATCGGTTTAATTTTTTTTCCGTTATACTTCAGGACATTACTAGTATTTTGACTGCTGAGGGTGAGGAAGTAGATCTCATAGAGAGGGCCATGGAAGAGACACAGTGGCAGGACTTTGAACTGAAGGATGATTCAGATGTAGCTGACCCTATTGTTGATGGGTGGAACAAGTTTATAGTCCGCCAACAAGGGAAGATACAGTGGGAGGATGTCTTCATGGCCGATGTTCAATCCCGAGTTGTCGAAAAAGAAAATGTCCAAGAAGAAGATGTCCAAAATGAAGGTGCGGCAATAGGTGAGCCAGCTGAAGAAGAACCTGCAGTTGTGATTGAGCCAATATCCGAGCAATTGAAAAGGATGATGAAATTAATGGAAGAAGGGTTCAAGGAAATTAATGACAAGATTCAAGGTTTGGATACAAGGTTGGTAGCTGTGGAGAGCTTCGTGGAAGAGCAAAGAAATCCTCCAGATTTTCAGTATGGTGGAAATGATGATTTCGGTAAGAAACAATTTTTGAGAATTTTTTTGTTTTGAATATTGAAGTTTATTTGACTCTTTTTTTTTATGTCACATGGAAAACGGCTGAAGAGGAGATGACGGAGGCTGCTGCGGCTGTAGAGAGGGAGATGGCGGAGAGAGCCACGGCTGAAGAGAAGGAGAAAGAGAAGGCGGAGAAGGAGGCTGCAGAGAAGGAGGCTGCAGAGAAGGAGGCTGCGGAGAAGGAGGCTGCGGAGAAGGAGGCTGCGGAGAAGGAGGCTGCTGCGGCTGTAGAGAGGGAGAAGGCGGAGAGAGCCGCAGCTGAAGAGAAGGAGGCTGCGGAGAAGGCTGAGGCGGAGGCTGCGGCGGCTGTAGAGAGGGAGAAGGTTGAGGCTGCGGAGAAGGCTGAGGTTGAGGCTGCGGCAGCTTCGGAGATGATGGAGGCTGCGAAGACCGTGGAGACTGTGGCGGCTGAGGCTAGTGCAGCTGCGGAGATAGTGTTAGCGGCTGTGGATAAGGCTATGGAAAAGGCTCTAGCTGGTAAGTGCCGATATAATGAGTTTCATCGATTTTTGTTGATATAATGAGTTTCATCGATTTTTGTTTGTTTTTGTTAGGTGGAGATACAGTCCAAACTCCTAGGAAGGTGAAGATCAAGAAACGACTTAGTCTTCAAGCCCAAGCAGCAAAGAAATTAATTAAGAAGAGTAAGACTCCCAAGCGAAAAAAGAAGGTTACTCGTTCACGGTTGTTGAAGGATTGTTATTAAGTAACTTAGGCCTTTGAACTTCTGTTGTGTCATTATCTGCTATGTTAGAATTTATCTTTGTGTTTTTCAAGATTTGGACATATATATTTTATGCAAGTCTTTTTTTATGTGTTGAATTAAAAGGTACGACTAGCAGAACTAGACCAACTAGAAAAACGTGTGGCAGCAAAAAAAAACGTGTGCATGCAAAAAAAACATGTTTAAAATGAAGTTAAAAATGGATAAAATATGAAGTCACGTGCGCCGTCAAAAGAGGAAAAATGGATAAAATATCTTTGCAAGTTTGCGCCGTCAAAAAAAAAAAAATTAAACCCAGTTTTTTTATAACATAGTTGTACCCAGTTTTGAGTTGTACCCTAAAGACATAAAGTTGTAAAATTTTGTAATCAGTAGTATCATACCTAAATTAAATATTTTTAGCTGTACTTGTAAAATTTTGTAAATAAACTAATATTCTAATGCTATAACTAGTATAAAATAATAAACTTTCATGGTTTTCATGTTTGTGTGGTTAAGATTTACAAAGTAACCTTAAAAGTATAAGGTAGATTGTGTAGAGAACACATTTTCATGGATCAAACATTTTCGTGGATCAAATTTATTTAACTATAAAATGTTCAAATATGTTTGCAAATGTTCTATGGCCTATTTTATATGGAAAAATGTTTGCAAATACATTTACAACTTGTGTTATTGACATTATTGTAGAAAGCATAGTCGTACCAGTCTTCCCAGTTGGACTTTAGTACAACTAAAATGTAGTTGAACTAGTTGTACTTGAAACGAGTGGTACTAGTCGCACCAGTCGTACCAGACATATTAGACGCGGAATATAGAGTTGTACTAGTGGTGCCTAGTCATACCTGATAGAAATAACATGGATACAAGTCTCGGTCATACAAAGT